CATACTTAGAAAGTGCCCCTGCTGATCTCGTGTTTGTATTTCTGGTTTTAGGTACTAACCTGCCAAACACCACATGTTCAACAACAGGTGAAACATTTCCAATTTGTCCTGGTAAGATTCATAATGACTCCGTATGGGTTCAAACCATTATTTTTCAAAAAATTAAACATCATGCTAATACAGACATCTTTCTAATACTGACATCTCTCTAATACAGACATCTCTCTAATACAGACATCTCTCTAATACAGGCATCTCTCTAATACAGACATCTCTCTAATACAGACATCTCTCTAATACAGACATCTCTCTGATACAGACATCTCTCTAATACTGACATCTCTCTAATACAGACATTTCTCTAATACAGACATCTCTCTAATACAGACATCTCTCTAATACAGACATCTCTCTAATACAGACATCTCTCTAATACAGACATCTCTCTAATACAGACACCTCTCTAATACAGACATCTCTCTAATACAGACATCTCTCTAATACAGACACCTCTCTAATACAGACATCTCTCTAATACAGACATCTCTCTAATACAGACATCTCTCTAATATAGGCCCTTCTATGATGCCTCTCTGACTGACACAGGCATTACTTTAACATGAACACTTCTTGACAGTAATCCAATCATGATTTAAAACTCGGTTTGATCGATACAGGGGCGATACCACGTGTTGTAGTCAACGCTGGCATAAAGCACGAGAATACTCAAGAAGTCAGACTAAAATGCTTCTGGGAAAGTCCTGGAAACCTGTCGAATATCGAGTATGAAGCTCGATGGTTTGGGGACATTTCGCATCTCGAGCCTAAAATTCAGAGAAATTTTACTGGACAGATGAATTTGGAATTTTTGTTTCAACGAGCAACCACGAACAATAAAAATGGATATGAATTCCATAAAAACGTACGAGTATAAACTTGTTTCACTTTTAACGGAATCTTGGTAGTTGTTGTTCAGCGGCCTTAACGCTTTTCTTATTGCTATCTGCTATCTCGCGTAAATATAATAATTTCATAGCAAAATTAATATAATAATTTCATAGCAAAATTAATATAATAATTTCATAGCAAAATTAATATAATAATTTGATAGCATAAACCTCTTTGTATTTGCTTCAACTTTGCAGGTCTATTGTTCGGTCCGGGCTCGTTTTAAGACGGGCAGTTGGTCAAAATGGGTTCCGAGCAAACGAATTTACACAGGAATGGAGGTTTGTGATTGATAAAGTTGATAAAAGTCGATTCAGAATTGGATGAAGAATAGTAAATTCAACATTATTTACGCAGGTAACTCCGACATATATTCCAATCAAAGATTGTGGCGAAAGTGATCGTGAAGTTATCATCACCATAAGACCTCATCTTCCAATACGCGTGAGACCTGTTAAGATCGCCATTGCCTCAACAACAAACAAACTAATCGATGAAATATGCGTTGTCGGTGAAAAAGAGGGATTTCAAGGTTGTGGGATCGTTTTTGAGACAGGGCACCTCGTTGGAAAACCGATGAGGTTCAAATTGATGACAACTTGTGGGACGGGTGACCAGTCGAAGACTTTGGCCGATACTTACAATCTGCAGCATAGTTTCTTTGATTTCAACATCAATAGTTTTTGGGTGAACCATGTGTTTCCAACGATTAAGGTAGGCTTTTGTGTTCTTATCGGTTTGGTTACTGTTAGAAAAAGAAGTCGCTGGTCGCTAGTTAAAAGATTCGCTAGTCTTCTAAAGTTAGCCAAACCAGGAAACATTGTTTCCTAGCCATGTTTCATGAAGGTGAAAAAATACTCAATTACTACCTTTCACCTCTTAGATTAGTAGAAAAAAGTACAAAAAGCAACAATGTCGGTCCACAGGGGATCCACACTTTCAGACATTTGATGGCAGGTCAGTTGAAATCCATGATCTACAGTAAGAAAAGTTTTCTTCGCACATCCATTTCTGACAAACAATCCAAGTTCTTAATCGAGTTCTTGGATTGATTTTCGTTAGTAGTGGGCCATGTTAAAATATAATTTTTTTTAATTCAGACGATACGATTTTTTTGGTAGAGGAACGTTTTTATTATATGGAAATAAACATTACGGAACAGAGGTCAGGAGTTTTTATAATAATATTTAGCTTAAGACTTAAGCTTTTTGTCTTAAGACCATCAAAAGACTGCTACGAGTGGTAATATCCAGTCAACTCTCATGCAAATCTTCTTCTCGTTTGAGCAAATCTTCTTATATGCGGATAATTTCCTACAGATTCAGGTACGGCAAAGAGCGTGTAATGGTGGAACTCCAAGCTGTAATTGTGGTGTCGCCATCAGAGAAAATCTATTCTACAAGATCTATGACATGTGCTACACAACTCCTGATCGTCCTTGGTGGGAAAACAACCTCAGGTCCCGTCTTTATACTTATCAACTTCGCGACTTCAAACTCAGCAGATTTTATTCCGCAATCACCCAACAAGGCTCAACAACAAAGTTCGAGGTACAAGAAAGATAAAAACTTCTCTAAACTTCAAGTTTAGTTCTGTACTAACACTGGGTCAACTTCAAGTTTAGTTCTGTAGTAACACTGGGTCAGTAATACAGTTAGCCTTACAAACAGTTTAGAGCTGATAGAGCTATCAGTATAAATAAAGTGAGTTTAGTTTAGGTTTCGTCCTGTAGTAACACTGGATCAATAAGAGATGATCCTTACTGGACCTCTAGGAAGAACAGTTTAGAGCTGATAGAGCTATCAGTATAAAAAAAGTTAGTTTAGTTTAGGTTTCCTCCTGTAGTAACACTGGATCAATAAGAGATTATCCTTACTGGACCTCTAGGAAGAACAGTTTAGAACTGATAGAGCTATCAAGTATAAATAAAGTTAGTTTAGTTTAGGTTTCCTCCTGTAGTAACACTGGATCAATAAGAGATGATCTTTACTGGACCTCTAGGAAGAACAGTTTAGAACTGATATCCAGTATGAATTAAGTTAGTTTAGTTAACGTTCTATTGATCTATTCATTTCTGTAAAGATCACTTTGCCGTCTGGTGTGAAAGTCATCGTGGACCGTCAAAGCTGGGGGTTAAATATTTACGTTTTTGCGCCTGCTGATCTTGAACATCCGAGCGAAGGTTTGTGTGGCAATAATAATGAAAATTCCAATGATGATTTCGGGCAATGGAACTCTCCGAATCAATTTGGAGAACATTGGAGGTACGTGCATTGTAGTGATGAAGAAAATGTCTGATATCTACATCTTTTGATGGGGATTCGCTCGGATTTGTCTGTACTCATCCAGTTTCAGCTCCAGAGTTTTGTTAATGAACTATTTTGAAAGCATAGTTGATTACATGAATGCGCATTATCTGTAAAAATCTTTTTCCAACTCTTTCTTATAAAGAGTCCGCGGTCATGTCACTCAGTTTGATTACAAGGGGAATAAATTTGAAGAAGATCAGCTAGATGATGGCTGTGACCAAAAGATATGTGTTTGCTCTCGCATCAAACGATGTGGTGGTGAAGCGGAGGCGATCTGTTTTCCAGATCTTGGCAGAAAGGACGCCAGAAAACGCCATCAAGGATCAGGCATTGGTATAAATTACCACTTTAATAACACTAGGTGGCTTAGTCTCTCGGTGTAGTTTCTCAACAAAGAGAACAAAAAGCTAAGCATTTTACGCCAAAGAGACTATACTGATAGTATTACAACCAGTATAGTCTATTTTTGTCACATATTTTTTTATCTTTCTCTGAGAAGGAGAGTGCCCAAATCGTCCTAAGCGCGCGTTGATGCTGGATGATGACACAGTGGACGATCAAGACGCAATCCCGTCATTTAATCCAACAGTAACAAGGGTTAATTTAACACTGACGTGGCCGACACCTTCAGGAATAACTAAGGATAATGTCACACAGTTTTGCGAGAAAAAATTGCGTTACTCCAAAGCTGGGGCTGCCTGTGGACAAGTTGAAGGGGTAGATGTGGATGGTTTGGTACAACAGTGTATAACCGATATACAGGTAGCTAATATTTCCCTTAGCAAATAAATCTTTAGGAGAATACACCTTTTCCTAATGACGTCAAACGCGGAAAGTATGATGTTACACAAAGTTTGATTGGCTCGATAGTTTTGTGGAGCCAATCAAATTTCGTGTAACATCACGCAGACTTTCCGTATTTGACGTCATTATAAGAAAGGTCTATTGAATCCACAACTCGCTATTAAGTCTGAGAATTCGAACGTCAGCAAATAAACTCTGAACTAACAAGTTTAACCACTGCCTAAGGCCCTAAAGGATTGAAAATGTACTCATTTCGTATCTTACAAGGCGACTGAAGATTTCTCGTGGGCAGCAGGCAACTTTGCAGCGTTGGAAACATCTTGCATTGCAAATATTTTGAACAATATTTCGTCGTTCAAGAACACAACTGACGGAAGTACTGAACTGGATACAGACATCCTCACATCGCTTTGTCCAAATGACTGCTCAGACAAGGGAGATTGCGTTAATTCAACGTGCATTTGCCACGAAGACTACACCGCTGCAGATTGTTCAATCTCATTGAAAGACAGTCCACTCGTCTTTGATATTCGCAAGTCAGGATTGTGTGACAGACGGCGAAGACCATGTCGTAATGTTGGGGTGGGTTTGGCTCCCCGTTGTTGGATTCAGAGAACCTTACCTGCCATGTCCAAGAATATAAGGTAAGTTGCATGACTTGCATCGTATCTTTCTTTATCTCATATCAAGTTTTAAAATGTTTCAAGTTTTTGTAGTTTATATCTTCTTCTAATCTCTTCATTTCATAATATCTCTGACCAGTTGTCCTTCATCTCTTCTTATTACATGTCCATATCATCTCAACCTTGCTTCCTTCATCTTCTCTGCAATGTCTAGCATCTCACATCTTCTGATCTCTTCATTTCATAATATCTCTGACCAGCTCTACCACCTTACGAAAGAGTGAACAATCAAAACAGTGTCGATCTCTTTACACAGGTCATAGACTCAGTATGGAAACCCAGCAATTCAAGGACCTTATACCCAGGGCAACTGGTTGATCTCACTGAAGTGAAATGTTCACTGCCAGAATCCCCAGTAAATATCGGTGATTATGGCAACGATGGTGTAACAGCCGCAGGACTAAAGATTGCGATTTCAAACAACCGTATCAACGCCTCCAAAGACTCCGTGTTATTTATAACGTATGATTCTGTGTGTCAAGAGTGCAACACGACTGTAGGCTGTCATCTTCGAGTATGTATTCAACTAGTAATAATTTTAGCTACAAAGATCTTCCTAACCACAGAAAATACAGCCGAAATTGTTGCAATAGACAATTGGGCAAATGTAAAAATGTCAGAATGCGCTCCAAAAGTATAATTGTATGCGCAAACCAATCTTTGCCATTAGTTGGTTCGTCTCTGTTGTGGTGACATTCTCAATGTCATTTCCTCTACAACGATTTGTTGATCTAGATTAATTCAAAGATGAAAGAAGCGACTATGATGCCTCTCTAATCGATGAAGATATCGTTCCACGTTATTAATAGTATATGATTTAAATTAATCGCTTTGTGTTTTTTTTGTCTTTGCAAAAAGGCTGATGCTTGCATCATATCTGGTCATTGCTTCGCTATGAACGACAGTAACCCACGTGATTGGTGTCAACAATGTTTGCCAGAATCATCGACAACTTCATGGTCAAAACGCAAAGGTAAAAATGCTTCGTTGAAGGGTTTCTTGAAGATGTATCAAAGGTACATTCTCATGAGTTAAGACAATAGAGTAATTACAAATGGGAAAGAAATTAACTTCTCGACCCAAAAATATTATATTTATTTCTATCCCAAAAATTCTAATATTTGTGAATTTTTCTGCCATTTTATAGATAACAGACCACCAATTTTAACATCGTCCAGTGTGTTTTATGCCTTTAAAGGCAAAGAGCTTCGCGTACAATTGAGCGCTGACGATCCAGAGAATCGCACAGTCCAGTACAGCTTTGCACAAAGCAAAAAATTTGGAGCTACTTTGTCTAAAAACGGATCATTCACCTGGACTAAAAACGACATAGGAACCACGGCGTTTGTCTTTAATGTTACCGACGAATGTGGAGCCTATTCTACTCTTAATGTATCTGTAGTATTGAAGGACTGTCCCTGCGTGAATTCAGGTGAATGTCATCCAGACTATCGTTATCTCGATGGAGCTGGGAATTTCACGTGTTCCTGTCCTGCTGAGTATACGGGTGACCTGTGTGAAGATGACGTTGACGAGTGCGCAGCTTCAAATCCTTGTCATAATGGAAGTTGTGTTAATGAAAAACCTGGCTTCTCCTGTTCCTGCTTTCAAGGATACACTAGTCACCTTTGTCAGACTGAGGTAAAGTTACTCACTGATGTTACCCCATTAGAAAGAAATCAGCTTCACCAGTCCTCTAGAAAAAACAGCTTCGAACTGATAGACATATGTAGTTAGTTTAGTTTAGGTTTCCTCCTGTAGTAACACTGGATCAATAAGAGATAATCCTTACTGGACTTCTAGGAAGAACAGTTTAGAACTGATAGAATCCTTTACCAGCTGATAGTTTCGTAGTTAAGATAGCTTTATAGTCGAGTTACACAAAATCTTGTAAACCATTCTAGTGAAGATAAAGCGGTCTTGCTTTGAAATATACAGAATAAAATTGTACTAACTACGGTAACATTTTTCGGAATAACTTCAATTTTAGATCTGATAGAGCGATCCAGTATAAATAAAGTTAGTTCATTTCATCCTGTGGTTCATCCTGTGGTAACACTGGATCAATTTGACTCTTATTAAACCTTCAGGAAGCACAGTTTTGCAAGCCAAACTATTAGAGATTTTTGTCTTATATGCCGTATTTGTACTTTCACAGATAAACGAGTGCGAATCAGACCCTTGTTTCCCAGATGTCAATTGTACGGACCAAATCGCTAGTTTTAGCTGTGGTCCGTGCCCCCCTGGATATACTGGCGATGGAAAGTATAACTGTAGCAGAATTGATGGCAGTGAGTGTTGAGAAACTATCAAATACTTATGATAAACTTTGTGTATCAAATTTATCAAACTGGTTCAGTTGCTTTGCACTATAAATAAGTTTTTATTTCTCTAAACTATGCACTGTTTTAATATTCGCAGAGGTAGACGAATGCATAGAAAATCCCAAAGTTTGTCACAACAACGCCAGTTGTAAGTTTTACAATGGATCGTACCAGTGTAGGTGTATTGATGGGTACACTGGAGATGGCGAGCATTGTACAGGTATATGATAGCATTTAGTTCTTGATGTGCTGTTGCTCTGTGTCCAAGCCAGAGTTCAACTGTCCCATTGCAACACACAAGGTGATCATACGAATAACTGTAGACAAGTATAATGTAATTTTAGGTACCCTATTAATGGAGCAATAAGGTCTGTAAGGATCACGGGTCAGAATTGACAAAGCATGTATATAAATAAATAAATAAAGTCACAATATGTCCAGGAGATATATGGGTCTATTTTACCAGCATAGTTCGTTGATTTGAAATGTTTTTATCATTTAGATGTGAACGAGTGTAAGGGACACCCCTGTCTTAAGCATGCCACTTGCATCAATACCAAAGGAAGCTACTTCTGTGTCTGCGCGAAAGGTTTTACTGGTGATGGTGGAAATAACTGCTCTGGTCAGTAACTGCTCTGAGTTTCAAATTCTCCTTAATACAAGTCATGACGCGCTCAAATTAAATCATGTTTTTAAAACAAAGCTAGTGATGGATGGTTGCAGAAATAGGACGTGTTTTTCTGGTGTTTGGTTAGCTTATTCCTGTTAGCTTATATTTATGGCTAATCTCTCTAAACCTTCAGATATCAATGAATGTGCGCATACTCCAGACGTGTGTAATCCTCAGGCCAATTGTAGAAATTCTCCGGGCTCGTTCTTCTGCCATTGCAAGACAGGATTCACTGGAAACGGTACAAATTGTACAGGTAATAAATACTTCCATAAAAATCTCGCAACCTTTTGCTATCATAACGAGTTTTATCGCAATTCTATTTTTCCAGACATTAACGAGTGCCAACAAAATTCTTCCGTCTGCCACTATCTGGCTGCCTGTGGCAACGTTCCTGGTTCGTTTTCATGTCATTGTAATGATGGCTTCACTGGAGATGGAAAGATGAACTGTACAGGTATTGAACATATCCTGTCGGAGGCTCTTAACTGCCTAATCCTTCGAGAACGTCTTCAGTCGTTGATAGTAAAAATTTAGTTTAAAATCGTTTATTTATCCCGCAGACATCGACGAGTGTCAACAATCTCCTTTCGTCTGTCATTCTCTTGCCTTATGTTCAAATGTGAGAGGCTCTTTTGAATGCCAGTGCAAAAATGGTTTCACTGGAGATGGAAAGACGAATTGTTCTGGTAAAAATACGTTTAATTTCTAGTTTTAATTTACCTAGGGTTGTAGGAATATGACACAATATATTTGGTCAGTGGACTTGTTTGAAAGATATTTAAGGATACTAACTGTAGAAGAAAGGAATGTTTTAAATGAATTACAATTAAAATAGCGCGACCGATTCGTCAGGCATATATGAAACATTTTATGAAATACGATTGAGCGGTTATAGCTGACATTTGTTCATTTCAAGATATCATATATATTGTAATATATTGTAGACATAGATGAATGCACTCAGTCTCCTTGTCATGAGCACGCGAGATGTAACAATACAATGCCCGGATATGTTTGTGAATGCAGCCAGGGATATTTAGGAGATGGTAAAAACTGTACAGGTAAGATGTGGTCATAATGATTCCATCATCGTAATTTCGATGCTGATAGCGACTTTCCAATCTTTTCAGAGAACAAACCACCTCAATTTTCGATGCCAAATACGATACTTGGAATGTACGAAGAGTCTTTGCGAATTCATATCAAGGCAAAGGACCCTGAGGGTGAAGAAATCACCTTTAATTTGTTGGAGAATGGAACAATAGGCCTAAGTTCAGCTTCCATCACAAAAGATGGACGCATGGATATATCGCTAAGTGGAAAGAACGGAACGGTCTATGTTCAAGTAGAAGACGTGTTGGGAGGAAGGAACGTGCTAATTCTTCACGTGAATGCCATGCAATGCCCATGTGAACACGGTGGTAAATGTTACCAAAAGAAAAGCGTTGAATATCCAACGGCACCATCAGATTATCTCTGTGAATGCAAGGCTCCGTTCTCAGGAAACTTGTGCGAAATTCGTCCAAATCCATGCGATGAACGGCCATGTTATTTAGGTCTCGCGTGCTCACCCGTTCAGAATTCCGAAGGATTCACTTGTGAAACTTGCCCGCCTTTATTCAAAGGAGATGGGAAAACCTGTGAACTTGATACTACCAAAGGTAAAATACTGTTCAACAACGTAACGTTTAGTATACTAATGGGGATGGAACGAACGAGAATAGTCTAGACTCTAGAACTTATAGTTTATCAATTGTGGTAAATGTTACCAAAAGGAAAGTTTTGTAAATATAAAGTATTTCACTTCGGTGCAATTTCATATATTTAATAAACCTTTAATAATAATAATAATATAATATATAACATAGTTTTAGAAGATTATAATACTTTTCCAACCGTAGAAAAAAATTCTGTGGACTCCTCAATTAAACTCACGAACCAACAATGGAATGAAAAATTGGCAAAGAAAACATCGAAAGAATATAAAAATCTCGTTTCTCGACTTATTGCGGAGGTAGGAACCAGGAAATGTGTCGTTATAATTTGCGGTGCTGAGTTTGTGAAAGTATTTGTGTGTTCATTTTTTACAGATCAGAGATATCTACAAACAACTTCCCGGATTTAGTTTTGTCTTAGTTAAAGAGCTCAGGTGAGATTATTTAAGATGACTGTTGATATGTAATTGGCAAGTATGCTGCATTTTGTTTTTTTCCAGGCAAGGCAGTGTGATCGTTGATTTACAGATAATATTTACGAAGAAAGTGGACAATCCTCTTGAACCCTTGGAAAAAGTGGCAAAAACTGGAAAACTGGGAAATATGACTTTTGAAATTCAACATGTAGATGGTAGGCCATCAAATATACGTATTTTTGAATCAATCTACAAAAAAGAACTACACTGACCTATTACTACTCTATACTGGATAGCTGTATCAGTTTTTATCAGAAGGAAACCCAAACTAAACTAAGTTTATTTATTTATACTGGATATAGTTTTATTGGATATGTTTCATGCATCTTTTTATTTTGCGTGTGACGGTATAATTTATTTTTAGATAAAGATGACTCATTGAGGGAAGACAAGATCCTTGGCTTGGACCAAACTATTTTCATTGTTATTGTTGCTGTTGCTTTGGTCGTATTCATCATTATCACAATCATTATCTGCTCAAAAAAATGTCATCGAAAAACACCCAAGTTAATTAAATATCTACCTAGCATAATCACAGGCTGGCATAATAGGGCCAGGAATATAACAGAAGCAGAAAATCCAGAAGGAGAAGAAATGGATTTGGAAGAGATTCGTAATGAAAAGGTGTGCACAAAAGAGGAGATAAAACTGAACTGATTGTTGTGCATTGTAAACGGCCACCATAATGTAGTATTGTTCTCAGATCGCACTTCTGCAACACTAAAGTTTGAATAATGTTTCCTAATTTGACTTTACAGTAATAAATGACATAGGTTTGGTGTCGAAATGAGCTGAATATATATTATAACCAGGTATTTTAATATTCAGACAATTATATTTTACTTAATAGCAAGCTACTTCAGTTATGATGATAGTAATACCATATGACTACAGTATATCCAATGATGTCCCAAAACTTTAGCTTTTATGGAGCTTAACTTCAATTTATGCAGTACTTGATATATGCATGTACATGCTAAATAAGTCTATAAATCCATAAATCCATTATATGTATCTAATGTTTGTACAATATATTATATTGATATAATTTGATTTTGATGGAGATTCTGTTCACTCAAAAACGCTGTATAAATTTCTGAATAGTCATTTTTGAGCAAATAAAAAAAAATGCTGTATAATTTTAAAACGACTTTTTATTACCAAAGTCAAGTATACCATATACTGGTATATTGGACCTTTACTGTTTTTTATCAACCTGGTCAAATATACCATTTAACAGTATATTTGACCAATATACTATGTAACAGTATATTTGACGTTGAACTATTTCTTATTATATATTTTTTAAATATACCATGTATTTCAGTATATTTGAATATATCACTATATTTGACCCGGACTATTTTTTATTACCAGGGTTGAATATTCCATATACTGGTCAAATATACCGCATACCATTGGGTATATTCAACCTTCACCAAACATTTGATGCAGACTAATTACTTTAGACAATGTGTGAGCCATCTCAGCCATCATCTACACGCGGGTAGAATCGTCTGCCTCTGTTTTACATTTTGCGCAAATGCCGAACAGCCGAAATGCGGCAATTTGACTAAATAATGTCCCCACCTGGATTTTAGTCTGCACCATTTCCACCGATATATCCAACGTCGTTAACTGGATGGTGAATCAGAAATTACCAGGACGTTACACTTTGCCAGGACGTTAACGATTTAAAAAACCTTTTCCAGTTTACAATTTCGGAGAATACTTGATATTATCTTAACGGTTTAAACCAATTTGAAACTTTATTTAATAATCGTCGCATTTAAACACACATTTCATCGCAAATACTTATACATTTTACGACCATATGCTTGGAAGTCAAGCCTTCTAAATTCTAATCGAGGTCAGTGCCGTTTTAGGTTCGGAGCAGGTCGTAGACTAATCGGAATCCGATTTAGCCAAATAAGGCGTGTGCTTGCGCGGAAATGTTTAGCATAAATTTTAGTGATAAGCATAAATTTAAATAATTAATTTTTCTCCTTCCGTCCATTTTGGTCCTTCAAAGTAAGACTAGAGTTTTCAAGAGAAGAATGGCCGTAAATGTTCATTTAACTTCGTGTACTTCTGAAAATTTAAGTCGACATGACATGATAAGTTGGGTGAATAGCCAGCTTCAAGTAAATTACACAAAAATAGAGCAATTATGTTCAGGTATGCCTTGTTGTGATTTCTAAAACGTCTTTGATAATTTTGAAAAGATAACGATTACTAGTGTACATTATGTAAAACTGGATTAGATATTGTAGGAAAGAGGTTTTTCATGATTTGTGTGCTGTAAATCTGGTTCTTTTTTTTTCTCTAGGGGCAGCGTATTGTCAGTTCATGGACATGCTGTTTGCGAGTATGTTTTGTGTATATTTTCCGTGTAAAAATAGTGACATGACAGCACCTTCGTATTGTCACGAAGTTCATATTTATTAAATCTAACCACAGGATATTACAACACTGCTGAGTGCCTTGTTACAGTATGGAGCTATTAATATATCTCTCTTTCAAACAGTTTTGAAAAAAAACGCAAAATGACATTGCAATGAGCCACAATGAGGACAATTTATCACGTATACTTTACCTCGAAATCCAAAATTGCAGAACTTGTCATTTTTTTTCCATTCAAATTTGCAATATTCCTAATGCAGCCAATACCGCTCTCTTCAAATCATCATTGTTTCAATTCCTACAAAGCATTCCTCATTCTGAATGCTTTGTGCCAAATCTAACTGGCAGAAACAGTCGAATGTGTATGTCATTTAAAAAATATATGATTTTGTCTAGATTGTATGCCTTTAAAAAGAGTTAAATTCAACACTAACCTGGAACATGAATATATTCAAAACTGGAAATTACTTCAAACATCATTCAAAAAAGCTTCTGTAGATAAGGTGCATTAACGATTGCATTTCTAACTTCATTTTAATGGTAGTTCTTTAATATGCAAGTTGATTCAGTTTTTGAGAAAAATTTTTTTTGAACATTTTTACTTTAGATAATTCCAATTGATAAGCTTGTGAAAGGAAAGTTTCAGGATAATTTTGAGTTTGCTCAATGGTTTAAAAAGTTCTTTGATGCCAATTATGATCTGGGTATAGAGTATGACCCTGTTGCAGCAAGAGGCGGGGTAGTTGTGAATGCTGGTGGTAAGGCGAGTGGTATTAGCAGTCGAAAATCAGGTAATGATTCATATCGAAATATTTGAGCTCAGTTGTTGAATAAATAGATAATTTTGTTTTCCATTTTGAACTTATCCACCGTTTAAGCTTAACGGGCCTTTTGAAACAACCATCCCATATCTCTAAGAGGCTGACACACAGTATCTAATTACTTCTATACATCTTTACAATACCTTACCTTAGGTGGTAGCGTACCAAGTGTTGGGAGTCGTAAACCAGGTAAACATTTAAATGTGGAATGCTTCACATAGTTGTATTCTGTTTGGTCTAATGCCCTTCTTATTCATAATGATTTACTGGATTAAATAAGCTTCTCAATAGTAGAATTTTGTTATTATAGTTGGTGTTGCATCGCGTGTTTCAAATACAACGACGACCGTGACAAAAACTACAACACAAAAGACAAGCAACGCTGTCTCGAATCAAGAACTCAAAGAGCTTAATGAACAAGTAATCTTTCAGAATATTGTACAAACCATTAAAGATTTCATGTCATTTTTCAGGAACGATCTTTTGTGGCATATTCAAACATCAAAAACTCAATCCACCAGTCTGGAAACCATGTTTTCTTTCAGTTATTGTTTATTCTAATGCTATTTAACATATAATGATGCCATCTAATTTTATCATCTATTTTCTAAGGTTGCTGAACTCTCTCTAACTGTTGATGGTTTAGAAAAGGAAAGAGATTTTTACTTTGGCAAGTTACGAGATATTGAAGTGATTTGCCAAGAGGCTGGTGGCGAAGAGAACCCAACCTTGAAAAAAATATTGGATATACTTTATGCAACTGAGGTCAGCTGCTGAATATCTTTTACAAGACTACTGTTGAATTATTCTGTATGAAATTTCAAAAAATAAATCATTATTCATTATAATATATCTCTATCAGGATGGATTTGTTCAGCCAGAAGGTGGTGAGGAAGCAGAACCAGAAGAAGAACAGGAAGAATATTGAGATGTTGTTGCTATATGAAAAGCTAGAAAGACTATTGATAAAACCATGATAATTAGGACTGTCAGGGGAAATCTTGTTGATAATCAGATGAAATGTTTAAATATGTTGGCAAATAATCTTTGACATGTCTTGAAAAAGATTATCCAGTAGGTTTTATAAGATGATGCTTTGTAATGAAAAAATCCACTATTGTATAAGACAAAAAAACTCAGCTGTAATTATATGTTTGCTAGTTAGTAAATTTGAAAAGGTGTGTTTAACTTGGTTTAATGATAGTGTTTATCAATTTTATAAATGGTGCTATCAAGGTAATGTGGTAGTGTTCAGACAAATTAGAATTTCTCCATAATTCTTTTAATACTTCTCAACAATCAACCGGATATGATGAGTAGATAAGGAGATACAACCTTGCATCAGGTCTCCTAATCTTGGTCAACCAGGAACACGTCTTATAAACTACTTAGGACGTTTTTTACCGTCCAAAGTAGAAATCAGGATTAGCTTTAAAGCCTATGAAATCCCCTCGAAAATAATGCAAATTTTAAAGAATGGATACCCGCAAATGCATGAACTTCATTCTGTCATAAATAACAAATGATTTTACCCTAGAAACTGTTGTTTATTGTTGCAAAGAACTACTTCCAACTACATATCTTTTGCTTGATCACTTTGAACTAGAAAACCGCTCAAATGCCTTTTCTTATACAACGGAACACAAAGGATCAAAGAGGCTTTTTCCTCGAACAAGGGTTAAAAAAATCACGAAAAAAAAATTATATACAAAGACATAGTATTACGTGTATTATTGAATAGATTGATACAATGTTAAAATTCGAATATTCCCTGTGATATGATTGGTCAAATCACCTGACACACCTTCGCCCAGCCCAGAGTCGAGCCTTCACCAGCATTCAATACTCGACATGCAACAATCAACAATATTGATTATTTTTGTTTCCTTTTAAACTGAAACTACGTGTGGAAACTAAACAGGAAAACAATTTCTGAAAGAAAATGTTGAAATTCGGAGCACTAGTTCGACTATCAAGCCACCTCAAACCGGTTCGTCAGCAGAATACGATTACACGATTTTACAGCGATGAAGCACCAAAGATTTTAATCACAGGTTTGTTTTTGTTGTTAATATTCTTTATTATGCGATATAAACTCTTCACGTTTCTGCAATAACTTAGCTGCTACTTAGATTTTGTTTTTAAAATTTGAGTAATGTACAGTTCATTGCCATATCGAAATATTATAGGATTTATAGCGTGTTTACATCAAATACTGTGGGGTATTTACGTCCGATAACCTAAATATTTATAATAAATTTCTAACGGTTTATGCCTGGCTAATTATATGTAACCATTGTTCTGGGAATTATATGTTTTTGCTTTTATAAAGGTGGACTTGGTCAGTTAGGCAGAGGACTTGCTCAGTTAATGAGGTAATTGAAATGATCACTTATGTAATCTGAGATTACTCAAGTTATTGCCATTTAATACAATACCATATGTTTAAGTTCACTTGTATTCTATGATGTAATGCTTCTGTTGTCTGGGTGGCTGAACTGCTAGAGTTGGTATAGAAACTGTGGAAGCTTATGTGCAGTGTTTTTAAAAACCAGGGTGTTTCTAGAAACTCCATTGGGAAAGGGTGTATGTTCATATATTCATGTTAAAATATCTATACCATAAAAACAATTGTTTTCAACACTTTACAAGCACGCTTTTGTTATTTTGTTTGCAAAGGAACAAATATGGTAAAGAAAGTGTCATCTTGTCTGATGTTGTCAAAGCTTCAGCTGAAGAATGTGAAAAAGGTGAGTTAGATTACACAATAGATCTTTTTATTGTTAATATGACATTGAATGACATCAACAACAGAAAGTCTGATGTCATAAAGAAGCCTGCTTGTTCTAATCAATGGTAGGAATTAATGAGGTAATTAAAAAGTGTAAATGAGCTAATTAATTTTAATTACATTTAACAGGTCCATTCATTTACGCTGATATACTGGACTATAAGAATCTTCAGTCAATCGTAGTTAACAATCAGATAACATGGCTGGTTCATTTCAGTGCACTGCTTAGTGCAATTGGTGAGAAAAATGTCCAGGAAGCATTGAAAATAAATGTGATAGGTTTTCACAATGTCATTGAATTGTGTCGTCAGTATGGACTGCGATTGTTCTGTCCAAGTACCATTGGTGCTTTTGGTCCAGAGACCCCAAAGAACCCGACGCCAGACGTAACCTTGCAACGACCGACAACAATTTATGGTGTATCAAAGGTTCATGTGGAACTATTGGGAGAGGTGAGCTTGGACTCGCGGGTTTAAGGGGGGCACTGACAGGTCTCAGATGGACACTGACAGGCCAGGGGGGGGACACTGAAAGGTTTGAAGGAAACACTAGCAGGTCTGATGGGGACACTCACAGGTCAGAGGGGAGGCACTAAGGGTGGATCCTTCACTGTTGAAAACAGTCATTTGGCATTTGAAAAAGCACATTTTTGTTATAGTACTACAATTACAAGTATGGTCTGGACTTCAGATCTGCACGGTATCCTGGAGTGATATCTGCTGACACAGCCCCAGGTGGAGGAACCACAGGTAACCTGAACCACAATATATATATGAAGATTCTTATTACTGGACCTCTTGGAAGAACATTTTACAACAGATTAGTCTAAGTCATGTTTGTCTAAATTCAGCTAAGTCTACCAAAAACATCGTCTCACATGATTCCCTTTTGCCATTAGACTATGCAGTTCATATCTACCATGAGGCCTTGCGAACAGGCAAATACCAGATATACCTCAGACCTGACTCATGTATGCCAATGATTTACATTGACGACTGCCTACGTGGTACCCTGGAGCTACTGGAGTGCCCGGAAGAGAAGCTAAAGAGACGAATATACAATATGCAAGGCATTAGTTTTACACCACAGGAACTGGTTGAGAGTGTCCAGGAGGTTGTGCCTGATCTTCAAGTAGAGTACGAAGTTGATCCTTTGAGGCAATCAATTGGTAAGTGATTGAATTTGAACTAAGAGAAAGAGGGAGGTGAGGAACTCATCTAGAATGCTTCAACCATTACTGTTCCTTCAACCATCATTTTGGCTGGACTAAATTGGTGGTGTAGATAGAAGCTAGGACGAGATAGAAAACCTGCTCATCTTTAAGAGGTTTTGTCTGTTTTGTCTCTTACAGCTGATAGCTGGCCTGATGTTCTTGATGACACAAATGCCCGCAATGACTGGAACTGGAAACCACAATATGATTTACCCAAAATGACTAAAACTATGTTGGATATTTTAAAACCAAAGTACAAATAGGAAAAAGAGAATATCCTTTACAGCATGCGAGAGATTAACCTAAACTAATAGAGAATATGACTCCTAATTTATCATGCCCCACTAACCCATACTAGTATTATAGGTTAGCAGGTACAACCATGTATTTGTCCAGTATCTCTACTCTCATATTGCAGTCTGTGATGGATCATGTGTATATCACAGACTGCAATATGAAACTGGATGTAAATACTTCTGAGGGGGATACCTTGTGTAAAACTGGTGAACTCAGTGGGTAAAACACATTTGAGTACATCATTTTTGAGCACTAAGGGAGCCATAGATTATGTTTTAGCCAGTGGCAATTTCTGTTTTATGATCATTAAAATGGTTAGCTTTGAAAGATCTTTCTCCTTGTAAACAGATTAATACACATATATTTACATAATATACAATCGCAAACCCACATTATCATTGTCAATCCAAAAAGGTTTCTGGCTTAAATTCTGTTACAGTATCAAAGAACTCTGCAGTGTATATGTACACAATATGTTTTTTAAAACATACCTTAGAAATAATTTAACAGCGTGAATGCAACATTGCTTGAAACTTTTGGGACAGCACAAATTGCACAATATCTGCTTTGCAGTTTTTGATTTTATACCTTGCGGATACGAAGTACTTTGAGGTGACAAAAATCTTCAACTTATGTGCCAGAAATGACATCATTTGGTTCCTGAAGTAAAAACATTTAGATAATGTATTTCTCTCCAGAAATGAGTAATGTTAATATACTGGATAACTCTAGTAATTCTCATGCAACCATCTCCTTCAGGAATCCATCTTTTATCAATACAGTGTTCCTACAGGAGGAAACCTGAACTAAACTAACTTAACCCACACTGAATAGCTCTATCTTTTCTGAGCTATTTCTCCCTGATGCGCAGTAAAAATTATCTCTAATTGATCAAATGTTGTGAAAGGAGGGCTAAAATAACATTTAAACTGGATGGATACAGTAATAGCACAAGTTCAAAGTGCAAACCTGGTTCAGTTTCTTGAACTCTGCAACTTGTGCTAGTACATATTCTAGGATATGTTTTGCATCTCTTGCATCAGCAGGCAACTTGTTGGTAACGCCCAAGATCTCACCGCATTCACGAACATAATACTCCATATCCTCCTCAGAACCTGTAAACAACATTAAACAATATTTAGCTGGAACTTTCATAGATAAACAGCTTTATTTTTACTGGATAGCTCAGTTCCAGTAAGGATCATCTCTGACCAATCCAGAGTTACTTACATTTATTAGTGACTTGAGCAATGCGCACTTTTTCAGAGGAGAAATTATCGTCTAGATCAAACAGCTCCAGCGAAGGTCCAGGTAGTTCACGAAATGTTGGTGGAAATACCTGCAGTGTATTTGTAGGATTAGCATTAAACTTAGAATTTCCTCCTCAAGGGAAATTCTGTTCAGCAGATCACATATTGATCAATTACGGTCGTAAACATTGGTTAGGTTTCTGACTTACCGCAGGTTGTAACGGTGGAAGTGGCGTTTCAAATTGTGGTGGAATAAGTTGCAAAGGTTCATGCTTTACATGAAGTTCTTCGTAACTTCTAAAATTTGAATGAAACCCAGCATTAAAAAATTCTTTTACAGTAAATTTTCAAAGTGTATTTATGAACAAACATATGATGACCATATCTACCTCAAAACCTCTGGAACAATTGCCGTATCAAGCTTAAAAAGATCCTTGTCAAACATTTTTGAAAAATCGTTAGGGACCTGAAATATAGAAAGCTCTCTCATTAAAGTTCTACATACCAGTACATGACAAAGGTTTAGATTGTGAGAAGGTTCAGATTGTGAAAAGGTTTCAAAGGTTGAAAAGATTAACAGGTTCAGGTTGTGAACTACTGTATTCCTAGCTCTAAAGCAGTGAGAATAAAGCAATGGAATTCTGTAAAAGAGAGAGCAATGCAAAGTGGTTAATAGGTAGGAAATTAAGTTGAGAGAAGTCACCTCTTCCCCTTCTTGCAAGCAAACTTTAAGTCTCTCTGCCAGTTTTGATGTGTCTGGTATAAAATGATAATCGGAAATCTAGGCAAAGGTAAAAAATCAATCAGATTGTGGATCATTGTACAGTCAATAAAAGCTAAATAACTAATAGTTTAATACGAGATAAATTTTCTAACCTCAGGATCCTCAGCGTCGATGCTGTTCAATCTAATGTCATTTGTTGTTAGCCATTGAAAGATAACATCCTAAAAAGTAGACCATTATTGCATGTACTAGGTGTTCGGCAAGTGGTTGCATCCAATTTTACATCACAGAGCTCAATACGTATGTGGCTGGATCTACATTAGAGTTGCAGTAACTGGGCATTGCAATTCAGGTATTATAAATAAAAATGTGGAGCTCCTATATCTTGAAGATAAACAAGCCTTGCATTAACCTGGTTAAATTGTACACATCTGGCCATTTATCATAGAAGAATAATTTGGAAGGTTCTGAAATAAGGTGTAATCTTTTATTCAAATTGCACTGACCTGCACTTTGCTATTCTCTTCCTTATCAAAATACTGATCACTGAAAATGTGCACAGACCCAACAACAACTAGCTTCCCTTGACCACGCTACGACATTGCAAGAAAAATAAAGCGTATGAGAATGGTCTTGTAGATCTTGCATAATTCAGGTGAAACATTCTCCATCTGATAGATGTGAATAAGTGAAAGAGTAGCAAAAGTTCTGATAAAACCAGAGTTCTTTAAGATGGCTTTGGGGGAAATCAAAGCCAGATTTTTGTAGTTATCTTAAATGAAACATTCTGCAGTTTTCTTACCTTGTTATAGAATGCACAGACAGGTCTGTTGACTGGTAATGACACTGTTCCAGTTGATAAAACTGGTATGGCTGGTTTGACAACATTCAATGTAGCACCAAATGGATACACAAAGTTAAGAGACCTAAAATAACCCAATGAATGGTTTTGACCGATAACAATATTGGCTAATAGAATAAGGCAATAGAAAGGCCAAACACAGTCCCATCCATATTTTTTCTATGGCAATCTTAATTCTCTATTCTTAATGAATGGTGGGAACTGCGATAATCTGTACTCAAATTCTGGCAGGAAACTGAAATTATTTGTCCACCCTGCAAAATTTCTGTGTCTCTTCTCAAAATTCCAGACTTACAGAGAGGCAGTTGTAACTTCACTGTCCATATCTCCAGGAACCTGTTTGCCTGCAGCTTGATTGATCTCCCTAGAAATTCGCACAGAAACTGAGCAATCCAACATCTGTACATATGAATTTGTTATGGGGAATTTTTGCATTTATCAGGGGAGTATTCGAATCCTACCTGTTTAGGATGCCATTAGCGACATAGACTTCCTTTGGATGGAAATATTTGTAATACGAAGTCCTCACAACTGCATCTGAAAAATTTAAAAAAGTTTCACTCTTAGTGCTGCTTCAAAGAGAAGTAAAACAATACAGACCGATGATTTTTTTAACCAACAATCAATTATCTTCATTTCTACAGGACAAAACAGACTTGCTTTTCATTGGGAATTAAATCAAAATATAATATATATTGCCATCAGATGGCAAGGATTATATATAACATATAACAGGAGCTATATATAGGTTATATACAGGTTATATATAACCAAAGGGTTATAACCGGAGAGTTATATATATAAAGAAATATCAGCTTGTCCAGGTCTAGACAGACCTGGACAGACTAATGTTTGTTTTGATGTGTGCAGCTATATTCCTATCACCAACCGTTATTAACCATGATTCCAAAATCTTCAAGCAAAAAGTTGATGTTTGTTCCAAAGCGATTTTCACCGCCTTCGCCAAGGAGCACTAAGATATTCCCTCCGTTGTTGAGATAACTTTTTATGGCCTCAAACTAACATTTGGACGAACAAAATGATATCAAAAAATTGATAATTTGGGGGATAATTTGAGATATATTTTTAATTTGTGGTTAGAAATTTTCATCCTTATAATTAAAACTCCTTCAAACTTATACCTCATTGGCAGATATTTTTTCTCTCGGACCAGCAAGAATGAACAATCTTGCATACATGAGCCTTTCCAATGTGATGTCATCTTTATTTCTAAAATACATTTTATAAAAATAAACATGCTGGATGCAATTACTCTGAACATAGGTATTGTACAAAGTAAAAAAATTAATTTAAAAGCCTCTGTTACGACATCATTTCCAGACAAAGATTCCTTTTGATGGGGAAATGCAAGCAATGCAACCTGTTTACTAATCAGGAACTTGCTTTGTCTGAAAACTAGATCACAGCACAGATCTGGTGATTTGAGTTTGTCATTCAAACTTACACAACAACTTTCCAATTCGTTCTTAGTTTTCGAACCAGTGATTTGAAGCCGTTTGTTGGTGTGAATAGCTCTTTTTTGGATGCATTGAAGACAATTGTGTTGTTTTGACTTGCACCATCATCAGTCTAGTAAATTCAGTTCATGTAAACGTTTTGTTAAAAAAATACATATATGAATAGTTATTGAATAAAAACCTTTATAAGTAAATTTGTATTGGACAAAATATAATACTGCGTTTAAAAGTTATTTTTACATAAATCAGCTCAGAAAAAAGCTTCAAAAAAGCGTTCTACAAAGAAGCTTCAAAATGCAGAACTAATTTCACGCATTTTGGTAAGCATAATCAATGCGATGCATGAAATATTTCGAAGTGTATATATATGTTTACAACAACATGGCAACAAACAGGCGTAGATTTATATCAAAAAATAACTCTTTTCAATGCTTTTACTCTCAAATTTTTAGCGGAAAATATTGTTTAGCATTTAGCATTGCCGATCACAATGATAATTTTAGTTTCGTCGCAAGATAAGCGGCGAAAATGAAGTCAAATACAAACCTGTTCTGTATTCATCGTAACTGGAGCCATATTTGATGTCCGACGTCTTGCTCCGGCTTTGAACCGAAGATGCGCCGACTGCAAAGGTCAAGGTCGAGCTCAGTGATGGCTTTGGCCATGGATAGATATTGGGGCAACCTCTGAACTTCAACGCACCCAGGAACCGCAGACTCCAATTTTCTTGCCCATTTTTTATGATAATTTTGCTGTCATAGATCACAAATATAAAAAAAATGATTTTTCTCTTTTAATCATCGTTAAATGAGACGCACAATATGTTCTTTTGAATGAAGTGTGTCGTTTTTTCTGAGCACCTCAATGTACTACAATACGTCTCTGCTTACATAATTTCGTTACGCGACATTTTGAGAAAATGAAAATAACTTACACGCAGCTTAGCTTTTAAGCGGGTTTATCATATCATGATATGAACAGTTGTGACGTTTAATATGATATCTTTGTTGACATATTGAATTAGCGAGGTATTAAAATTGAACCTTGGTTAAAATACATAACGACAGCTCTACAGAGTCATATTTCTCACAATACATTGTCGTATAAAAGCGAAGACACTCGAAGTAACAAGTGGTTCAGTGGTTGACATCAGGGTGGATTGATATGATTTCACCAACAATGTGATTTTGGTAGGTAACAAATACACAGATATCTCAATTAACGTCGTATTGTCGCTTCGTCGGGCTAATAAACGAAGTGTGCTTTGTTTGGCTAACCGTGATAGATCATAGATGTATTGGATTGGCATAAAGTCACTTTAATACTTTCCCTTAGACTCCCTGGATCCTGATAACAGTTGCTGGTTAAGGTTGGGATACTGGGATTAGTACATGTGGCGTTTCATACCACAGCAGTGGTGAAATGCGGTTTATTTGTACAAAACGATATTGTTGGAGCACCTGCGATCTCAGGCCCTCCTGAGGTAGTCAAGCTTGCGGCCGATGTAGCTCGTCTTCTGCCTTCTCCTCTTCTCTTCTGGCTTCCCTTCCGGGTGCTTTTCTCCTCTTCGCGATTTCCCTTCTCTTCTGGCTTCTCCCCTCCTCATCTTGATTCTCCCCACCTCTTCCGGATGCCTCCCTCCTCATCCTGATTCTCCCCACCTCTTCCGGATGCCTCCCTCCTCATCTTGATTCTCCCCACCTCTTCCGGATGCCTCCCTCCTCATCTTGATTCTCCCCACCTCTTCCGGATGCCTCCCTTCTCATCCTGATTCTCCCCACCTCTTCGCGATTTCCCCTCCTCCTTTGGCTTCCCTCCTTATCTTGATTCTATCCTCATCATTTTGATTCACCCCTCCTCTCCGGGTGCTCCCTCCTCATCCTGATTCTCCCCACCTCTTCGCGATTTCCCCTCCTCCTTTGGCTTCCCTCCTCATCTTGATTCTATCCTCGTCATTTTGATTCTCCCCTCCTCTCCGGGTGCTCCCTCCTCATCCTGATTCTCCCCACCTCTTTGCTATTATCCCTCCTCCTTTCCTCTCCTTCTATTCTCTTTCACTCGTCCACCTGCAATAACTATCCTATACCTCTTCTTCATTAATCCTGCACCATTGTACTGTTAGTTAACAGAACTATATCCATTATGTTCAACTATAACTGTAAGTGGTTTCCCTCCCACAGGTCAACATCTGAGGTGTCTTGAAGCCAAATTCTGTCTCTCTGATGTCAGAACTGGTCCTGCACGAAGCAGCTGCCAGCGGTGACTACCATGAGCTGGAAAGTCTGCTCTTGATGGGCAGAATTGATGTAAATTTCAAAGACGCTGAATTTGGCGACAGAACTGCGCTGCACTGGGCATCTTCCAGAGGTATAGTTATCGTGTTTTGTGTCTGAACTTCACCAGCTTTAACAGCAGTAAGTAGTGCGGCTAGTGCCCATTCTCTTGTTATTAAGGCAACGCAAGCTGTATCAAACTGCTTATGGAAAACGACGCAGATGCGACCGTGCGAATGGCGGGAGGCTGGACGCCAGCTCACTGCGCCGCTGAAGAGGGGAAGCTGAACTCTCTGCGCGTGCTCCACGAACACGGGGCACCGCTATGCCTGACGGAAAACACAGGGGACACCCCACGACGTGTTGCGGAAATATACGGACATGAGGAATGTGTCGAGTTTCTGAAAAGGTCGGTACATTGTTCTGCAAGTGTTCCTATTGACGTTGAAACATTTGTGAAATATTCAATTCGGTTTAAGATCTAATCGCGGTTGCATGCCTTTTTTAGCGTGGAGAAAACAGACGAACAACGAAAGCTCTACATAAAAGATAAAATTCTCAGCCAGGGAAGAAAAATTAGCGAAGGAAAGAAATCCGAACAAAGTCAGACAACTTAAACTGTAGAAAGTCTGGTCTATTTGCCAGCCTGAAACGACCAATGGCTTGTTGACAAAGTTTTTTAAGGAATCGTTCCGGTATCAACGGTGATGCCTCCCTTTTTCGCTGGAAAAACTAGGAAACAAAGATGGAGTAGAGACTGTAATCTTGTATCCAGGGCTATTACCTGTTTCCCCTCCCTCTCTACCGCCTCCGACTCTTTTGGCGTGCTTCTGCAGCCTCTGTTAGCGATTTACCAGCGTGATACGTACAATGTTTCCCGCCTAAATATACTGCATGTAACAAATTATCATTGAAATAAATTACTTCACCGCTTTGCATCATGGTTGTGGACTTGTAGTCGTTTTTATATAAGCGCCATTCGGAATAACGACAATGCAAAGAGCTTCAGTACCTAATAAGAATAGCTTATAGTATTGCGTGTTTTACCCTTTGGACATTAAATAAAAAGACCTGTATACCCGAATGTGGGCTATGAAATTGCCTCTATTATTTGTCTTATTCAGCCAATTATGTATCCATGCCGTATTAATATACCGGCAATATATAATGTATACTTAGGCCCGTTTTAAATCTACGTTTTTACATTGGTTAAAAGTGTTAGACGCTGTAGATGAGGCAACTCTCTATAGATCTATTTTATTCAATCTTTCGGTTAGCTTTGCAACGCTATTTGAAAGCTATTATCCAAATGCATTCCGTTGTCTTTACTACGTCTACGAGTTTTTTTAAACCGTATTTTTATAACGTCACATATAAACATACACACGTTTCAAACTTTTAAAATGAACATTTACTCGATACAAAGTTAAAAGTAAATGTAATCATTATTGTATAGCTCTGTAAGAATGAATCAGTTCAAAAGAAGATAAGTAAAAATACTGAAACGTTATTTCTTCACGCTGAAATGTTTACTCGATATTTCTTCAAAAATTCTTACTGCGACAGCAGTACTTGTGAGTATTCGACAAACTCGAAAATTCAGCGATTGGAGAATATCTTTTCGCACATATTTGTGTCAACTGTTCATCAATTCCGTCTTTCAAAAATCTGCTAGCAATTGCCGTTCAAATCCTGCCATAAATTCATGTGTAGCTGTAGAAGTTTCTCGAGTCGCACTTGAAAATTTCGTGTGGTAAAACAGCAAAGCACATCAAAGTAGGCAATCTTGATAGTGACTGCTTTCCTGCGGCTGCCCCACGCTGAAACATTTGCCGATATAATAGGCTTGAATGCAGGCCCAAATACCAATAAAAACTACGACAACAACAGCTAATATAACATCTAACATGCTCTCTTTCTGTGTCCCGATAAAAAAACACTTTGTATTTCTGAAAATCAAGGTAGGGACATTTTAAATGCTGTTAAAACCTTTTTTAAATGCGCATCTTAACAGGAACCTGTTGGATTTATGTAAAAATGGACGCGTTACCTGCATAATATATATTATATATTACTACGTTGCACCATTGTCATTTCATGACCTTCATGAAATTTTAATGCATCAGTATGCCGGCAGTGGACTTTACCAATTCACACAAAATGAGTCGCTCCAATACAGAATATCAATACGAACTTTTCTGTGTGTGCCTGGCGGGTTTGGACAAAGAGCTCTGGATTTCTCTTCTTCACGAAAGCCTTATTTACACCGTCATGGCGGAATCACACGCGAAGGATTGTAGCGAAAGAAATCGGGCCGAATTTTGACTCATGCATTCATGCATTTTGCACAACAGGAGCACAGCGTTTCATGCAGGTTTTATCAATTTATTTCTCCAGTGCAACCACTTATTAGCGAGATTTCTAAAAGTGTATTTCATACATAGATTTCTCTCAGTTTTTTATTAGAAGTTAGCGTTAAATTAGTTTAATTTTTCACGATTCTTCATATAAGCTGTATCGTAAGTATTCGACCAACCACCCTATAAAAAGATTTAAAAAAACAAAATAAAAAAGTATAGCAGCGAAATCCGAAAGTATTTCAAAATTATTTATCAAATATCAGTCATTTCCTTACTTTACTTCCGTAGTTATCATTATTTCCCGCCTTTTTCTTCTTTTCGTAGTTTTGTTCTAAGACTTGGCATTTGAACAGGAGACCTTTTGTTTTCTCCATAACTTGTTGGTAGACCGAGGAGGCCTGGGTACCCATTACCACGTGACCCTGGTTGAGGTAAAACGATGTACGGAGAACAGTTTAGCCTGGCCCTAAGATTGGAAACAGACCAAAGTTTGAAAGAGACCAACCTTCTCAGAGTCGATCTTTGCGTCCAATCTTGCATTTCTAATTAAGTTGACAATCCATCGTTCAGCGTCCTCAGGGGACATGTCTAGTTTCTCTGCTAACATCCTGAAACATTAAAACATCGCTGTGTGACCAGAACGGTAGACCAGACTTTGGACAACCGTCAGAACTTAATCGGTACTGGAGGTGATGGATCACCATTAGATACTAGAGGCAGTGACTAGAGGTGAGAAAATTTCTAGTTTGACATCATTTTTACTCTTACTTAATGCTGATGCATTGATGAATCCTGCAGAAAGTTTCGAAGATAAAGAGACGAGCATTCTCCTGGAATTCGTCGATACAACCACAAAGAAAGAAATCATTCTTAAGCACCTGAAAAGAGACAAAGACTTGTTTGATGTTCTAAATAGTCGTGCTAGTCTTCAGTAGTCCTAAGTTATCCTCAGTGGTCCTTAATAGTCCTCAATAGTCCTAAGCAGTCCCTAGTTATACTCAATAGACCTAAGTAATCCTAGTAGTCCTTGGTAGTCCAACATGGTCCCTAGTAATCCTCAGTAGTCCTAAGTAGTCTTTAGTTATCCTAAGTAGTCCTTAGTTCTCCTCAGTAGTCCATAATAGTCCTAAGTAGTCCCTAATAGTCCTAAGTAGTCCCTAGTTATCCTCAGTACTCCTTGGAAGTCCTAAGTAGTTCTTAGTATCCTCAGTTATCCTTAGTGATCACTCACTGCTTCACATTCTCTGAGCTTCTTCTGGGCTCCATCAAAATCAAAGTCGACATATAGACATTGCAGGAACTCCGTTATTGGATCTTTGTATGTGTAAGATTCCTGTTCAATAACTTTGACTAGATCCTTTAGAACAACACGACGTCTTTTAGTGGTGATTACAGCTGTTGTTAAGTAGCGCAGGATATGCGGGCACATTGTTTGGATGGCGTTAAGATATCTGAAAGAAAGAGAAGCCGGTTATTATCGACCAGTAAGATGTTTTATCCACTTCCCTAGAAACATCTTGGATGTTATAGTATGTAGTATGCCCTGCTTAACATACTTAGGATTGATATAAAACAAGTCAATCAAGAGATCTCTTCCTTGGTGGTTGAAATAACAAAAAGACTCCAGTGAATTAACCATGTTCTTAGCTGGAGCTGTTGTAGTTCTGGGTAATGCTAAAAGATAAAAAAATACCAGTTATAGAGCCATTCCTGGAAGATCGACTCACAACAAATGAAGGCACAAAGGGAAAATAAACACAGGATATAATTTATCCTACATTTTGATCAACAACGTCTTTAAGTATATCCAGGTCAGCCAGAGCAGCATCCCAATTTTGCATCAATATTTCTGAAGCAAGTTTTCCCCACAGGGCATCAACAGTCTTTGGTTCAGCCGGATGAGCCTGGAAATATTTAAGATCTTGAGATTTTAGAGACCTTGTAGTTTGGAAATGTACGTTGTTCATGCCTCAGAGCTTCATCTTAGTTCATCCTCTATCAATGTTCAGGTAACCTACCAGAACTCTATAAAAATACAGGTTATCCGCAGCACTTTGATAATTTCCACATTCGTATTGAAATTTCGAATAGTGATAAAGGTTCTCAACAGTTTCATATTCCACCTAAAGACACGGAGATTATCTCAGCGAAAAGCTAACATAAAGTGATTACCATACATTAGATACTATTCTAAATACTTTGACAGGCTTGCCTACCATTGTTAAAACAAGTTAAACTTACTCCCTTCTCGTTTTGTATATAATCAAATAAATGTTTTCCATCCCTATAAAATATCAAAAGTAAAATCATAGTTTTGGGCACAAATGGTTATGGTGCTACAAAGGGAACATAATGGTTCATTAGTGAACAGTGTTAATTAGTTAACAGTTTAATAGACAAATAAGAACTGAAATATTCTGTATATAGCCCTTCAAACCTGCTAGTCTGTGCTTTCTCGAGAAACTCTTCATCTTGAAACAATTTCGTGACTGGCTCAGATTTCTCTTCCAATTTCTTCAGTTCGTCCACAACTTCAGCTCGTTTCTCGATTAATTCTAAAGTGATAGCACACAATATGACTCAGGTGTACCAATTAATATTATGATGGTGCTGCTCTAAGTTACCAACTGGGCAAGCTGAAAAATGAGCCTGACCCCAGTGGGATTCAAACCTGCCTAAATATCACCTATTTGAACCATCTTAACCAGTTTAAAAAGTCTAATTCATTTTCAAAGCAACTGTTCCAACCAACCTTCAGGAATTTCTTCGTCTGGGTGAATTTTTTTAAACACATCCATAGCCAGATCCACCTGTTTTTAGATCATTAAATTACAGACAAGTGTTTGAGATACAACGGTCGTAAACAAAGCTAGAATTCTGGTGTATCAAGATTTATTCATTTTTTCATTTATTTTATTCATTTTATACAGTCTCTTTCCCAAGTACTCTGTACTTACCATTTTTGTGTTATTAAGAAGTTCAAGAATTCCTTGAAGCACTTCAGTCTCGGCATATACCTAAATTCACACAAGAAAACCAGTCATATCCGGAAATTTTATATTAGTTAAACATTTTCCTACCACAAAATATCATCCATACATAGTGAATACTAGTGTCGTACAACTTTGTACAGTGTGATAAATTTCTACCCGTTAAACTAAACTACGATGTTTGACGAGAGCTACAAACCTCTTTAACGGACAAGAATTCCATCAAAGGGAAGACTAAATGCCGGTCTAAATAACACCCAATTTTAGAAGTCAAATCTTGGTCGGCCATATTGGAAACGTGTTGTAAAGAAGACGGAGGGGAATACAAGAAGAGAAAGAAGGGGGAACGAACGTTTAAAATCTTTAATACTGCATTTGTTGCTTTTTAACTTTTTAACCCTCGAAAATTGAGATTCGATTTTTTTGCCACTTATTGATTATTGCTGTGATGATATATGTCAAAATCAAAGAGTATTTTATCGTTTCTGGGTAGATATATCTATTCATACACCATAAAAATAATTAGCAAGGGTTCTTAGGCTAATGAACGTGTGCTTTCTTGCAAGCATTTGCATTGAAACAATGGACTTTGTTTAACCCTTTAATGCATTTTATTTTTCAACCTAAACTATTTGGTTTTCAAAAAGAAGTTTCCTTTGAAGTTTGAGGTAGAATTTCGAAAGATTCAATATCCAGTTTATATTGAGGTCGGTGTCACCTCGGTGACGAATCCAAGATGGACGCCAAGTCGAAAGAAAAAGAAATCGATGTTTCAGTGACTATTTCTACCTCTGCTAGCTCAGTAAGGACCGAAGCATCGGATGAGGAATATACCGAGGATTTTCACACGAGTTCTCAGCTTACCGAGGAAGAAATTTCAAGCCAAACGTCGAATGATCGAGGAGAGAATGATAATCAGAATACTGACTTGAGTCAATTTGTTTGTAAAAAGCTTCAAATATTAAAAGAAAAACAGTATAAATGCAAGGGAAAGTCAAGACATCGTGATAAAATCGTTCATACTCACGAAGATCTCAGTCCATTTTTGTTCAAAAAGTTTGAAATTTTGCGGCAAAGAAACGCTTTAGAAAACGAACACTGTCAAAAACACAAAAGCAATATAGACTTGTATAAAGATGGCCAGTTTCCTGGTCTTTCTACAAATAGACGTAGTGATATTACACCAGAAACATATAATAATGAAATAGGACATTTTCAGTCTGCATACGAAAGAATTAAGTTTGAAAATTTACGGGAGAAATGTAAAAAACTTCTCAGCTCCGAGATACACTCCATGAAAACATGTGAAAAATGTCGGAAAGTTGAAGAAGGACTGCTAAAGAACGAGTTTTACGCAAACTGTACGCGCAAGGTTAGGAAGAAGGCCATTGCTGAAAGACTGCCTGACCATATGCAGAGTTCATCATCAGCATTGCTCATTGCAAACATTATTAACAATGCCAATGGCTTAAAAAACAACGTGAAATAAAATAGAAGAAAATATAGCAGAGATCAGATTTAGACTCGAGTAGAAAATGTGCGCCTGTTTTTTTTATTGGAACAATACAGTTAGACAGCATACAAATTATTTGAAATCTTGAGATACGAACGGAAGTATACAAGCTGAACTTATGATACAAAAGGCTCTAATATATAGTACTGTGTACAGTAAAACTTTCCCTAATATGCCTGTCGCAACACTCGTAAGAACCTTTGAGACTTTCTAAAACGACATTGTTCGCGGCCTGAAATAGCGTTGTATCCTTTATTCCAGTTTCACACAAGATCAGTTCCAACGATCATACGTCATCACTCAAGCCGTTTCCATTGGCTGCTCTTCCCCGTTATTCGTAACCACGCCTTCTTCCATTTCTTGTGCCATCTCCACATGCGCCTGCTGTACATTTTCCTCCTGGACAGCGACAATATGCGCAACGTCATCGGACGTCGTGATACTCACGCCGGAGGCAGCCGCGGCCGCGATGATATCCGGGATCTGGACTTGTTCCCCCCTGGACGCCTCGGCGATCACGCTGAGGGCATGAAGCTGACTCGGGTCCAGCATTTTCAGCTGCGCATCGTCAACGTTCATTGCGATGACTTGACCTTCGCCAGCTTGAACATTGGCAATGCTACTAACCTGGAAAACAATAAAAAAAAATAAATACGACATTGCCTATTCTGAAAAACATTAAAACAAAACAATGCAATACAGGGACCGGTTGTATAAAACTCTTTAACTACATTCTGCATATAACCAAGGAGCAGCGTGGCAGCGTCTTCAAACAACTTAGCATCAAATGTGATATAAACTGCCTAAATAGACAATTCTCGACGTTTCGACCTGAGGGCCTTCGTACTTCCATACTAACTCTCCTGACGAAGGCCCTCAGGTCGAAACGTCGAGAAGTGTTTTGTCTATTTAGGCAGTTGTTATACCACATTTGATGCTACATTTTGCATAGTTAAATCCTAGTTAACTCAGAAATACACGACTATGATTGACCAATTCTGTCCTTTACTACAGTCAAAAGTCAACGGCTAGTTTCAAGTCATATTTGAAAAATGATTTTTGACACTTTCTCAGGTATAATGTGGTGATTACTTTATGATTATATAATGCAGAAAGCTGGCATTTGTTTTGAAAATTCGAATGAGTTTTTTTTGCGGTTTGTGGTGTGTCATAAACGCCAAGCAAAAGATCTCTAGTATGACATCATCCCAGTTACCTGCATTAGCTGTTCTTCTGTTAACTGACTTGTGTCCAAAACTTGAGCATTATGAATTATCTAGAAAAAATCAAAGGTTAGAATTTCCATGGACGTGACACCGTGCAGGTTTCAAACCAAATAAACATTTGGACCAAGAATAAAAGCCCCTGGGGTCTAAAATGATGTTACGTCGGTGAAACAGGGATTCTTAATACGTAATATTTCTAGATTAGTATACATATATATGCACATGTTTTACGCTGTTTTACATTCTGGTAGTCTTGTTTTGCAATCTGATATTTTTTTTCACGTGCTAGCCCATATACTGAACACACCTGCCCAGTTTCGTCATTTGCAATGATTTGTACGGTCTGGTCAGCGTTCATATCCGTCTCGATGCCTTGCTGTTCACCAGTCTCCAAGATTTGAACGCTCCCATCGGCATTGGCTTGTCTTTCAGCGCCGGCCTGAATGAGCTGAACTTCCTCGCCCGAGGCCTGTTCTTGATTGGCCGCCACCAGAGCATCACTGACCGCTACAAGTACCTCTGCTAACTGGACATCAGCTTCGTTCGTCAGTTGACTTACAACCTGACCAGCGGTCACCTTCAAAAGTAAGAAAAATGTCCATTGATTATCGCAATTTAACCAACTGATCTCATCATACACGAAGTGCGATGACTCTTGCATTGTTACCTAAACATAATCCAACATAACGTCTCACAATACCTGTTCATGGTCAGCGGCACTTGTCTGCACTGTACTGGTGGTCTGACCATCAGGTGTCATGGTAACACCATGCACCTTCATATGATAGCGCACGCTTGCTTTCCGAGAAAACTGTTTGCCACATGTCTCACATTTGAAGGGTTTCTCTCCTGTGTGGATTCTCAGATGGTTGTTAAAATGACTTCTGTGGTTAAACTGTCTTCCACACGAGTCACACTTGAATGGCCGTTCTCCTGAAAGTGAAATCAGATTTGAACGGTTGTAATGCGTGCCTATACCCAAGTTTGTGGGTTGTAAACACGCGCCACAATTAAAAACAAAGATGGTTGTATACTAAAGATCGACACCTTGAGCACACAATACTATTCAAATCAGTAGCAATATATTGAAAAAAATACAGCAAAAATTTTACCAAAGCTATTCTACCTGTATGTGTGCGGATGTGTTCCTTAAGAGTGCTAAATCTTGTGAACATTTTCTCGCATTCTCCACACTTGTAAGGTTTGTCATCGCTATGAACGGGAAGGTGGACCTTGAGGTCAGTCGCTCGAGCAAATCTTCGTCCACATTCCTCGCACTGGAATGGCTTCTCACCTGAAAACGATTTTAACACCGGATCAATAAAAGATGATCCTTAATATCCAGTATAAATAAAGTTACTGCGGTATAATGTAGGCCTCGTGGCTCGTGGGTCGCATCATTCTCAAACGTACCTGAATGAACAATAGCGTGTCGTTTGAAAGTGACAGAGGAGATGAATTCCTTCTGACACAGATCGCATTTAAAAGGTTTGATTCCAGTGTGTCGCCCCATGTGAGCCTGTAGTTCTTGTTGGGTTCTGAAAGACCGATCACATTCACTGCACTTGTACGGCTTCTCTCCTGTGTGCACAGCCTGAAAAGAGACGTAGTTAGACAAACGTTTGATGAAACTATGCTTCAGGTTTTATCCCCAAATTTCTAAATGCATTCTGTCCATGCACCTGTTCGCCTCGTCTGCTAAGTGTGGTAATATGCAGTCAACTCTCATGCAGCTCTTGTTCTGGTCTGACAGAGAGAAGATAATTAATGAAACGCTCTACAAAACCTTAATGGTTAACTCTCATTAACTCTTCTATAGCTTGACCAGGTAATGAGACTTGACTAAAGTTTTCCCTCGTTTGACTGTTACGTGTGGTAATATCCAGTCAACTCTCATGCAACTCTTGTTCTCATTTGACCAGGTCATGAGAGTTGACGAGAGTTCTCTTAAATTACACCCGTTTAACAAAGGCCTTACCATATGTGACTTGAGTCCAGTCTGGACTGCGAAGGATTTTCCACAAACATCACAGTTATACGGTTTCTCTCCAGTATGAGTGCGAAGATGATCACGCAGCCTCGCTGGACGAGTAAACTGCTTTGGGCAAATATCACATTTATACGGCTTGTCTCCGCTGTGTGTATACTTGTGCTTGACCAGGTCAAAGGATTGAATACACGCGAAGTCACATTGATCACATTTAAAAGGCTTTTCACCTAAAAGAAATGGTAATGCCTTATTTAGAATTCTTTAATAAAGACACCTCTCTAATACAGACATCTCTCTAATACAGACACCTCTCTAATACAGACACCTCTCTAATACAGTCATCTCTCTAATACAAACATCTCTCTAATACAGATATCTCTCTAATACAGACACCTCTCTAATACAGACACCTCTCTAATACAGACATCTCTCTAATACAGACATCTCTCTAATACAGACATCTCTCTAATACAGACACCTCTCCAATACAGATATTTTTCTAATACAGACATCCAAAGCAACGTTTCGCATGATAATCTTACCAGTATGTATGCGGTAATGCCGTTTAAGATCGTCAAACCGTATAAATGCCTTGTCACATTGATCACACTTATACGGCTTTTGTCCAGTATGTCTGAACATATGACGTGATAATTCCGCCTGAGTTTTGAACGCTTTATCGCAATCGTCTTGGGGACAAGGAAATGGTTTCTCATCTTGATGCACGCGACGATGAACCCTGGAAACGAATCCCAAATACAACGTTGAGTACTTCATTTTGTGATGAGCAAAACGAACTCGTCAGTCTCGTTTTCTAGTGGTGTTCATCACCTCAGCGATCCGGGGTTATTAAAAGCTTTATCACATCCTTCAACATCACAAGAATAAGGCTTTTCTTCAGAATGAGAGAGCAAATGAGATCGAAGCGAGCTGGGATTATTGAAGGCTTTCTCACAGTATTCGCATTCATACGGCTTTTCACCTGAATAGACAAGATTTTTCATACTTAAATTCACAGATGAATTTGACTTAATCTGCGAGGATATTGCGCCTTGAAAGAGGGCTTCAATGTCAGTTGATCATTGCAGTGCTGCTAGTCTGACTGAGTGTTGACTGTTGCTACTAATACTAGCCTGACTTGTCTAGTGCTTACTGCTTTGCAATGTTTTATTCAGTGTTTCACTTTCAACCTTCCTCAATGTGAGTTGATCATTGCAGTACTGCTAGTCTGACTGAGTGTTGACTGTTGCTACTAATACTAGCCTGACTAGTCTAGTACTTACTGCTTTGCAATGTTTTATTCAGTGTTTCACTTTCAACCTCCTCAATGTCAGTTGATCATTGCAGTATTGCTAGTCTGACTGAGTGATGACTGTTGCTACTAATACTAGCCTGACTAGTCTAGTACTTACTGCTTTGCAATGTTTTATTCAGTGTTTCTCTTTCAACCTTCCTCAATGTCAGTTGATCATTGCAGTACTGCTAGTCTGACTGAGTGTTGACTGTTGCTACTAATACTAGCCTGACTAGTCTAGTACTTACTGCTTTGCAATGTTTTATTCAGTGTTTCTCTTTCAACCTTCCTCAATGTCAGTTGATCATTGCAGTACTGCTAGTCTGACTGAGTGTTGACTGTTGCTACTAATAGTAGCCTGACTAGTCTAGTACTTACTGCTTTGCAATGTTTTATTCAGTGTTTCACTTTCAACCTTCCTCAATGTCAGTTGATCATTGCAGTACTGCTAGTCTGACTGAGTGTTGACTGTTGCTACTAATACTAGCCTGACTAGTCTAGTACTTACTGCTTTGCAATGTTTTATTCAGTGTTTCACTTTCAACCTCCTCAATGTCAGTTGATCATTGCAGTATTGCTAGTCTGACTGAGTGATGACTGTTGCTACTAATACTAGCCTGACTAGTCTAGTACTTACTGCTTTGCAATGTTTTATTCAGTGTTTCTCTTTCAACCTTCCTCAATGTCAGTTGATCATTGCAGTACTGCTAGTCTGACTGAGTGTTGACTGTTGCTACTAATACTAGCCTGACTAGTCTAGTACTTACTGCTTTGCAATGTTTTATTCAGTGTTTCTCTTTCAACCTTCCTCAATGTCAGTTGATCATTGCAGTACTGCTAGTCTGACTGAGTGTTGACTGTTGCTACTAATAGTAGCCTGACTAGTCTAGTACTTACTGCTTTGCAATGTTTTATTCAGTGTTTCACTTTCAACCTTCCTCAATGTCAGTTGATCATTGCAGTGCTGCTAGTCTGACTGAGTGTTGACTGTTGCTACTAATACAAGCCTGACTAGTCTAGTACTTACTGCTTTGCAATGTTTTATTCAGTGTTTCTCTTTCAACCTTCCTCAATGTCAGTTGATCATTGCAGTACTGCTAGTCTGACTGAGTGTTGACTGTTGCTACTAATACAAGCCTGACTAGTCTAGTACTTACTGCTTTGCAATGTTCACACTCATTCACTTTCGTCCTATTTTCCATTTCAGCCGTGGAAAATTGAACGCAAGAAAGAACATCACTTACCAGTATGAATCAATATGTGTTGTCTCAGATTACTGGCATAGTTAAAGACCTTCTCACAGACATTGCACTTGTGTTGTTTATCGCCAGAAGCGTGTTCTCTCATGTGTCCGTAAAAAGACCAGGATCGAATGTACGCCTTCCCACAAATCTCACAAGTGTACTTCGGTTTTTCCAACTCTGGGAAAAAAAATGATTAAGAATTGCTTTGAAAGGAATGGCATCTACGCACGGGCGAGTTATCCCTTCAATATATTTTGGGAACTTCATGGTGTATGAGAAGAGGTCTGACCTCCTGGTAGAGCATCTTCGGCTGCTTTTTCCTCTTGAACAAGCATCGATTCACCAGCGTTTTCCTCGTCGTCAACACCAGAAGCATCAAAATCTTCGTTTTCTGTTGTCGACACGGCTGTTGATACATCGTTTGTCTCTGTTGTCTGTTCAAGAAAGCAAACTTAGCTCAGTTCAAGTTTGCGAGAAGGGTTCTCAATTATACACAGACAAGGAATATCTGGCCCTAAATACAAGCCAATACAATGTTGACGTGATTACATAAGATAAACAACGCTTTGAAAAACAACAAGCAAACAACATGCGAGTCATAGAAACAAGACAACAATTTTTCGGTGATATTTCGACTTTACTTGAAAAGTCATTCCTAAACCAGTAAATTGTCGTCTGGTCTTAATAACTCATATGTTTGAGTTTACAAGATTTTGGTTTTCGTAGCATTGTTTTTTCTATATGTTATATTTCACAAAATTGTCCATTGGTGAAGGTTTTTAAAGGTTACTCACTCCAATATTTTCAGCAGTTTCAGTCGTGGTTGACACACAAGAACCATCTTGCTCTGTGCTGTGTTCCGCCTCGGCTGTCATAACAGCTGTCAGTGAATTACTTGAAGATGATTCAACTGGGTCTTGAGCAGCGCTGATACTTGTTGTAACGAGATTTGCCTGTGACAAAAAATAAAGTCATACCCTGATGTTGACTACGGTATAACACGGGAGCAGTTCTTTCCTTTTAGCACCAAAAGATTGGTTTTTGTAATGTATATATTTTCCGCACAATCATCCTGTTAAATGCAGCCAACCAATGTTACTGCTGGGGAACTGTCAGTTCTTAGAATTTAAATGTTTAGACATTACCATTCAGTTTTATAAACCAGAATGTTTTTATGGTGTTACTGTGAGCTACCGTGCAACTAGGCAAGCTGAAAGACTAGCTTAACTATTCGCTGGAAATCAAACCCATGCATGACCTTTACTTTCCTAGTCTAATGCTCTTCCAACTGAGCTAGCAAGCTTACAAGGATCTAAATTTGAAATATATCACATATTCGAATCGTCTTAATCTGGTCTAGTTTTTACGTGACGACTTTCCCGCATTTTGAGTCGAAGCACAAGAGTTGAATATCGTTTGTCTTTCAATATCAAGTCTCAAAACACTATTTTGAATATCTACCTGTGTCAAAGCTTGCAGTTCGCTACTAGATATTGTAGTCACAGGAACTATTTGTGTTGTGCTTCCAGATTTATTCTGAAAGAGCTGAACGTCGCCAGATTGTGATAGAACCTGAACTGCTATCATTTCCGCCTGCATTGTTGATAGTGTATCTTGATCAACTGTTAATATTGAGCTGGTTGGTATCACATTGGTGCCACTAGTAGTAGAGGTAGCTAAGAAAAGAATGTCATGGTAGTTTAGGTTCTTGTAGATGTGTGATCCTTACTGGACCTCAAGGAAGAACAGTTTAGAACTGATAGAGCTATCCAGTATAAATAAAGTTAGTTTAGTTTAGGTTTCCTCCTGAAGTAATACTGGATCAATAAGAGATGATCCTTACTGAACGTCTAGGAAGAACAGTTTAGAACTGATAGAGCTATCCAGTATAAATAAAGTTAGTTTAGTTTAGGTTTCCTCCTGTAGTAACACTGGATCAATAAGAGATGATCCTTACTGAACCTCTACGAAGAACAGTTTAGAACTGATAGAGCTATCCAGTATAAATAAAGTTAGTTTAGTTTAGGTTTCCTCATGTAGTAACACTGGATCAATAATTTAACACTGAATCATAATACAATTGATGGTTACCTTGTTGTAGAATCATCTGTCCTTCTAACACTTCACCAGCACTAGTTATTTGTTCTGGCAGATTACCAGACTCTACAACTTCCAGATAAACTGCCGGCTGGTCGTGTGATGAATCACCATGTTCATCTCCTTGTGGTTGAATTGCAACATACAATGTTTGTGGATTGCTACCATCCTCGCTGGTGGTAACAATCTCGTGGGTAATGGTAGAGGTGTCTGCGGACACGACTGGTTGTTGCTCCTGATGGTCGAGAACAAGTTTGTGATTTTGTGTGGTGTCAGATGAAGAGATCACACTCTGCTCTGTTTGTGAAATTTCAGACGACTGAGGTTCTTGGTTGTCTTTAGAAACCTAAATGTAGCCACAACAGTTGACACTCCCTCTCTCTCAATCTCTATGCAATAATTAACATCTCCAGTTTTTGAAATACAGTTGATTATTTAAGCAACAACATGGCTTCGCTGATTCAACAAAGTCTCTTCTATTGGGATTTTTTATGACCAAATTTGTTGATAGATAAAACTTACAACATCATTAGAAGAACTCGCTTCATTCAGTATCACATCATTTTGATGAGAATTTGTGGTTGTCGTTGCACAAACCTCATCTGAACTTTGAACATCTTCCATACTTGAGACTGGAACAGATACAACAAAAATTGCCATGAAATTCTGCCCATTTGTTTATGTGACATGCAGGACCATATATGCCAGTTTTTGTGGACAGGGCTGTATGGTATATATAATACTAGGTATTGGATGAACTAGCTGGCTTGCCAAACAGGCTATAAAACAATTCCCAGTAATCAAAGTAGGAATACTTTGACTACTGGAAATTGTTTTACCATTAAGGCAGCAAGGGTTTGTTGAATTAATAGCTTTGTTAGCTAGTACTTTTTAATTGATTTTCAACACAGATTACATACATACAATGTTTAATGGTCTTGTTTAGACCTGTGTTTAGACTGACTTTAGACATAAGTTTGGTAAAGTGGGTGAGAAAACTTTGTGCAAGTCTTAAGATTCAGGTTGATAGATATGAATTTATAAATCAAGCTTATGGTCTTAAAAGACAAGGATTTTTATCATGAAATAGTGCCATAAATATCTGCTATACTTTTTCCATTCTTATTGCATAGGGAAGCCTTACACCAATAAAACTCATCCAAACATCAGAAGCCAACTTCCTATAAATCAACTCATCAACATCCAGCATATGTCTTTCAGATCTGACTAAACGGCCATTATGCATGCCCTTGATTAATACAAGACGCCAAAATATCACAGAAAATCTCGCCACAAAATATAGTTTACAACACATGGTTAACGCTAGACGATCCACAACAAAGTATAAACCAAAATATCTACGAAAAGGGCAATCTCTTGGGTATATCACACCGAAATTTAGAGCCTTTTGTGTTAAACTTCGAGTGTCGAAAAAAACGCCTCATTCTTTGCGAACAAAGCATGCTAACGCGCTCGGAAAAAACACAATATTTTAACATCTTTCTATAAAGGAACATCCGTAGTGTTCTTCTAAGGTAGTTTTTAGCGATGAAACGCGCGGAAATCGCTGTTTTTTCTCCCCCAAAAACCTCTCTTTTGCTTCGCATTTTCCATGGAAATATTTTTCAAAATATAAAAGACCGCTGCTTCGAAGAGCCGCCACATTTTTACTGACCACAAAGAAGGCGGGCGACGTCCTTAGCAAAAAGCTCAAAAAATATTTCCAATTTCAGAAATGTGTTAAAAACACCCCGGGGCTCCTTATTTTCTACAAAAAGTGCAGTTATTGAGGTATATAATGGTGATAGTTTTCAACTTTATTTCGCTTACCGTTTTTGTCGCTTTCTGAGCTCGCCATGTTCACGAAGGTCTCCCAGCACGCAGTTCGGGCGTGACCACTGAGCTGCTACGTCACTGGAGCACTATGGGAGCGTCTAGACTCTAGATCAGTCTAGATCATTGAAATATAGCGGAATTTGACGTGATCACCGTTACCATGCTAAATTTGGATGGTAATGATAAATGATTAACTAATATTTCATAACCGTCTTTCCCAGACGAGGTCAAATCATCACCGGTCGAGTTTCTAGACAAACCAGGAAACATTGTTTCCTAGCCATGTTTCATGAAGGTAGACAAACCAGGAAACATTGTTTCCTAGCCATGTTTCATGAAGGTAGACAAACCAGGAAACATTGTTTCCTAGCCACGTTTCCTTAAAGTGGACAAATCAGGAAACATTGTTTCCTAGCCATTTTCTGAAGTTGGACAACATAATAATATCTCAGTAAGATATTTTTCACAAAAACTGATAAACAAGAAAAAGAAACATTGAAAAGTAATGAACATGTTCAATATACAAATATAGTTTATTCCTCGACTATATTCTGACATAAATATCAGTGAACTGCCATTACTTTCTACGAGATTACATCGTTCAAATTAACAACTTTCTAATTTTCTATAGTTGTGCAAAAACCACATACAACTACGTGAAAATACAGGGAAGACAACATAACCCACAAAAATCTACTGTGTACATATATATACGAGCTAGGATATCTTTAAATTGCCATTGAACCTGGTTGCTGAAGGCTCGAATGGAGAGTTTTTACTCTTCAGTCAGTTGGGCAAAGTCAGTAATTTTCCTCTTTTGATAGATGTGAAAGAGCGAATATTTATAAATGCTAAGACTTTTAGAGCTCATGTTTGAGCATCCATCAACTAATCAACTCATTCACATCTATCAAAAGAAGAATGTAAAATTGTAATAAACAATGCATTTGTACATTACTTAGAGGGTTTATGCAACCAGTTTCATGGCATTAAAAATATCCCTGGCCTGAAGTCAATATTGAGACAATCTTACATTTTTAAACAACACAAGCAGTCAAATAGGATGCTGGCAAACAGCTAAATACTAATTACTATGTTAATTAATCCTGGCCAAATCAAATGCCTTCGACTTTACAAGCATGCAATAAAGTTTCTTGCCAGCCTGATAAATTTAGTTATTGGCATATGGCGGAGGGCTTTCTTTGGGAGTTTCCTTTGTTGCGTCGTCATAGTTTGGTAACAATGGCTGGAATGAAAGAAAGACAATGGTTAATTAAAGAACATTTAATTCCAACAGGCAAATTTTGTTTGAAATTGTTTTTAAGGAGAATTTCTTTTGTATTTTCCAAGATTACCTCAAAGTCACTTTCGTTACAGCAAGAACGCACAACTTCATCTCCTGACAATTTTTTCAAACGAATAACCAGTAGCTTGTAGCAAGTCCAGACGCAGTTTGCAAGATAGGCCTGTCAGGGAAAGGTTGCAAGTTAATCAAGGTTAGAGGTGGAACAGGTGATCGTAGCACAAAAGAAAATGAAATATTAGTTTACCTTGATGATAAGGAATGCAGTAAATGTGGCAATTAAACAACGTTGATCAACCTTATCCAGTCTCATGTATCTGTAGTGATGTGATACCTGTAGAAATAGCAAGAGTTTTTCATTAGGGTGTGAAACGCCTCAGATCTTTGTTGGTAAAGATGAGGTCAGTTTCATTAGCTCACCAAACAAAGGTTATCTTATTATCTACGAGTATGCAGCAACACCTGTGTTTTACTCTAATGCTAGATCATTTCACTGGTTGGAGGGAGATGTGATGTTGGAAAACATGAAAATCAAATTCATTTACCCGGCTTCTCCAAACGACGACTTGATCGTGGTTCGTCACGGCTCCAAATAGCAACAAAACACAGACGCAAAGGTCAAATACTTGAATACAAAAGAACGGTAGCATATAGCAGGGACGACGCTAAAGAAAGAACATGAATATTTAATGAAATCCAAGAGCCTACGACACTGATATAAAAAACATGAGGTTTCCTCTCAGGATATTAGTCACTTTGATGTATTAGTTCTAGTTAGAACACTGAAATAGGCTCAAATAGCATATCACAAAGTTACAACTTTAGGTTAAAAATATTATGAAGGTACAATGTCATTTGAAGGTATAGCTTTGAAGGTATAGCTAAATCATATTTAAAGTACAATTATGTTTTGAACCTGAATTGTGCCATAGATCATAAGTGCTGTCAAAATAAACAGCAGCAGCGAAATAGCCAGGGTAGCAAAATTGCTTCCTGAAAAAAAGAGAAACGCATCATATCGCAATAAATTCGTGAATTTCTACATTGTTGGGATGATCAGATTGGCTGCACAGAGAATCCATTAAGGATTTCCTTATGATCTGCTTTGTATTCATTAAATATGGACAGGTCTAGAGATGGGGAAAGGATTCTTGTTCAAAATATACCTTTCATGATGTGATTACTGGAAATGTACGGGCTTTCTTTGTCGTAGGTATCAGGATGAACCAAGACTTGGCAAATTACAACAATGGCTGCAACTTGGAAGACCTTGAAAATGGTAAAAATAATAAACTAATTTAGTAAAAAGTAAAACTAGCAAACGCACGCATCCCCTTTCTGACAACAAAGAAAAATTAATATACATAACACATGGCCTCTGGTGTCCTTTCTCAATTCTATGAAACCAAATTTCTGGACATTTATCCTAAAATATTGGGACTTTATTTTAAAAAGGCAGTTGTCTAATGATTTTAACTTCACCAGAACAGCGTGAAAATAGAAACGAATTGATGAATCATGATGATTTTCACGAGACTGCTTTTGTTTAGGATAAATAAGGCCCAAAACTCGAATCTCAAGCAATTGATGTATAAAAATATTTAATGATCAATCATTTTTGTTAATTTGATGCCCCGTAGGAAGGCTATTTGCAAAGACGCACCCAAAATTGTACAAGTAACTTTTCGTAATAATAGAAAAATTATTAGTTAAATATGAAAGGAAGTCGGCCAAATGAAAGTGTCCCGGAACAATTTATACCAAGAAGTACAAAAGGACAAAGTATATTCAATATACAACAATCATATAACAGATTCTTTCATATTTTACTTTGGTTTTTGAAAACTTCAATCACTTGTGTAAACATCTGTCGGACGCTAAAGAGATTTTAAGATCTGCGAAAAAATAACACACGAGAACGCTTGAATTCTCAAATATATGCGAAGATCTTTTCCCTTTAATCCATCATACGAAACCCAATTCATCATCCCGGCAAAACTGGATCAAATTCGATTGAAAAACCGTAGCTTTTTCGTTATCAGACATACACAACAAGCATCAGTGTTTATACTCAAGTTCGTTTATCTGTTTTGTCGACCGTAAATTGGCCGTACAAAAGGTTCAACACACGAAAATCATACTCGAGATGGGAGAAATCAATCGGAAATTTAAAAAGGGACTATAGAAACTCGTAAGAGTACAAGTATTTCGAAAGATTTCATAGATATTTGAAAGAGAACAGAATGCGGCTGAACAGGATGTGATGTCGTATTGTTCTCAGTATGAACGTAATGAAACCTACCAAATGGATCAATCCGAGTATTATAACGCCCGTACGAATATCCAGACACATACAGCATCGATTCATGTACGAATGTTCACATTCTTCGCATTTTCTGTGCTGTTGTTTTCCCATTTTCTGTGCGAAAAGGAGCCTGAAAATCTTATCTCCGCTCTTCGTCTTCCTCTGTTTATTTGTTGGAGACCAAGGCCGCAATGATGCCTGGGATGACGTTGCACTTGCCGTCGTTTGCCACAACGGTGGTCACCCAAAACAATAGACACCCACAACCCACAACTTACCGCGGATGCCACTGAGAGGGGTGTAACAAAGTCTATTTCCTGGATGGAGGAGGATGGGGGTGAATGTGCCTTTTTCTTATCGAGAACAAAGATATACTGCCTGATTCTACAATTCTAGGCACACCCATACTTTTCTAAAAATAGCGCATTTTTCAAAGAAGCGAAGTACTCATTTCCGCAGGAAACCACAGTAAAACCACAAGGACGATTTTAAACCACAAGATCTAAATATAACAGTTGTTAGACTAGCTAGTATTAGTACAAATCTGCTTCAGGTCGATTCGAAAAGAACTTGTCTATATTTACTTTGAACTCACAGACAGGATTATGTCATATATTTTATTTAATAAACTCTAAAAAGTTCACATCTTTCCCATAAAATATTTTTACATTTAAATCATTTAAACGTGCAGTTTTTAGTAGTGAATGTTAACTAATAAACAGTCAAAACAATAATATAAGAAGTAGTAATTGGTCAACAGGGGCGAGCGCTTTTTACACCCCTTCGAATAGCATCGCTTCTGCAACGATAACTATAGAAATAGTTCAGAGCTTTTAAAACTCTTTTTCTGGTCACATTGTCCAATAAGTCTGTCCTAAAGCGTTTTGTGCCATAACAATTAACAATTAGACCGGGCGACCGTGTGACTGATAAATTGCCATGAAGGACTGGGACTTCGTATTAAGGAAGCCTGACATGTTTTTCACAGATTTGTCCCCACTCATGATGACGAGTTGAGAAAAATATACAAGGGTGAATTTTCTAGCGAGGAATTCAAAAATTATTTGTGTTTGTAGACGTCGGGAATACTTTAGAAGTTACTACTTACATTATCCAGAGTACCTAACCCTTAATTTTAATGTTTATCAAATCTATTATCGTGTTAAGATCTACAAAATTTTTGAGGTAAAAATACAGGAAGCCTCAAAATGTCAAATTTGGGTCAATAAGCAACCATCCTTGAATCATCTGTCGCAAGAATCTGATATTATGGCGTATTTACAAATAATTAATGTTCCAGTAAATTGAAGGTCATCGGTTCCTGCCGACACAAAACGAATCGCCGCGAAGCACCACTCGGGTCAGCATCGGTACCGAAGTACAGCATGGTGCCCGCAGTCTTTCAATTTTAGTAAAGCAATGCGAAGGTCCAGCGGGAATAGAACTCCATGAAAATATGGAGAGTCGAGTGTTGTGATCACGGCCTGTGAAATCTGTATAAAAGAACACCTAGGGATTAGACCTGCAGGATTTCAACACAGAACTGTTTAAAACTGATAGAGCTATCCAGTATAAATACAGTTAGTTTAATTTAGGTTTCCTCCTGTAGTAACACTGGATCAATAAGAGATGATCATTACTGGACCTCTAGGAAGAACAGTTTAGAACTGATAAAGCTATCCAGTATAAATAAAGTTAGTTTAGTTTAGGTTTCCTCCTGTAGTAACACTGGATCAATAAGAGATAAAGTCGATTATTTTGTACAAAAAAAGACAGAAGGATAGTTCATACCTCGTGTATTGCTTGCTAGCTTCGTGAACCTCCATTTCATAGCTTTTAAACTCATTCAATTCTTTACGAATTGCAGCCTGCAAGTGGAAACACAGAGACCAACGATTAATTTCAAACAAACGTCCACAAGTCTTCAAATATTGTAACTATGTTAAGAACAAACGGGTTACCTTATCCTGAGGTGTTAACCTTGTCCATGGCTTATCAGCCCTAAACATTAAAAAAGTTTTTACCATAACGGTGATAACCTTACAATGATTTGAAAATCAGAGCTTGAAGATACCTGACATTTGATTGGCTCGTTAGTTTTGGGGAACCAATCAAACTTCGTGTACCATCAGACTTAGAACTAAACACACCTTCTATCGTATTCTTGCACGTCGAAAACCTCGACATAATCATTGAATTGGACCAAAATATTTTTCTCTCTGAGCTCCTTTACTGTGGGTCGTCGACTTAACTGGATGGTGAAGACAAGAAATTGTTTGAATGCGGTGAATTAGGATGTGTCTAACGACAGTACCTAAAGCAAAATGATTCACTCCTCAGTAATAACAAGAGTTACCTTTCTGTTTAAAATCTTTTTCTTTTGTTCAATATCATGTTCAATTTCGGCAGCGGAGGCATCTAAAATACAGAAATATGTTAGGTACAAAACAAAGAAATATCTCTGTTTATCTTTCTCTTCCCTCTCTATCATCATCTTCCCCCCCCCCCTCTATCATCTCCCCTCCTCTGTCATCTTCTCCCCTTCCCCTCTATCATGTCCCCTCCTCTGTCATCTTCTCCCTTCCCCCTCTATTAACTCACTCCCCCTCTATCATCTCCCCTCCTCTGTCATCTTCTCCCCTCCCCCTCTATCATCTCCCCTCCCCCTCTATCATCTCCCCTTCTCTGTCATCTTCTCCCCTCCCCCTCTATCATCTCTCCTCCTCTGTCATCTCCTCCCCTCCCCCTCTATCATCTCCCCTCCCCCTCTATCATCTCCCCCTCTGTCATCTTCCCCTCCCCCTATCATCTCCCCTCCCCCTCTATCATCTCCCATCCTCTGTCATCTTCTCCCCTCCCCCTCTATTAACTCACTCCCCCTCTATCATCTCCCCTCCTCTGTCATCTTCTCCCCTCCCCCTCTATCATCTCCCTCCCCCTCTATCATCTCCCTCCTCTATCACCGTCGTCTAGGAAGTTAAGTCAGAGTATTTATTGTGATTAATAAATTTACAGGTACAACTTGGTAATGGAATTAAGAAAGTCAATTTTCGCCAAATTTAATCTTAAACAATTCTCGCTTGACCATAAACCAATGGCATTGGGCTAATGTTTGGTCGAATTTGCTAAATCTCTGTCTTCTAAACTGCTCCGGTTTCTGTTAAAGATGAGAGCTGATAGCATTACTTACTCTTTATGATTCCTCTCGCTTTTAAATCGTCTATTGAAGGTCGTAAACTCAGCCGCCTGTTGAAAGGAAAAAAGGCGTAAGTGCAAGAAAACTTTAAAGAATAACAGTACAAACTTCCTGCAGACAAATTTCACAAAACTTTTGCCACCCTGTAAACATTTCCTGCTAGAATAAACGTCAGCTACTTTACCCGGAAAAATACGCGATTGTTGTCATGGAGTATATATCATCGGATCAAAATACTCGGAGTCGATAGCAACTGATAATCTGCTTATGAGACGCGAAGACAGATATTTTAATCGGAGTGCTGCTAACGTTTGGTGTCAGAGAGCCGCTGTCATCGTTACCCTTTCATATCAGTTTATAGATGGCTTTATTTACACAAGGAACAGGTTTGAGGTGGGTGTGCTAAAATATTCCTCAAATAATCAGAGCCCGCATAACACGTCACCTGAACAACAAAATACTGATCTGTAAACGACTGGATGGTGAAACTGCATAATATATTTCGACATCGCAAATCCGCTGTGTTAGGAGAGATCTTTAAATAGAGTTTACTGTGACATGGAATGAAACGTTGAATACTGCACGGTAAATTTTGGTCGTTTTGACGCTGGTTAACTAAATAAACCCTGGGAAACTCCAATGCACAACAATATTAAAGAGTTCTTCATCGAATTCCCCAACAGTCTTATCATAAAGATGAATATATATATTCTTCAAGGATTTTCTTTCGTTTGAAAGATATCTCATTTTTAAAGTTATGACACACATACTCGAGGTCATGTAGGAATAAACAAGGGAAAATAACAACAGAGAGTTTACATCCAACCTAGGATTGTTAAAATATCTATAAACCATGACTAGTCAAAATATTTATCTTGCTCGTGTCAATTCCGGAGGATCAATATAACCATACGTTCCGACTCTGAAAGTTGCTGGGTTGCCACTAAAACATTCATTTATATACTTACACCAAGTCTAACGTCTGAACTGTAATCAAGTAGACCATTACTTCCAGATTTACGAATAGATTCGAGATGGTAACGGGGCTTGGTAAGGCATGGCTGATAATAAACTCCACAGCCATCAAAACGCGGTAGCCAAGATTGGAAAACACGTTCACAAGAAACATAGCTCAAGAATGACGGAAGATTTTCCAAGCAGTTCCAAACGTTTATCCACACTTTTAGTCCACCTTTCTCGGTGGCCCTAATGATTGTGTTTGAGTCCCGAGGTTTTGGGTGAAGAGTTTTAAAAACAGGTGAGACAATTCTGCAGAATTGTTTCCACACAGATGTAATCAACGAAAGAAAATGCAATCCAAAAGCCGAGTAAAGCTACAATCCAAAGTTGCGAATTTGGTTTCGCCAACAAGTTCTATCGCACACGATACAAACACGAGACTATACTTTCTTTCCACATCACGCGCCTGGTCAGGTGCTCGGACAAACACCTCAAAAATATCTTTAGGATGTGTATAACCAACGTGGTTTTACAAAATGGAATGAAACATACGTTATGCTTTTATCTCAAACCAATGCAGCGCCGATCAAAACAAACTTCTCAAAACAAATTTCCACCCACCAATCACGTTCATAGTGTGGGCAACAGCGTAAAGAAAGTTGTTGTCAATTTCCACAAAGGTTTCGACAAATATTTGGACAACTTCAAAAGATGATGGAACAGAGACTTTCAACCATGCAACGCTTGCATATGCATGGTATTCGTTCGTCTATCCTCAAATGTCGATTGGATATTTCATGCATAGTAAAACGTCTTATGTGAATTCGTTAACAGGTACATTAAGCAGAGTTGACCACATTTTTGCAGGTGGAAAACCGAAGAGTGTTTCTGCATTGAAAATGACAAATTAATTGAAACATATCGTTCTTTGCCACCAGCAGGGATAAACACTTTAACATGAAACCATTTCCCAAGAAAGATCGAGACTTTACTAACTATATTCGGCTGAGATATTGATCAGGCAACGTATAATGTTGAAAGTCAGGAGTTTTGAGTTTCCGACATGAAATTTTTGCCATTAGCTGCCAGAGTGTCGGGCGTCCTAAAAAATATATCTCTAAGGGTTGGGACTGCCTGTCATGCAGGCTAATTTCCACACGAAAGCCGAGTGGGCGCGGAATTGGATTAAAAGACTCGGCACAAGATTATTGTTCAAGTACGTTATTATAGCGACGTATGGAATATACTCGTAACGCCGGAATTTTTTAGGTAATCTGTCTCTGAAAAGCTCTAAGGAGTTATCTAAAGTGCATGGATATATCAAATCGTATTTTTAACATCCAGATTCAAGAAGGATTCCGATATTTGCACAAACAACAGATGAACAATCATCTCTGCATAAGACAAAATGTGTAATATTATTTTCTAGTTGGTAGGATGAAAAATGATGAAGTTTACCTTGTAAGCTGTGTTCCGATGTGTTCTCGTTTTTCGTGTAATTCTTCCTCGCTTTTGACTAATAAAGACAAAAATAAGAACCGTTTTACAAACATTAATTGATACAATCATCAAGCATGGATATAAGTCGACAGTTCAAAGCTCGACTTGTATGGAACCTATAAGAGATGATCCTTACTGAGCCTCTAGGAAGAACAGTTTAGAACTGATAGAGCTATCCAGTATAAATAAAGTTAGTTTAGTTTAGGTTTCCTCCTGTAGTAACACTGGATCAATACGAGATGATCCTTGCTGACTCAATATCAATAATCAATTACATGCATTGCTTGGAAACAATGTGTCTTATGCTTGTTATCAAACAAAACAGCCAATGAGCAAATATCTCAATTTCGTTGGAAAACAAGGAGAATCCTCGGATAAAGATATATTTTCGCCGTCTCATGCAAGCAAGCAAACGTCATTATACTTTTCAATTTAGTAACAGCCTCTGAGCAGCCTCTAAACTGCTGAGCACATGCTTGCATCTCGTTCAATATCACAAACGTTTATCTGATTCTAACGCATCAGGCGGTCATCATCCAGTATTGTAAGATCAGTTTTAGTACGTTCTAACAGGCTGTAAAATTAGCTATGTTTAGCCCCTTGGATGATGGTTTTTAAGGTACATTACCAATGGAAACATGCTTGATGGGTCTTCCTAGTTAACCCCATTATTTACGTATCGTGATATGGCCTAAAACCCATCACTCAAAAGGCACGAACTGTGCTTTTAAACAAAAGGTCATTTCAGTTGCTATGAAGCCAAGTTCATTTGCTTTACTACATTACTACAGCAAGTACTACCCCGTCTGCTCCAGGAATATTGTAAAAGAGATAAGAGGAAGAAATAGAAAATTCTAGAGTTTTATTTTGAGAAAAAAGTTCATTATCCTCAGCGGTAATCTTTGAAATTTCCTGAATATGAGACTAGGCTATTTTAGGAAGAAAGATAGTGTCTCACCCCTGCTGTTTGATGACAAAATAGATAGGAGAAGGAAAGAATTTGGGGAGAGTTGTCTTATACATGGCAAAAAAAAACGCTCAAATCGTTCCCGGTTGATGAGAACAGGCCTCAACAATGTTGTGCTGCACCCTATGAACCATGTTGTCAACAATGTTGTTTCACCTTGTTAGGCTTAAAGGCTAGTTTCCACTCAGGAAAATTCTCCTTTGGATCGGACAGGACAGGAAAGTTTCCTTTGTATAAACGCCGCCTGAGAACTCACCAACAAAGGAAATTTTCCTGCCCGTTCCGATCCAAAGGAGATTTTTCCTGAGGGGAAACTAGCCTTAACAATATTGCAACATGTTGTTGACAACATTGTTCATGGGGTGCAGCACAACTTTGGTGAGGCCTGTTCTCATCAACCGGGAACAACTTGAGCTTTTTTTTGCCGTGTAATTTATACGCAGTACACAATTATAGCATCAGGGTTAGAACACTTCACTACTGCGCTAAAACGAAGCTAAATTCTCGCTTAATATGAGCTTAAAGTGTAAAAAAATGTTGGAAAGGTTTACAAATGAACCCTATCAAAGGCGTATGAGTGTTATACCTTCAGGATACAGTACACGTACAGCACAATATCTAATACTATTTCGGTCCTTTAACAGTGACATAAATCCCACAAGGTGAAATCAGTATTACTGCAAGCAACAAGAAATATTTCTAGCGAGTTTTTTTATACATAAAACTATATTATAAAATAAATAAACATATATATACATTTATTGCATTATACCTGACAAGATACTTGTATTTTAGAAGAGCTAAATTGAGTTTACGATATATATAGAGTGATGATGATCTTGGCGCTTTTGCGGACGCATGAAAAATAGTTTTTTTTAAATATTGATATAAAAATTTAATGAAATACTCACATCTAGGAAACGCTCGTACAACATGACGAATTTTAATAAATGATCGTCGAAAAATCGTGAAAAGTAGCGTCATTTAGAAAGCAATGTTTTGATGACTGATTACAATTCTCAATTGCATGAGGTTGTTTTTTCCATCTCTTTTTAAACGAACAATTAGCGTGTAGGCGGACAGATGTTCTGACAGCGAATCAAATCGCTAGGGAACATATGTGAAGATAAATTAATATCTCGTTCTTTCATTTCCACTAAACTATCATACAGGAGAAACGCTGTCTGATTCGCCGGTTTTAATAAATGACGTCTATTGAGAATGCCGACTTGGGACAAACTGTAGTTTGTGTATGCACAATAATACAACAACGGTATGGGGCTATTAGACAAACTACCTGGAAAATATAAACCATTTCCCAAGATATGACTGCAGAAATTTCTCGTGGGAAGACAAGGGACACATTTAAACGCATTTAGATTGAGTGTTTACTGGGAAATGAGGATATTTCATTTCTTAACGCCTACAAACGTATAATAATACTGCTACAGCAGATATTTATAATCGCTCATTCATTGACGCACGTCGCCTGTCATTTATTTTTGTCTTAAGCAAACAATCCCAAAAAACTTTTTTGGGAAAAGATAATTAAGGCTGTCAAGTCAAGGTAAAGGGCGGATAAACTTAGGAGACGTTTTCACTTCGACTGAATCTTACTAATGTAATTCATTAGTACATTAATTACCAGGATAATGTCAAAGCTCTACACGATCGCGTGACACGTGAACCCCCGCGTGTTTTCAAGTAATCGTTTAGTATGACTGTTACATGAAGACGGCAACTAGTTGGCTTCATCAGTTTTAAACTGTTCTTCTGAACTAACTTTATTTATACTGGATAGCTCTATCAGTTCTGAAATGTTCTTCCTAGAGGTCCAGTAAGGATCATCTCTTATTGATCCAGTGTTACTACAGGAGGAAACCTAAACTAAACTAACTTTATTTATACTGGATAGTTCTATCAGTTCTAAACTGTTCTTCTCAGAGGTTCGGTAAGGATCATCTCTTATTGATCCATATATTAGGATTTTAGCCATAACAGAAAGTGTTATCTCTAGACTTTACTTGTCCAAGTAAGAATCACACGAAATTAAAAAAACAAATTTTCTAACCTGGAAGGATATTTCGTTCTTCCAAATCCTTCTTGCTTGGTCTTTGGTTTAGTTTTGAGGCCAAACTGTCTTTTCTTTTCAATTTTGATGCCCACTCTGTGGCAGGAAAAGAAAATCTTGAGCAAATACGGCTATATCACCGCCACCATATTGGCCCGAAAAGGGCCTGCGTAGGAGGTAGCAAATATGGTACCTTACGCGCGCAACAAGCATTCTGCACTCAGCATTTTGCTGTTTGCGAATAAGCAAATTTTCGAGGCTGGGTTTAGTCCACGATTAGGTACGTCGAACAAGTTTCGAAATTGTTTTGGAAAACTTGTGTCGACGATCTTTAAAAAACCTTGTTCTAATACAAGTATTTGTGAACAATTCCAAAAAAGGGATTGCTAAAGGCCACCTCAACAAGCATGCATGCAAGGAATTGTTGCATTGAGATTGTCGCATTGAGATGGTTTATTCATCTCAATGAATTGTTGTCCTAATATGCCTCTGGTGACACTGGTCACTCGTATAAGAATAGGTACGCTGAGTGTACACGTGTTTCATGATGGTAGCAGAATCAGGGTTTCCACAATGCAAGGAAATTTCCTTACAATCGACAACCACCAGAGAGAAAGAGAGAGGGATCTGTTTTAATAGAATATTTCATGTGCTCTTTTCAAAAGTTCTTTGTTTCTCTCTTTGCAATTGCCATCCCCCTATGAGGACAGTCGTATGCAAATAAGTTGTGGAAAACCTGAGCGGAATTATACAAATGTTGATTTGTTAAAATATGAGGGATCATATGGACAGCATGAACAGACATTAAACAAGATCTTAAGACATACGCAAAACAATTCCGTTCAGTTCTTCTTCATCCTCGGATTCTGCAGAATTATCGCCCTGATCGCTGGAACTATCATCACGTGTTTGAAGATTGTCGTAGTCAGGTTGTTCATGAACCCTTGGTATGGCTGGATCTTGGTATGACACTTTACAAGGCTGCGCATTCACTGTTCTAAGAAAAGATTTGATACCCGCCTGTGTTAGTGAAATCTTATAGGGTTAATATGTATGCAGGTAAGGTCTGGTGCTATGCTTTCCTCTAAACTGCCGGGAAGGAAATGTGCTAATCTATAATTCTGTTATGGTTTGTGTCTGAACTACCCGAAAAAAGATGTCTCAAATATGGTGGTCCAGTGTAGGTAGTATTCTACAATATGCTGACGTGGTTTGTGTCTGAACTACCTGAGAAAGTTATTTCAAACGTGGTGGTCAAGTGTAGGTAGTATTCTACAATAAACTGTCGTGGTTTGTGTCTGAACTACCTGAGAAAGTTATCTCAAATGTGGTGGTCCAGTGTAGGTAGTATTCTATAATAAACTGTCGTGTTTGTGTCTGAACTACCTGAGAAAGTTATCTCAAATGTGGTGGTCCAGTGTAGGTAGTATTCTACAATAAACTGTCGTGGTTTGTGTCTGAACTACCTGAGAAAAATATCTCAGACGTGGTGGTTCAGTGTAGGTAGTATTCTACAATATGCTGACGTGGTTTGTGTCTGAACTACCTGAGAAAGATATCTCAAATGTGGTGGTCCAGTGTAGGTAGTATACTACAATAAACTGTCGTGGTTTGTGTCTGAACTACCTGAGAAAGATATCTCAAACGTGGTGGTTCAGTGTAGGTACTGTACTGTTTTCTACAATAAACTGTGTCTGAACTACCTGAGAAATATATCTATGTTCATTAGCATCAGAAACTATAACAAAACAGTTCTATAATATTCACCTCGGATCATTACCCAGCATGCCATTGGGCTGTACATCAGTCGAACCATTTTCCTGAACTAATAAAAGAGCATCCATTAACATACAACCATAATCAAATGGCCAAAAGTGTGTTGAAATAAACAATTTTTCCAACTTCTCAGAATATTAACAACCTCCAGATTAATCAGGATATATTATAAAGCAAGCAGCTTAATCTGTTATAGATTGCTGTCAGCATACTGCAGATATGCATTTACAATTGGGATTAAATTTTAGATCTGGACAAAGACTCAATTCAGCATTCTTGGGCCAACCATTTGAAACAAATGGTCATTTAACAAAGGTCATACCAAATTGAGGCTTTGGTAGAATTCCTTTTTCCACAAGTTCCTCTCTTGCTTTACGTGTGGATAATTTTCTTTCAAGGGCTGCAACAAAACATACGCTTAGTGTAAATTATAAGTCTTACAAAGCAGGGAAACAAGGAAACAAGCAGGGAAACAGCTATTTAGCAAAAATTTCTCTAAAATTCCCACAATCTCATAATAATTCATCTAGTTTGGCCAATGGTAGTACACTGGTTAGTTAACTTATTGCAATATGTGGTTTCTACTGAATATATTTTGGGTCTAAAGCTTTGAAGGTTTACTTATCAGTATAACATTGATAGTAGAAAAAAACAATGCTTGTCTCTTGTGACTGCATTAGTATGCTACTTCAAGAGACACAATTGCAAAGACTATTGCAATTATTCCTGCTAATGGCAGACAAACAACCCCCAAACAATTAAGAAGGTGTTACACACTAATGGCTTGAATTGTTACAACTTTCACTGAGGTTCAATATACAGTTACAAAAATTACTTTAAAATTTTAGACAGTTGAAAAGATGTCTTTGGAAACAGCCGAGGGACTGCATTTAGCCATATCAAATTGGTACCTAAACGAATCTTAGAAGGTTTCAGTTTCAAAATATGAACTTTTTAAAGCGAAAAAAATAGCTGATTATTTAGAAAGCGGCCATTATTATGATGAACACCTTCGCTTTATTTTAATATTCACACGACAAAATATGAGAGCGAAGGAACTTTTAATTCTAAGACTGATGTTTGAAAAAAAAATTAGAGGGTTACATAATCATTTCCATAAAGCAAGGTCTAAATTTGATCTGTTTTGTCTGTCTTTGTCAAGATAAGGTACTCTTTATCGATGGAAAACTAATTGTGTCGTGATGGGCACGCTGCTAAATATTACAATATAAACATTGCCGAAATTTTCAACAATCATGCATACTTGGGAGAAAAACATTTCAAAAATTACGTGTTTCAATCCTCCGAAAAAGGTGAAAAAAACTACATGAATACCGTGAAACATAAACAGTCGTAAATCAAAGGAAAGCATTCTGAAATACTGTCAAGTGTCAATATCGCTGCTACGAAATGACAAATCTTAAATTTCACCCATTCTTGATATCTTTGAATCAGTATTTCCGCAATGCAAATATATCGTATTTTCCAATCTTTGTGAGGTTTCAAAACAGAATTTCTGCGCTAAAAACAACGGTTTTCGGACTATTTGTTGTGTATAAATGGCGAATGATTTGTTTTGGAAAATGTCAAATTTTTCATTTGAATTATTTAATTAGTCGACGTGTTTTAATTTAGGGCAAACATTTGCCAAATGAGTGTCTTTAGCGAAAGGGGGACACATTTTTAGCAATTATAATAAAACGACACGCGTATGCTTTCGGGGTGTCTTTTTGCGAGAAATTAGGAGTTTTCTGGGACGAAAACTGTCTCATGACACCGTAAAAATATTGTCGGAATTTCGAATGGAAACGGAAGTTTGAAAATCGATGCAATTATGATTAGAATACCGAGGGTATTTGTATCTCTTTAACAACATCATACTGTGTTCAACTCACTTTCAGACGTGGCAAGAAACCTATCGCTCTTTTTCTTGCGTTTCCATTTCCAAGGCCGAAGAAATCTGCCGATACTGGCAGCGAATTTTGAGCGTCGAGAAGGTGGTGGTGTCCCCGGAGCCAAGCTGGCCGAAGCTCTCGTCGTAGAGGACGAATCGGAGACGACAGGAGTTATATTATTTATTGTCGGTTCGCTTGTGGCCCTCCCTCGCGTTCCCCGTGGCCATACAGCGCCAGGATTTGTCTCCTCCATCGATTTATTATCCTCCTGTAATATTATATCAACCTTCGCTCGGCGACATTTTGAAGTTCCAGATCACGTGACGAAAACTTTGGTTGCGCGCATTGTTGCTGTTCACTGACGCATTTTCAGACCACGCAAACCTCGACGCAAACGGCCGCAAATTGCAACGCAGCGCTTTTTATACGAAAACCTCGAGGCAAAATAAGCGGATATTCAATTATTAAACGCCCAAATATATTTAACAGATGTGGCCTCTTATATGACGGTTCGCCTACTAGATGTTAATAAGAGTTGTCTCAAAAGATAGCCCAACCAACTCTTCACAGCTCCAAGCGCGTTTTCCGCTAGGCAAATTTATTCGCGCGACGCAAAGCGAATTCTTGATTCTTCAAATTTGGTGATGTGATCGGTCTGCGGAAGATTTCGCTTTAAAAAGAAAGGTTCGCTTTCTAATTTTTATCAGTTAGCGCGAATAATTTCGTTTCGTGAAAAACAAGCTTAACTCCTTGGCTTATCAGTGGAAGTTTGTGCTAATGATTTTGGTACTGAATGTGTAATGAGCGGCCGTCGATCAACAGCTCTCAGTGGGGAACGCGGAAAAATTCAGGATTGAGGAGAAGACAACTTTTAGACGCATGGCCACCCCCTCTCGTTATGCTAAGATGACGTACGAGGCGGTATTCCAGATACATCACTCAGCAGCAGTCCGCCCACTGACACCCACCCTAGCCTTCAAACCATATCTGGATATAGTCTATAGTGGTCTATTTCTGTCCCCCACCGCCCACGTGCACGTCTTGTCGACACTCTCCGACAGCGATACGCATGTTTCCGACGTCAGAGATTCTAATTATGTGCATTAATTAAAGCTCATTAGCGATGCGCATTTTGAGTTCGAATATCGAATGTATAGGATGATATTTGTTTACATGGAAAAAATCTTGTTTTAAAAAGGTTAGTCGACGAATAATATTGTGAATTATTAAGCTGATCCTATTGTAATCCTATGCTGTTTTTGTTGTCTCCAAACTGAATTGAAATCGAAACTTAATGAGAATTAAACGCGTTACTAACACAGTCTATATCACTGTATATTGTGTATAGTTTCCCTATGTCGTATATATATAATTTGTACAACTACAATTTTTTTTAACGATTGTCCCGTAAACGAACAATATATTTTTTCTTTGTGTATTGGACTGTTGCTGTAATATAAATGTTTAAAAATTAAAAAAGTGAAATGATATAGTTCAAGGGTACGTCCTAGAAAACGTAGACATGATTTTATAACACTCGTAACACACACACTTGACAAGGCGTTTTCTTGTATGTGTATAAACTTTCACAGCTGCTTAAACGCCTAGTGTAATTTGTGAGAAAATATCAATTTATGCACCAGTTTAATGCAGTAGTTTAATGTAGTAATTAATTTACCACACAACTAATGCCATTTAAGTCAAATGAAGCACACATCTTCTCTATTCAATAGTCCTTTCTCTTTACTAGCTGTTTTCATTATTTAATGGTGTTGTGCCGAAGATGGAAGATTGGAAATTGGAGGACATTGTTATGCGGAGTAATAGGAACATTGTTCATCGGAGAATACCTTGTTTACTTCATCGTTGCAATGTCATGGAATGTTCCAGTGGAGAAATCAAAACATGATTTAAGAGTACTTATACTATCTGATCCACAAATGCAGGTAAATTAGCAGTTTGAGGGAGGGAAATTTGGTAATGCGGGTGAACGTGCTGGCAATATATGCAGGTACGTTCCAATATAACCAGGGAGCAGCGTGGCAGCGTCTTCAAACAACTTAGCATCAAACGTGGTATAACAACTGCCTAAAATAGACAAAACACTTCTCAATGTTTCTACCTGAGGACCTTCGTCAGGAGAGTTAGTATGCAGAGAGTTAGTTCTCATACTATCTCTCCTGACAAAGGCCCTCAGGTCAAACCATGGAGAAGTGTTTTGTCTATTTTAGGCAGTTGTTGTATATACCACATTTGATGCTAAATATATGCAGGCTCGTAACACAGCTATTTTAACATGGGGGCGTAAGACCTGAGTGTTACCTATGAACATGGAGTCTTAAAGTGCATCTAGAGAAGGCATTCATTATAGACTTTTGGTATAGCCTGCAGCGACTCTCACCTAGACATTGCCATTATCATACAGGGATTTCAATTGGAGGTCTCTGGTATAATTGGGCACATCACAAGATGGGATGCTTGTCGTTACCTGAAGAAGACTTTCGCTTATGCTCTGAACCAAGTCAAACCCGATGTTGTTGTAATATTAGGTAAATCTATCAACAAACGTCTCGTAGTTGCTCGGCTAATCCAAGTTATGTTCTAACTACTCTATTGTATTCTGGCTAATTCTAATTTATGTTCTAATTGAAGGTGATTTGCTTGACGAGGGCTATATTGCTTCAGATGATGAATTCTATCAATACAAAGTAAGTTTGTAGGATAGTGTTTAAAACTGAAAAGAAAAATAATTTTGCAAAAATCTCCAATTTATCTTCCCGTCAAGGAATGGTTTGAAGACATTTACAGAGTTCCAGAAACCGTGAAAAGAATTCATTTAGCTGGCGATAATGATATTGGTGGTGAAGACGAACCCATTAGGACAAACCTACTCTCAAGGCATGAGAAATATTTTGGAGCAACTAATCGAGGTCATTGAGTTTAATAAATGGCAATTCTTGAAGGTAATGTTGGGATAAAGTTTTCTTGCTCAATTAGCAGGTTGTGATTAGTTTTTATGTTTTTAATTTTAATTGATATCTATAATATCAAGGATTAAATTCATATGTGTTTATATAGGACTTGAAATTAGCCAGAAGTAAAATAATTTGAAACTGGATATTATGCTCTCTAATTCTTTTAGCTGAACACTCTCAGCTTCCTACGCTATTTCCGTTTTTCCATCCCGGATGAAAAGATAATATACAACAATCTAAATAAGTATATGAAGTCGTCACCACAAAAACTGGATGATAACAAGCACACAATTGTGCTAAGTCATCTGCCTCTTCACTACTGGGATCCAAACTTTGCAATAAAGGTATGATAGTAAGCCAGGATACTATAAGTATATTACTTTTCAGAGCATTTTTAACCATTATTCACATCTATCAAAGGAAGAATGTCACAGAAAAACTTGCAACTGTTACATAAGAATTTTGGTATTAACACTTTGACCGCCAAAGACGGAGATTTTCGTTTTTTGATCGATTATCACTTATCGATCTGTCTAGACCACTGGCGGGGAAAGTGTTAAATGCACCCTGCTTATTTTAATAAAAATCTCAATTGAATTAGGTGCTGAATAATGTCAATCCAAGAATACTGTTTTCTGGACATGATCACAAGGTAATAACTAATAAATTATTTTGAATGTATGGGAAATTTCATGCAATTACTATTTGAAATATATAAAGCCTAAAAAGATTCAACTATATTGTTGCTAACAAGTAAACAGGTAATACAAAGACACTTCTCTAACTTTAAGGCCAAGTATAGAATATACAAATTGCCTAGTTTTACCACAGAAGAGCATGTTGTACCCACATGCAGTTACAGGATGGGTACTTCAGATATAGGGATTGGTATTGCAATACTTGGTAAGTTGAACAAGTTTGGCTTTTATACCTAACTGTTTTCATATATAGTTACCAACATTCTATATTCCTAAAATTTTGTCTATTTCTAACAATTTCTTACTGTTTTTTTTACTATCTGCAGGTGAAAAAGGCTCATTTCAATACACTGTGTTGAGATTACCAGGGAGATATTCCTTTTTGTACTTTTATGGTGTAGTTGGTGCCCTAATGTTTCTGTATATATTATTTTTTAGAAGTAATAGATCAACATAATTTCTTACAATCGAGAATATCACATGCTACAAACCTGTCAAACAATTTGTGTCACCGATTACATAATTTTATTATAAAGTAATTGATTGATTACAAATTTTACAATTGTCCTAACTTATTTGTGTCTAATTGAGTACCACCGACGTATACAACTGACGATAACCATAAAATGCCAAATTATAAAAGTTCTCCCATCAATTTACAGCATGAATGAATGAATTTGAATGACCTCTCTCATTGGAAATAATGGGTAAATTTGCCAACTAGTTGAAGTGCACTTATTTTTAAATTTATTTTTATACCACTTATGAATGGCTCAGTCTTCCAGGTAACATGCCTATGTGATTTGTTTAATGTCTTGAGCTTTTCTACTCACTTCAAAAATGGCAGAATCTTGGTCTCAAAAAATTCCTGGGAGAACTGCAAATGATCCCCATCAGCTCCAAGGAAGTGTAGTTTTCCTGCCATATCCATTTCTTTCAAACCGAGCAAGTCCTTGAGGAAATAATTCAAAGTAATTGACATCACCCTTAGAAGTAGCCTTAAGCTTACATTAAAATTGGTCAAAATAACTTTGGTGACCTAGCTTACTGCATGGACTTTGGAGGCTCTCTATAGAAAAAGTGGATCTCAATTACCTCCTGGTAAAGCGGACTTTCCTGCAAGGTGTAAAGCTCCTTGTCTTGACCTGGTTTGTAATAGCCAAACCACTAAAATAGATAAATATATAATACAGACTGTATTCTAATTACTATCACCATTATGTGTTACCACGTGCTCTACCTCAGATTCCTTGGGAATCACCATTGTGTCTTGTAAAAATTTGACCATGACAAAATTTTTCAGTTTCATGAGATTTTCTTTGTATTTTGGATTGTTCTCCTATAAATATAATATTTAAAAACTTGCAGTTTGGAATTTTTCTAGCCAGCATGGAGATTCTAAATCACTGTTCCTAGGTTTTTCCTATACCTTTTCTTGATTGATGTCGGCCAAGAATACACTCTTTGCCTTATATTCCTCCTCTTTCAGGGGATCATGCCAATATTCGGCTTGAACGATACTAAAAATAATAGTTATAATAATTTAAATTAATTGAGGACCTTCATCAGGAGGTATAACACATATTGTTGGTTTGAATTAACTTACTGATCTTGAATCCAGCTACAATTGAAACAGAGCAAAAGCAGATGTATTAGTTTGACCATTTGATTTGTGGTAAAACAGTACGTCAGCCATACCAGATGCACATCGTAGACACTAATTTACGACTTGCCTTATGTAAGCGCCATAGTCAAGTAATTTACGGACATATTCGCAGAGAGTTGAATTCGAAGCAGGGCAGTGAGGTAGTCCAAAAACACCTTAAATAAGGATGGAAAACATCATTTGTATTAACACAATGGTCTGGTAAGAGGTGTATGGTACATTAATCAATTATTTGAACAAAAGTACATCCTCTAAAAATATTTTACCTTGATGCTGGCCACCAAAACTAATAAGATTCAGCATTGGAGGAGAAGGACATCTTTGAGCAACTGCTCGGCTATATAAAATTTTTTACCTTGAGAGTGATTTTGTATATAAAGTACCTTTATTTGGGGACATTTGGCTTGATTGGTGATATGCTTGCTTGCAGTTGTACTTTTAATGTGGAAAATTATCAAATATATACTTACAGAAATTGCCCGCCTTGTGAAAATCCCATAGCATTGTAACCTTTTTTAAGTTTATCATCTGACAACAATTTTTGACAAACCATGTCAACCTGTCAAGATAAAAATATGGAAATTTAAGGGGGGTAAATTTTACCGAGGTCGATACATCATCACATCAGCCTGGTCGAATTCTATGCACATTTTGTGGGAGATCTTTGGCGTGAGTTTTGGGTCATGCATGATCCCATCACCAAGGCTGGTGCGCGTTTCAAGATCTAGGCTTGGTGTTTATACTCGTCATTGCTTGTCAACAATTTCTTGGTGCTGCTGGCAACATGCACAACCTCAAAGAATGCTCAAGGTCAGGTTTACATGGAAAGTACCCTAGGGGCTAGCACATCTGTCAATCAGGCTGGACAAACCTGTTTGTTCACATTCATGAGGAATCCATTCTCAGTGTCCTGGATAAAGTAAAACGATTGATTTATCATAATCTCCTTCAGACAAGTGAGACAACATATGTAAGTTATCATTAGGTGTTTTTTTACCTCTATAACATTGCTGCCAATCATCAATGATCGGACATAAATCCCAGGAATTAATTTTTCCACCATAGATTTGATGGACCCCATACTCAGTGGATTGCAACAGCTGTCACCTTGCAATCCAAGAGAATTATCAGTCTCTCAAATTGCGATCTCGCTTGCTTGAATATTATTGTTTTATAACAGCTGAAATTCTTCAGAACAGCATTCATACCCAAGCTATCATTTTATTCAGTGTTTACCGATCGATATAAAACTATTCACTAAATTGCGACATACAATTTAATAATAAAACAAGCTCGACTTTGGTGAATTTTTATATGATTTTAAAAGCATACCCATTCCATGCCAGAGTACGACAGGAATCGTTGCATTGTCCGCTGATGTTTCTCGAAGAGCTACGAAGAAGAGCAGACAACCTGCCAGCACAAATCGCATCATTTTCGACAAAAACTTGCAAAGACTTTTGTACTTTGGGTACAATTTTGACAGACGAAGGAATTGATAGAACAGGAGTCATGTGAGCGCTCTTGACCGCGTATCATTTCGCAATTCCTAGAAGGACTGGGCTTAGGGTTAGATGGGTTCAGTAAATCCTAAATACGTGTTTCAAATCTTGAGATTAAGCTGGGATTGAGGTGAGGATTACATTTTAGATTAGGATTATGCCTTAGGTAGTGTCACACTTGCAATGCAATTCTACTCCTGAGGCATCTAAAGTTGTCAAATACGAATATTTTTTTGACATTTTTTGCACTGCAAGTTGCAAGGAAAATTGCATAGTGCAACAGCGCCTTGAGATTAGCTTTATGGTTGAATTTAGATATTTGCTGATTTTGCAACTGACCCCAGATAGCCAAAAACTTTGACTGAAAGTCCAAGAAAATATCCATCAAATTACACAGCACCATATTATATATTTTTCTACGAACGTAACTAATTTCTATTCACAATTTAGTATAAAAGTTTAAAAAAAAACAACATAAACACAAGCCTGTGATTTATGGTATTTACGTCCATGAATTAATTGGACAAAAATCGTTCCTGAAATGGCCGTGACTTTAGGCAGTATGGCCCGTATAACACGCTAAAATTATACATAATTATCATTGTTACGCTACACAGTAAAATTGACTGTTTTATAATGATCTAAACTTGGCTTATATATACGTGTACTTAAATTATACATGTAAAAATATGATTATGTACAAAAAAATTGTTGAAAACGCATACGCGTTTAGCCATTTTTTCTGTGAAATCCCGTGAATTAAAAACCCGAGTTGTAATATTATATTCTGGTTTGGACAAAAGAACAGTTGAACACGATATTCAGGCAAACTTTCGCTTGCCAGCTCTCAACAACTCTTCTGTGCCATGCACGAAAGGATCAAATTATTAAGGCCTGTTTTGCAATGCTTTTTGAACAAAGTTAAAGTTTTTAGGTGACAAATTTTAGGTAGTTTTCGAATTGGTCTTGTCAATCATTCGTTTTTACAAAGTCGAAAGTCCCATTCATGATAAAAAGCGACTTTCGTGATCAAAAAAAAAAAACGTAACACCTAATTTATGAAAAAAACCATGCAGAATTTTCAAATTGGTGACAGGACTCATTGCTAAAGGCATTCCTTTTGCATGCTAACATTCTTTTTCCAATAGCAGTTTGAGGTAAACATCTCGGGAACGTTTGTAAGAGTGAGCTGTGAAATATTAAACTAAATGAATTCAAATAAAGGTTACATACAAAAAAAGATCTCAAGGCCTCGAATTTTTTATGCGTCGAACCACATGCAAATCAGTTGAAAAAAACACAGGCCATAAACATATGGTTCGCATCATGAAAATTTCGACGAGTGAAATATCACCCTGATAGGTTAACCAATCCTTAAAGGATAGCTATGGCCTTAATTGATGCTTTAACCATGATATTACCTAGATTACCTAGCTAATCGTACTAAGCATATCCCGTGTCACGTTAGCTATAAGCTTAACGTAATTTATTGACTTCCTCAGCCTCTTTATACTGAGTGTCATTTTGGAAAAAGTCTTTCAGTTGCCAAGCGAGAGTCTCGAATGTAGGTCGTTCCTCAGGAGCGGCGGACCAGCATTTTAACATGATGGCGTACAGCTTTTCCGGCACTTTGTTCGGTTTTGGCATCCTGTACGTTGTATCAGCAATTTTCCGTATAACCTGGTCGAAACAAAACACATTTAGTTAGTCAAACGATGATTGTAGCTACCTACGACGACCCTTGCGAAAATTTAGGTCAATTTCGCTTGCAAAAGTGTTGGAAAAGTTCAAACTTTGTTGAAGTGCTTTACTTCCATGAGCAAAAACGCCAAAAGTGAATTTGTCGGGGAAGCAAAGTTGCATCATCTTACCTCAGCGTTGTTCATTCCAGGATAGGGAATCCTTCCGAAGGTCGTTATTTCTGTTAGCAAAATACCGAAGGACCAAACGTCGGATTTTATCGAGAACTTGTTCTCGAGGCATGCTTCTGGCGCTGTCCACTTGATGGGAAACCGGGCCCCCTCGTGAGCTTCGTAAATGTCCTCCACGAGAACGCGAGACAGGCCAAAATCGGCGATCTTTACGACGATTCCATCGCCGACGAGGACGTTTCTCGCGGCCAGATCTCGATGGACGAAGCCGTGGGACTCGAGGAAAGCCATACCTTCGGCAACCTGTGCGGAGATATCTATCATCTTCGCCATATCCAGAACTTGGCGGCCCTCCCCGTGGAGAAACTCCAGAAGGCTGCCTTTGGTCATAAGCTCAGTGACAATGTATATCGGCTCCTCACGAGAACACACCGCATACAGTTGGACTAGTTTGGGGTGGATGAGTTTTTTCATAATTTCCGCCTCCTTCAGGAACGCCTCAGGCTGCATGGTGCCCTCTCGCAAGGTCTTGATGGCAACCTTGGTGGTTCCGTTCCACAGACCTTGCCACACCTCGCCGAAATTACCAGAGCCAAGCTTTTTGCTGAATTTCAATGCCGTGCGGTCTATCTCCCATTTGTCAACCATGTTGTACGAAAGACCAACAGTTTGCGGTTTCTCCAACTGTGTCAATAAAAAATTCTCAGGTTAGGGTAATTTTTCACTCAATTACTTCCACCAATCTAGTGACTATAAAGGGTGTCACCAGACATGAAAATTGAGGGCCTAGTGAATTATTATGCATACTTTTTCTGCATCACTTATTTCTTTCAGATTTTTCCTATGGTATGCAAACATGAATATATACATATAGCAATTATCTGTCTGGCAAAGGCCCTGATACTTTAAGCTGTAAACTTTAAACCTTGATGGTAAATATGGGCATATATCTTTGGGGGAGAGTTAACATTGCATGCACCATGGAAAATCCTGAATGATTTTACTCATCCGTGCTTCTAAACCCTTTAGCAGATATCAATATTATTATTTTACTTGTGTGAAAATCAAATATGAAAAAGCTGCAACGTACCTTGCTGCATGGCAAGCCAAGTTTATCGCACAAACCATCAGACTCCTTCTTATAATGCTCTACCAGATCTTGAAGAGTTGAAAACTCACTTCTTCGAGTGATGAAGTATCCTTGGTTACTGTCAAGGGCTCGTATTCGATAATGTTTCACGACATCACCATCCCGAACGGACAAAGCATAATTATTGCCTGCATTTTCGCTCTCTCGGATGAGAAATGCACCATGTCTATTTGCTGGGGAAAGCAAGAATTTCTGTGCCTCGACTCTAGATATTTTGCCATAGAACCAACTGGAAAACACAAAATGCTTCATGGTAAAAATGTCATGGTCGGTTCGAAAACAACTTATGGTACATTGTATACCACACAAGTAGAAGTGCACAGTTTTGTCAGAGCTGATATATTTTGTCACATTTCATAAGTAAACATCAACTGTTCCTTATGTAATTGTCAGAGTAATTAATTAAGGATGAATAACATCAAATCCTACCTGACATCTGAATTTTATGGTTCATTCAAACTTTTCCCACAAGAATCGTTTAGAACCGTAAGGATTCACAACACAAACTATTCTTGGGATATTTCGTAACGATTTATAAGAGAAATTTTCTGCTATTTATCAGTCAAATCAATTATCGATGGTTCGTAGCAATTTGATATTCCCAAATTCTTAGAACTTGAGGCATATTTCGGCAACTGCTGGGGATATTTTAGAAGCTACATTATAGGGGATCGGGGTCTTGAAATAACGTCAAACAATCCAAAAGTTCAAGGGAAAAAATTTACCGTAAGAATGCGATAATTGGTTCTTTCAATTATAATATAAAGTCGCCCTACAGGAAGTCGAAGCGAAAATTTCTCAAAGCACTTCAAAGTTGTTTATATCCCCGTGGGTTTCAAGCTAGCCAGGCGAAATGATGGATCTAGTATTTGTGTACAAATGTTCAAACTATCTACTTACTCTTCCGCCTCCAAAGTCTTAACTTCGGCAACATAATTGCTGGGAATGTACCCTTCTTTCCCGCTAGACCGTGATTTCGCCTGCCACCAATCGAACGCTGTGTTCTCCGGTTTCACTTCTAAATAGTCACCCTTTTTGAAAGTTAAATCTTCAGCGGTTCGGGCATCGTAGTCGAACAAGGCAACATACAAACGAACTCCGGCCGTGGGGCTTTTGGGAGGCTCTTTTTGAGGCACCGTCGGCAACGGTGGACGTGTCCTTTTTACCGGGCTTGCGTTAACATTCCCATGAGCAGAACTGCCATCGTTATTTGTAGTGATTTCCACCTGTCTTGGACTCACTTCAGGCGGTTGCTTCTGTTTTTGCTTTCCGGTACAATTTCCCATAGATTATATGAAAGGTTTATCGATCATTCAGCATAGAAAGCAGAGATTTGGCCTAAAATATAAAACCTTTTTGCCACCGTCAAAAATATTTCGGATCGCTTGTGTTGTATGTACACTTTCTTCCGGGTACGCGCATTCTTTCGTGACGACGCCTCACACGCGTGTGATGCGCGCGGGACCACGCGCACTTGCAGTGTCAGATGAACATCGTTGAAAGGGGGTTCATTTTAACAAAAAATATAGTTTTGTGGGGAAACTCCCATCTCATTTCCTTTAAACAAGGGTTTTTCTAGGAAAAGTCGCTCTCGAGTTCATGGAGATCCACGCAAAAATACTCGCCCCGCGGGACTGTGAAATAATCAAAAGGAAAATTGAGCGCATGCCTGGAAAGCGTGATTGGCCTCAAGTGCGACTTTCGATATTTTTCAAATTAAACGCATTTCATCGAGTTTAAAACGCTATCCGTTCAACCTTCCTCAATGTCAGTTAATCATTGCAGTACTGCTAGTCTGACTGAGTGCTGACTGTTGCTACTAATACACGCCTGACTAGTCTAGTACTTACTGCTTTGTAATGTTTTATTCAGTGTTTCACTTTCAACCTTCCTCATGTCAGTTGATCATTGCAGCATTGCTAGTCTGACTGAGTGTTCACTGTTGCTACTAATACAAGCCTGACTAGTCTAGTGCTTACTGCTTTGCAATGTTTTATTCAGTGTTTCACTTTCAACCTTCCTCAATGTCAGTTGATCATTGCAGTACTGCTAGTCTGACTAAGTGTTGACTGTTGCTACTAATACAAGCCTGACTAGTCTAGTACTTACTGTTTCACATTGCGCAATATTAGTTGGTTATTTCAGTTAATAAGCGCTCACGACAGCGACATCAGTTGATCTACCACAACAGGTACAAAGTCAAAATCATTTATTCTAACAGTATTTCATACAAAAATTTCAATTACGGTCAATTGTCAATGTTCAACCATTATAAAATATGTATATATATATATAATACCGCACATCTCAAATCTACATCTTAATCTTAAACCTTAATCATCCGACAAATTTAGCCACTGATATATATTAAGCGTACTTTTTAATAGTTCACCAAGAACCAAAGCTAATACAGGTTTCATTAAGAGTAATTAACGTCTAATTAAACTGTGATGCTTTACGCCATGCTTGAATGCTTCAGTCCTCGGGAGCGAGGCGTTACAGGCGGGAATAATTTTATGATCGGTAAATCCTAAATCCACGAATTTAATCCTTGACGTTTACATTGGGGTTAGGATTGGGTCTTATGTGGGTTGTTAGGATGAACTCTAATCTTTAATCTAATCTTAAATCCAACTCTAATCCTGTCCTAATCTCAAGGATTAAATTTGTACTTAGAATTTACTGAACATTGATTTGTTTTCCGACCGAGTAACTCGAGGTGTTCCGACTGGTTCCGAGTTGTTCCGCCATTTTCTGCCATAAACTAAACTGGCATTATATAGGTACATTCCCCCCTGACTCCGGGCGGATATTTAATTAATAGAGATCGTTTTATACACGGGTAATAAATCATTATAAAATTCATTTTAACGATATATGATAAAGTTCGAGAGAGTGTATGCATCTTACAAAAAACCTATCATTTAGTTTAACCAATCAGCATACAAGAAATAACTAAAAAAAGTCAACATAAGAGCGATACCTGAATTATTTAATTGTATTAACTTCGTCAGCCTCTTTATATTGGGTGTCATCACTAAAGAATTCGTCTAGTTGCCAGCTAAGAGTTTCAAACGTTGGACGATCGTCGGGTTCCTTTGCCCAGCATTTTAACATGATATCTTTGTACAACTTCGCCGGTGCATTTCCAGGCTTCGGCATTCTGTAATCTTCCTCCTCAATTTTCCGAATAACCTACAAAATATCAATGCGGAAAGTGAAATAGTATTCTGCAATAAGCTGTCGTGGTTTGTGTCTGAACTACCTGAGAAAGATATCTCAAACGTGGTGGTTCAGTGTAGGTAGTATTCTACAATAAACTGTCGTGGTTTGTGTCTGAACTACCTGAGAAAGATATCTCAAACGTGGTGGTTCAGTGTAGGTAGTATTCTACAATAAGTTGTCGTGGTTTGTGTCTGAACTACCTGAGAAAGATATCTCAAACGTGGTGGTCCAGTGTAGTTAGTATTCTACAATAAGCTGTCGTGATTTGTGTCTGAACTGCCTGAGAAAGATATCTCAAACGTGGTGGTTCAGTGTAGTTAGTATTCTACAATAAGCTGTCGTGGTTTGTGTCTGAACTGCCTGAGAAAGATATCTCAAACGTGGTGGTCCAGTGTAGTTAGTATTCTACAATAAGCTGTCGTGGTTTGTGTCTGAACTGCCTGAGAAAGATATCTCAAACGTGGTGGTTCAGTGTAGGTAGTATTCTACAGTAAACTGTCGTGGTAACGTGGTTTGTGTCTGAACTACCTGAGAAAGATACCTCAAACGTGGAGGTCCAGTGTAGGTAGTATTCTACAATAAACCTTACCTCATGGTTAGCCATTCCTGGGTATGGAATGCGTCCGTAGGTCACAAGCTCTGATATTAAGACGCCAAATGACCAGACATCAGATTTTGTAGAGAAAGCGTTGGTCAGGCAGGCCTCGGGCGCTGTCCACTTGATTGGAAATTTCGCGCCCTCGTGTGCAACGTATTCATCCTCAACAACAGATCGGCTCAGACCAAAATCGGCAACTTTTACGTTTACATTTTTGTCGACCAAAACGTTGCGCGCAGCCAAATCACGATGGACGTAGCCGTGTTTCTCCAGAAAGGCCATTCCCTGAGCAACCTGTGAGCAAAGAAAAAGTGGATTATTTTTAAAACCACTAGATTTGATCTCTTATTGATCCAACTTCTTTTAACCAGGATAGCTCTATCAGTTCTGAACTGTTCTTCCTAGAGGTCCAGGCAGTAAGGATCATCTCTTATTGATTCAGTGTTGCTACAGGAGGAAACCTAAACTAAACTACCTTTATTTACACTGGATAGCTCTATCAGTTCTAAACTGTTCTTCCTGGAGATCCAGTAAGGATCATCTCTTATTGATACAGTGTTACAATAAGGCCTCTTCTTGAAAATAACGTTAAGTATTAATACAGAGACGGTATTAAATCCCACCTGAGTTGCAATGTCTATCAATTTTGGCGTCTTCATTTGTTTTCCACTTGGTCCCCTGAGGTAATCTAAAAGACTACCATTTTCCATCAACTCTGTCACGATATATATTGGTTCCTCTCTAGAGCACACCGCAAACAGTTGAACCAGCTTTGGGTGAATCAATTTCTTCATAATCTCGGCCTCTTCCAAGAACTTTCCCGGCAACATCGTCCCTTCTTTCAGTGTCTTAATTGCAACTTTTGTTGTCTTGTTCCAAAGGCCCTCCCACACTTCACCAAAGTTACCTGCACCAAGCCTTGATTTGAAGGTTAAAGCGTTTCTATCAATCTCCCATTTGTCGGCCATGTTGTGAGATATGCCTTTAGTTTGAGGAACATCGATCTAAAGGAGGGAATATTTCATTAAAAAGAACCGCTTGGCAATGTTAAATAAAAGCAGGGCTGTCGCTAGAAGCTTAACTGGGCGGGGGGGGGGGGGGCATATTCATACAAACATGTTAAAAACGATAGCTGAAAAAAGAAATCAGTCAGGCATAAGACGAATGGAGGATCACCTCCTAGGTCCAGTACTGCTACACGAACAGATGTATTTGTGTCAAACTAGATTTATCAGTTCTAAACTGTTCTTCTTAGAAGTCCAGTAAAGATCATCTCTTATTGATCCAGTGTTACTACAGGAGGAAACCTAAACTGAACTAACTTTATTTATATTGTATAGCTCTATCAGTTCTAAACTGTTCTTCCTAGAGGTCCAGTAAGGATTATCTCTTATTTTTATCCAGTGTTACCACAGGAGGAAGGTGTAAAGTGTAAACAGACCTAACTTACAGATGTAACGGATTACTTAGACAAGCTTACCTTTTTACAAGGCGCAACAAGCCTACAACACAAACCCTCCGGTTCCTGAAGATAGAACTGCACCATGGCCTGCAGGCTTTCAAAATCATGATTCTTTGATATGTAAAACCCACCAGAATCCAACCTCTTTATTTTATAATGCCTGACAGCGTTCGTATCCCGAAGCGACAGAGCATAAGTGTTGGGTACAGACTCGCTTTCTCGGATGAGAAAAGATCCGTGATCATTTACGTCAGCAAGGAGCAACTTCTGTGTCTCCACTCGGCTAATCTTCCCGAAGTACCAACTGAAATGAAAGGAAAAAAATTTACTTTTATTTCAAAGTACTTTTGAGTGTGTTCACCAACTTTCCAGTTACGAGACCTAAGCTGTAAATCTTTCTGATTTTTGTAATGGGTTAACAAATGCATCAAATCTTTCTGAACACTACGTTATGTTCAGTTACCCACTTCACTTCAAGACTAGCAGTTAGAAACATTTACTTTTATTACTTTTATACGACGTGCAACAGAAGTGTTTATGTGGTAAAATTTATGGTTTATTTAAATGGTTAAATAAAATACTTCTGTGAAATATCTGCATAAATAAAATAATGATTTTATACAGAATTAAGAAAAAAATAAAAATTGCTTCATTACTTGTAGAATTTAAAACGATAGGGATATAACGTTTGGAATGTTTGGACATTCGTACGACACTGTGGCACAAATTAAGCGCGATTCTTTTCTCGATAACTGATTTATTTTGGGGGGATTTTTGTTCGCTCTCATATGGCTTTTCCTTTGAGAGTTCGTCCATGTATTTATGTACATACTGTATATTTCGTTCCCTAGCAGATGTCAGCAGGTCGCTTGCAACGTATGATAAATACGTAATATAATATATGACGGGTTATTTGGATAAGGAAAGAATACATATCAAAGAAAGACGGTAATTGATACACTTAGGTTGAAGAGTGGTCTTTCAACAGAGCGTTTTCGGGGTTTTTTGGCGACGAGAGCCGTCGACCCTTTTTTCTGAATACCTCTGCCACTTGCCTTAATCCATTTGAATATTGTAGCGCATGATTCAATAAGAACCGCCTAGAAAGTTGAGGAGGAAAAGGGGAGCCTGGCAAAAAGGGAAACTGGCTTTCTCAAATTAATAACATTGAACATTTATCCAAAAAAAATGAGAAAACGAAAATTGTTTCAAGAAGGTTGAGTTTAGGCGCATACAGTATCTTAGTGTTTCAAATAAGGTGGATGGCAACGTGCCCCAGTGCACCCTCCCCCAGTACCACAACGCTTATCAGCGGTCCAACCGTACCTACGAAATCAATAAAAAAAAACCCTACGAAATCAATAAAAAAAACCCCAGTGTAGTATTCCTCGCTGGACAAGAACAAGCTTTTACATAGAACATTTTTCACATTATTCTGAGCACGCCCCCACCGGTTATGGGGTGTTGAAAAAGAGAAGCTTTTCTGATATGAAAACAAAGGGCTATTAGCAATGCAGTTCACGCGCTACACGAATATATTAGTGTATCAAACTTGACACAATACAAATTATTCTCGTAAAAATTTCGCCACAAACGTGCGCGTTTATTATAGAACTATTGGGTTTGAAAACACGCAGGAGACTGTCTGTTATCTCAGCTTTGTGTTCGGCTGTTGTTAGGATGTATAATTAATATATTTAATAGCGTGACAAAGCAAAAAGAAAATAATTAAATATATCATTTTAACACGAACGGAAATAGCCTCGTCTAAACACAAATGATATTCATATAAGCATGCTTTAATGAAAATAACGTTTCGTTGAGCATCACAGGAGCGATGGATATGACTATTATCGATTAAATTCAGTGTAACATCGATGTGTTTGATGATGTAGGCAGCCGATATTCATGATACAATGCTATTTTCAACGATCAAGCGAGATTTGCAGAGCGAAGCCTTTGGCTTTGAGAGCCCGTGGGAGGTAGCGATAATGTATCAAAGAATATAGAATCGACCACGCGTATAAAATATAGTCGAATTTGAAGACAATTCCAATGATATTTACCGAGAGACGATAAAAGCCAGTATGTACTTACTCTTCTGCCTCCAGAGTCTTGACCTCTGCAACGTAGTTATTCGGAATATAGCCAGATTTTCCTGTCGAACGAGACGTTGCCATCCACCAGTCAAACTCACAGTTCTCCGGTTTGACTTCTAAAAAGTCTCCCTTCTGAAACGACAAATCTTCGTCCGTTCTCGCCTCATAATCGTACAGCGCTACAAAAACCTTGCCATCGTTTGTGTCCTGTGTTTCATCTTCCTTCGGAGATTGCGGTGGCGTTTTCTGAAGCACAAATTTTTCTCCATTCCCGTTCGCTTGGTCTCCGTCACCCCCATCTTGTTTTTCATCCTGCTTCGAGCTGCAACAACCCATGTTTAAATCGACCCAACGAAGGGCCCAAAGCGAGCGAAAAAAGATCTAATTCTTCGCTTTTTACAACGATTGCATTCGGCTTCCGGGTTTTGGCCGTGTAAGTTTTGAAACGGTGTCGCGAAATTTGACACTTGGGTTCGCCCCTTATACTCGAACCACTCTCGAACACAAGCTCTTCACATGAGCAAGGCTGATTGGTTCAAAATGTCGTGTTTGTTTTTGCGGTATGCGGAAATATTGTATTGGATAAAGAGGAAAGTATATTGCAAAGTGAATGTATATTGCTTTCGATGCATGATAATGATTATCTTAGTGGCGGCGAAGACTTTGAATCAGAAAGCTCTGAAGAAATCTATTCATCTACAGAAATTTTACACCTTCATCTTTGAAGCAAGAATCAGTCAGCTTAGGTTGCATGATGTTGCAAGTTGCAACCTAAGTTGTTGTGAACATTCACTTCGCAAAATGTTTCGGTTTGACAGATCTTACTCATGATATAATATCTGCCACATGTCTTTACTCAGGCATGCCGAGATTTGCCGTAGATTTTTCATGCAATTTGTCATTATACGTATGCACACTTTTGACGCAGTATATACCTTCCGGCCGACTGAACTGGCTAGCTATATTTCACCATTTCCACCACTGAATTTTGAAAGACAAGACGTCGGCGCTTTGCGATATTTCATCAGAGTTTCGCTTTAATCAATACTAGTTAATCGATCATTGCAATACTGCTTGTCCGACTGAATGTGGACTGTTGCTACTAATCTAGCCTGACTAGTCTAGTACTTACTGCTTTGCAATGTTTTATTCAGTGTTTCTCATTCAACCTTCCTCGATGTCAATTGGTCATTGCAGTACTGCCAGTCTGACTGAGTGTTGACTGTTGCTACTAATACTAGCCTGACTAGTCTAGCTAGTGCTTACTGCTTTGCAATGTTTTATTCAGTGTTTCTCTTTCAACCTTCCTCAATGTCAGTTGATCATTGCAGTACTGTTAGTCTGACTGAGTGTTGACTGTTGCTACTAATACTAGTCAGACTAGTCTAGTGCTTACTGGAATACTACTTTGCAATGTTTTATTCCGTGTTTGTCTTTCAACCTTCCTCAATGTCAGTTGATCATTGCAGTAATGCTAGTCTGACTGAGTGCTGACTGTTGCTACTAATACTAGCCTGACTAGTCTAGTACTTACTGCTTTGCAATGTTTTATTCAGTATTTCTCTTTCAACCTTTCTCAATGTCAGTTGATCATTGCAGTACTGTCGGTATGGCTGTGTATTACATTTGAGATTTCGGGATGATTCAGCCCTTAGAAAATTATACATGAGGTGCCAGGCTAGCCGACAAACCAAAGGTGCTATTCTAAGCGAGCTCCCCCTCCTTCCATTTTTTTAAAACCGGCCACCACGCACCACGTTTATCATCCTTCGTAGTTCCAGACGTTTAATATGAGATAAATAGAAGGATTTAATACGAAAAACACTTTGCAATCGATTACGACTGAATTGCCTGTTACCTAATTATATCAATAATATTTATGAAAAAGTTTAAAACATTGTCAAGTAAATGAATATATTAAAATCTCCATCATATTAAATATTTAAAATTATGTATTTATTATTTACAAACGCACAAGGAAACGTTTTAATACAAGAAGGAATAAATGTTGTTAGCTCTCATCATAGATAATCCAAAAGACAGATTCGGTGTCTTCTGGATTGTCTATGCTCTTATCAACTTTTGTCATGATCTTATAAACTCTTTTCCAACTCCCATCAACTCTCATCAACTCTCATCAACTTTTATCAACTCTTATCAACTCCCATCAACTCTCATCAACTCTCATCAAGTCTCATCAACTCTCATCCACTCATATCAACTCTTGTCAACTCTCATCAACTCTCATCAACTCATATCAACTCTTATCAACTCTCATCAACTCATATCAACTCTTATCAACTCTCATCAACTGTCATCAACTCTCGTCAACTCTTATCAACTCTTATCAACTCCCATCAAATCTCATCAATTCGTATCAAGTCTTATCAAGTCTTATCAACTCTCAACTTTCGTCAGCTCTGAACACTTCAAGTCTTTAATAGGATCTAGTTGTGGTAGTTGATGAGAGTTTCCCTCTTTGACTGTCACTGTCACCCTTTTGTCTTATTCGTTCGACCCTGTCGTAACTTCTGCTTGATCGATCAAAGCATTAAAATTGATGAAGCTGCCGTTGAAAATTTGAGCAGCGTTTTACTCCCAACATAAATGGCTAAAGGTTCCTTTTAACTTATTTGCTTTTCGATAGAGACTATTTTCTTTTATAGCTACATGGCTAATAAATTATTACAAAATTTTGCCCTAACAATATATGCTAAAGTTCTATGGAGCGTGTGTCTTATACGAACATAAAAACTATAAAACCATCATCGGTTTAACCACTCTGCCTAAAATCACGTGTCTATCACGATGCTATCATAAAGAGCGATACCTGAATTTAATTTGTATTAACTTCGTCGGCCTCTCTATATTGAGTATCGTCATCAAAGAATTCATCCAGTTGCCAGCTAAGAGTTTCAAATGTTAGACGATCTTCAGGTTTCTCTGCCCAACATTTTAACATGAAGCCATTGTACAACTTATCCAAAACATTCCTAGGTTTAGGCATTCTGTAACCTTCCCCAATTCTTTTGATAACCTACAAAATATCATTGTGGGAAGTGAAGAAATATTATTCATTCTGGGAAGGCCAATGCAAGTAGTCTGGCTATGCAAGTATGAGATTAACTTCAGCTGGTTAGAAAAACGTAGTATTATTCTACAATGACCATTTGTGGAGTGTAAATCTATATGAACTGCCCGAATGTGAATTTACATACAACATCACGGCCAAAATGGTCAAACCGGTCATATTTTGAATTGAAATAGAGTATTTCTTGAAAATAAAGCGGTGAAACTGCATTTTCCGTGCTAGGCAGATGTAAATAACGATATACTTGAATTCAGAGTTACTGAAACACTGTGAAATACCAATAATCTGTCTGTACTGAAATTCAACAGGACTGGTCTGACCGTTTTTACCGTATAACGGAAAGCGCCCTGGGTGAATGTTTCACGAAGTTTGATTGGCTCGATAGTTTTGTGGAGCCAATCAAATTTTATGTAACATAAGACTTTCCGCGATTGGCATCATTATATTGATTTAGATAAGATGCGGGAGAAAATATTTTTAGGTAAAACAAAACATCATTTACAAAATTCTGGCAGAATCTGCTGCGTCCCCCACCCCCCCTGCCGGCTATCTCCACCACAGCGCGGACATTTTATTAATGCCCAAGAAATTTTTCGTGTTTATTGGTACAGACGAATGATGATCCTTTCGTGATAAAACCTACCTCGTGGTTGCTCATTCCTGGGTATGGAACTTGGCCATAGGTCACGAGCTCATATATTAAAACACCGAATGACCAGACGTCAGATTTTGTTGAAAAGGCATTCTTCAAAATGGCCTCGGGCGCTGTCCACTTGATTGGAAATTTCGCGCCGTCGTGTGCAACGTATTCATCCTCCACAACAGATCGACTCAGACCAAAATCGGCAACTTTTACGTTTTCATTTTTGTCGACCAAAACGTTGCGCGCAGCCAAATCCCGATGGACGTAGCCGTGTTTTTCCAAAAAGGCCATACCTTGAGCAACCTGCGGGAAAAGAAAAGGTGGATGGCTTGATTAGTGTTCCCTGTAGAAAGAGGTTGAGAATGAATCATTTCTTATTTATCCTAAACTAATTAAACTTTATTTATGCTGGATAGCTCTATCAGTTCTAAACTGTTCTTCCTAAAAGTCGAGTAAGGATCATCTCGCATTGATCCAGTGTTTGTTATTCCTCAGGAGGAAACCTAAAATTAACTAGTTTATTTGTACTGGATAGCTCTATCAGTTCTAAACTGTTCTTCATAGAGATCCAGTAAGGATCATCTCTTATTGATCCAGTGTTACTACAGGAGGAAACCTAAACTAAACTAATTTAAACTGGATAGCTTTATCGGTTCTAAACTGTTCTTCCTAGAGATCCATTGATGATGAATCAAATAGTTTCACAACGTAAGGTTCTTATTGAGAAATCAAATATCAGGAGGGTATTAAGTCCTACCTGAGTCGCAATGTCTATCAACTTCGTCATTTTCAAAAGTTTTCCCTTTGGTCCCCTGAGGTAATCTAAAAGACTACCATTTTCCATCAACTCTGTCACGATATATATTGGTTCCTCTCGAGAGCACACTGCGTACAGTTGAACCAAACGTGGATGAATCAATTTCTTCATCATCTCGGCCTCATCCAAGAAATTTTCTGGCTCCATCGTCCCTGCTTTCAATGTCTTAATTGCAACTTTTGTTGTCTTGTTCCAAAGGCCCTCCCACACTTCACCAAAGTTACCTGCACCAAGCCTTGATTTGAAGGTTAAAGCGTTTCTATCAATCTCCCATTTGTCGGCCATGTCGTGAGATATGCCAATAGTTTGAGGCACATCGATCTAAAAGAGGGAATATCTTTAACAAACAAAACTATTTGACTACGTTGAATAAAATTAGCTAAACATATATATGAATACTAGAAATAAATGAAATCCAGTTTTACAACGCCAAGTATTTGGATTATATGAAGAACAATTAATTTGTTTCAAGGCATATCTATCAGTTCTAAACCGACCTTCTGCGAAATCCAGTAAGGATCGACTCAGGTTTACTACAGGAAAAAAAATTAAATAATAAACTCTGGCTAATTATAGCTAAGCTTACCTTTTTACAAGGTTCTCCAAGTCTACAACACAAACCCTCAGGATTTGCAAGATAGAACTCAACCAAGCTCTGAAGGCTTTCAAAATCACGGTTCTTGGAAATGAAATATCCGCCGGAATCCAGCCTCTTTATTTTATAATGTCTCACGGGGGTTGTCGGCGAGCCTGCCGTATCGCGAATGGACAAAGCGTAGGTATTGGGTGGGTTCTCACTTTCTCGGATGAGGAAAGATCCATGATCATTATGGATGAGCAATTTCAACGTTTCCGCTCTGCTGATCTTCCCAAAGTACCAACTGAAAAAAACAGAATATTTTTACATTTTCTCAAATAACTCATGAGATCGTTGGCAAGTTAAGGATCTTTCCAAATTCCACGTACGAGTTAAAATCTTGCATCCTTTTTATTTTTGTGAATTTCGACCAATGAGATCACAAATGTATGCAAAATCTTACGGAGAACTATAAGTTCTGAGCGAAGTTAGTTTTTGCGTGTTTTTTTTTCTTGACATGCTAAAATTAATTTTTGCTTGTTTTTGCATGTTTTTGCAAAGCTTTCCCTGTGAGAGAGCTGGTGGATTTTTTTGTATACATATTTCTGCGGCGGTGAGACCCTCAGGGTCAGAGGCATTGCCCCAAAGAGACGTAGGAGCCTAAAAGCCCATCAAATATAGTCAGTAGTCTCTAGGCGAAGGCCCCCGGTCGAAACGTCGAGAAGTGTTTTTGCCATCTTAGGCAGTTGTTATACCATATTTGATGTGAAGTTGTTAAGGCCGTAGCCTGCAACGCAGACTATATATTGGATATAGTCTGCGTTGCAGGCTATTAAGGCCGGCAGAGGCCGCGGAAGCATGTCAAAAGTGGGGGGGCACTGACGAAAAGGGGCAATATGTATACTCGATCGCGTGTCACGCACATAGGCGATCATCAGACTATATATATATATATATATATATATATATATATATATATATATATATATATATATATATATATATATATATATATATATATATATATCCCCTAAACCACCACAGATAGGAATCAAATGCAGATTATGCAGATGTTACACAAATTAGAACAAAAATTTAATTGGTTAAATGTAACTTTATTGAAATTTTCCAAAATATCCAACTCCTTTTTTGTTTTTGAGAACGAAGTCTTTAGCAATTAACTTTAAATCTAGTTTATCGGTTCTTGTTTTGTTTACTGGCATAGTCATAAGGTTGCAGTAGCGTGCTTCCGTCATCGTGCTCCTTAGATACGTTTTCACGACGAATATTAGGCCAGTTAAACAGAAGGCAGTTGGGCACTTTATTTCTTAAAATTAAAAAGGGCACATTCATCTCAGAAAAAATGGGAAAATCATTTCAGAAAAAGGCACTTTTACGTCTAAAAAAGGGCACATTTTCCCCTTGCACGAAAAGTGGGGGGGCATCTGCCCCCAATGCCCCCCCGGTTCCGCGGCCTCTGAAGGCCGGTTCATACGATCTAATTTTGTCGGATCCAATCCACTTCCTGACGTATATGGAATGTAGTTTGTTATTGATAAAACAGTACTGGATTGGCTTCAGTGGATTTGCTGCTGATATGCATTGCAAGTCAACGGACTATAAAACATCCATCGAATGTGAACTGGATCCAACAAAATTGGATCGTGTAAACCTGTGTAAACAGACCATTAGAAGACGCGGTACTTCCTGGTTTTATCGAAGTGACGCTCTGGCACAACATTCCTGTCGGCTGTTCAAAAACACCACCAACTTTTTAGACCATTTTTCATTCTATTCAGCTCGGCAAGCCATCCCGTTCGTATGGGATTTTGAAAAGGACAGCTTGTCTCGTACGTAAACAAAGAACTATTGGAAATTTGCCCGGCACGACAGAGGATATTTGGGTGTCAAACATGACACTTAACAAATTATCATTGTATGAAATCAATTTCAACATGTGTAGGCCGTTAAACAAATATAAAATAGATTTGAGGATGTGCAGAACATGTTTGTTATGTAATTTTCGAGTCGACTGTTAATTCTCACCACAAAGAACCACAGAACCTACGATATTTGCCCAGACACGAAGCAAGAATACTTACTCTTCTGCCTCCAGAGTCTTGACCTCAGCAACGTAGTTATTCGGAATATAGCCAGATATTCCTGTCGAACGAGACGTTGCCATCCACCAGTCAAACTCACAGTTCTCCGGTTTGACTTCTAAAAAGTCTCCCTTCTGGAACGACAAATCTTCGTCCGTTCTCGCCTCATAATCGTACAGCGCTACAAAAACTCTGCAATCGTTTGGTGGACGTACTATGGTGCTTAAAGATGGGTCAGTTGGCAGCGGTGGAATATCAAACATATCAGTTTGTCCATTGACTGGAATCCCAGGCGTTTCGCCTATTGTCTTCTTATTTTCTTCAATCTCTGGCTTAGGACAGCAACAACCCATGTTTAATTCGATCAAACGAATCGTCAAAAGCGAGCAAAAAAGATCTAATTCTTCCTCCTTTGCGACGATTGTATTTGGGCTTCCGGGTTTGGTGTAGTTCTGAACAGGCAGGACAGCGTAGCGAAATATGACACTAGATTTTTTTTATCTTATTCGAACATCATTGGATTACATTCACAGAACAGACTGTTGTTGAGTTGTTCCGTCTGACTGAGCAGCTTTCAGTCACCATCTAGACAATCCAGAGCTCACCGCATTGCGGTATTTTACCAGTGGTTCGAATGTTCCGTTACAGCCTTTCTCAAAACAAATTGATCGATGATTACATTGCACTGCTTTGTAATGTTTTATTCAGTGTTTATCTTTCAACCTTCCTCAATGTCAGTTGATCATTGCAGTACTGCTAGTGTGACTGACTGAGTGTTGACTGTTGCTACTAATACTAGCCTGACTAGTCTAGTACTTACTGCTTTGCAATGTTTTATTCAGTGTTTCTCTTTCAACCTTCCTCAATGTCAGTTGATCATTGCAGTACTGCTAGTCTGACTGGGTGCTGACTGTTGCTACTAATACTAGCCTGACTAGTCTAGTACTTACTGCTTTGCAATGTTTTATTCAGTGTTTCTCTTTCAACCTTCCTCAATGTCAGTTGATCATTGCAGTACTGCTAGTCTGACTGGGTTCTGACTGTTGCTACTAATACTAGCCTGACTAGTCTAGTACTTACTGCTTTGCAATGTTTTATTCAGTGTTTCTCTTTCAACCTTCCTCAATGTCAGTTGATCATTGCAGTACTGCTAGTCTGACTGAGTGTTGACTGTTGCTACTAATACTAGCCTGACTAGTCTAGTACTTACTGCTTTGTAATGTTTTATTCAGCGTTTCTCTTTCAACCTTAATCAATGTCAGTTGATCGTTGCAGTACTGCTAGTCTGAATGAGTGTTGACTGTTGCTACTAATACTAGCCTGACTAGTCTAGTACATACTGCTTTGCAATGTTTTATTCAGGGTTTCATTTTCAACCTTCCTCAATGCCAGTTGAAATTTACATGCAAAAATTCATTTTAACGATATATGGATGTTGAAGTTCTCAAGAGCCTGCGTCTTACAAACGGTAGAATCATAAATGGTTCAACCCATGAGCGTGCTAACAACATGAAGTGTCTATTACGATGCACTTGTTTTAAATTAGACCTGAATTATTCAATCGCATTTAATTCTAAATATCTCGGGGTCCATCCTTTGGTTCTTCCACTCAGTAGGGTCTTCAAAGACTTCATCTAGTTGCCAGCTAAGAGTTTCAAACGTTGGACGATGGTAAGGTTCCCTTTCCCAACATTTTAACATGATATCTTTGTATAATTTCTCCGGAGCATTCTTAGGTTTCGGCATTCTGTAATCTTCCTCCTCAATTTTCCTGATAACCTATACAAAATATCAATGCATGGATGTGAAATACATGCATGCTGACGAACTTCACATAGTTAGGAACATTAGTATTCTACAAAAAGCTGTCGAGGTTTGTAACGACTGAACGCGGTTTAGGAAATATGTCTCAGTCGTGACAGCCTATCAAATGCCGTCGGTACTCGGTTTTCTAGAAAAGCTGTCTTTGTTTTCGTCTGAACTGTACAGAGTGTAGAAGTACTATTTGCAATATGTGCATTAAGTGGTTGTTTTTTCATACACATGCACTGTATATTCAGACTGTATATTTTAAAACAAGCAACAGGTTCGTTACGTGCAAATGTTTTTGTGTTTACTGATTCGGTCGAATCATGGTCTTTCAGTGACAAAACCTTACCTCATGGTTGTTCATTCCTGGGGATATGGAATTCGTCCATAAGTTACAAGCTCATATATTAAAATACCAAAAGACCAAACGTCAGATTGTGTTGTAAAAGCGTTTGTCGTGATGGCCTCAGGAGCCGTCCACTTGATTGGAAATTTCGCGCCCTCGTGTGCGACGTATTCATCCTCCACAACAGATCGACTCAGACCAAAATCGGCAACTTTTACGTTTTAAATTTTGTCGACCAAAACGTTGCGCGCCGTGAGCCAAATCACGATGAACGTAGCTGTTTTTCTCCAAAAATGCCATTCCCTGAGCAACCTGCGAGCAAAGGAAAAGTTGAGCTGAACTGATTTATACCAGTTGGATAGCTCTATATCAGTTCTAAACTGTTCTTCCTAGAGGTCCAGTAAGGATCATCTCTTATTGATCCAGTGTTACTACAGGAGGAAACCTCAACTAAACTAACTTTATTTATACTGGATAGCTCTATCAGTTCTAAACTGTTCTTCCTAGAGGTCCAGTAAGAATCATCTCTTATTGATCCAGTGTTACTACAGGAGGAAACCTAAACTAAACTAACTTTATTTATACTGGATAACTCTATTAGTTCTAAACTGTTCTTCCTAAAACTCAAGTATGAGGACCATCTTTTATTTTTAGAATAACGTTAAATGTTAATACAGAGAGCGTATTAAATCCCACCTGAGTTGCAATGTCTATCAACTTCGTCATCTTCAAAAGTTTTCCACTTGGTCCCCTAAGGTAAACTAAAAGACTACCATTTTCCATCAACTCTGTCACGATAAATATTGGTTCCTCTCTAGAGCACACCGCGTACAGTTGAACCAAACGTGGATGAATCAATTTCTTCATAATTTCGGCCTCTCGCAAGAACTTCGCTGGCTCCATCGTTCCTTCTTTCAGTGTCTTAATTGCAACTTTTGTTGTCTTGTTCCAAAGGCCCTCCCACACTTCACCAAAGTTACCTGCACCAAGCTTTGATTTGAAGGTTAAAGCGTTTCTATCAATCTCCCATTTGTCTGCCATGTCGTGAGATATGCCAACTGTTTGAGGCACATCGATCTAAAGGAGGGAATATCTTTAAAAAACAAAACTATTTGGCTACGTTATGAACCAGTTTTACTACGCCAACGGTATTTGGATTATGTGAAGAACAATTAATTTGTTTCAAGGCATATCTTTCTGTTCTAAACCGATCTTCTGCGAAATCCAGTAAGGATCGACCAAGGTTTACTACAGGGAAAAAAATTAAATAATAAACCGGCTCTGGTTACTAATAGCCAATTAAGCTTACCTTTTTACAAGGTTTTCCAAGTCTACAACACAAACCCCCAGGATTTGCAAGATAGAACTTAACCAAGTTCTGAAGGCTTTCAAAATCACGGTTCTTGGAAATGAAATATCCGCCGGAATCCAGCCTCTTTATTTTATAATGTCTCACGGGGGTTGTCGGCGAGCCTGCCGTATCTCGAATGGACAAAGCGTAGGTATTGGGTGGGTTCTCGCTCTCTCGGATGAGAAAAGATCCGTGATCATTATGGATGAGCAATTTCAACGTTTCCTTTCTGCTAATCTTTCCAAAGTACCAACTGAAAAAAACAGAATATTTTTACATTTTCTCAAATAACTCATGAGAGCGGGCAAGTTAAGGATCTTTCCAAATTCCACGTACGAGTTAAAATCTTGCATCCTTTTTATTTTTGTGAATTTCGACCAATGAGATCACAAATGTATGCAAAATCTTACGGAGAACTAAGTTCTGAGCGAAGTTAGTTTTTGCGTGTGTTTTTTCTTGACATGCTAAAATTAATCCAGTTTGCTTGTTTTTGCATGTTCTTGCAAAGCTTTCCCTGCGAGAGAGCTGGTGAATTTTTTTGTATACATATTTCAGCGGCAGTGAGACCCTCAGGGTCAGAGGCATTGCCCCAAAGAGACGTACTTTTAAAAGCAGCCCATCAAATATAGTCAGTAGTCTCTAGGCGAAAGCTCCCAGGTCGAAACGTCGAGAAGTGTTTTTGCCATCTTAGGCAGTTGTTATACCACATTTGATGTGAAGTTGTTAAGGCCGGTTCATACGATACAATTTTGTCGGATCCAATTCACTTCCTAACGTATGGAATGTAGTTTGTTATTGATAAAGCAGTACTGCATGCATTGGCTTTAGTTGATTTGCTGCCCATATACTTTGCAAGTCAACGGACTATAATTGAGGATGTGCAGAACTTGTTTGTTATGTACGTAATTTTCGAGTCGACTGTTAATTTTTACCACAAAGAACCACAGAACCTACGATATTTGCCCAGACACGAAGCAAGAATACTTAAGAATACTTACTCTTCTGTCTCCAGAGTCGTGACCTCAGCAACGTAGTTTTTCGAAATATAACCAGATTTTCCTGTCGAACGAGATGTTGCCATCCACCAGTCAAACTCACAGTTCTCCGGTTTGACTTCTAAAAAGTCTCCCTTCTGAAACGACAAATCTTCGTCCGTTCTCGCCTCATAATCGTACAGCGCTACAAAAACCCTGCAATCGTTTGGTGGACGTACTATGGTGCTTGGAGTTGAGTCAGGTTGCGGCGGTGGGAAATCATACATATTTTGTCCATTGACTCCAATGCTAGGCGTTTCGCCTTTTGTCTTCTTATTTTCTTCAATCTCTGGCTTAGGACAGCAACAACCCATATTTAATTTGATCTAACGAATCGCCAAAAGCGAGCAAAAAAATCTAATTCTTCCTCCTTTACGACGATTGTATTTGGGCTTCCGGGTTTGGTGTAGTTCTGAACAGGCAGGACAGCAAAGCGAAATATGACACTAGATTTTTTTATCTTATTCGAACATCATTAGATTACATTCACAGAACTGACTGTTGTTCCGTCTGACTGAGCAGCTTTCAGTCACCATCTAGACAATCCAGAGCTCACCGCATTGCGGTATTTTACCAGTTGTTCCGTTACAGTCTTTCTCAAAACAAATTGATCAATGATTACATTGCACTGCTTTGTAATGTTTTATTCAGCGTTTCTCTTTCAACCTTAATCAATGTCAGTTGATCGTTGCAGTACTGCTAGTCTGACTGAGTGTTGACTGTTGCTACTAATACTAGCCTGACTAGTCTAGTACTTACTGCTTTGCAATGTTTTATTCAATGTTTCTCTTTCAACCTTCCTCAATGTCAGTTGATCATTGCAGTACTGCTAGTCTGACTGAGTGTTGACTGTTGCTACTAATACTAGCCTGACTAGTCTAGTACTTACTGCTTTGCAATGTTTTATTCAGTGTTTCTCTTTCAACCTTCCTCGATGTCAGTTGATCATTGCAGTACTGCTAGTCTGACTGAGTGTTGACTGTTGCCACTAATACTAGCCTGACTAGTCTAGTACATACTGCTTTGCAATGTTTTATTCAGGGTTTCATTTTCAACCTTCCTCGATGTCAGTTGAAATTTACATGCAAAAATTCATTTTAACGATATATGCATGTTGAAGTTCTCAAGAGCCTGCGTCTTACAAACGGTAGAACCATAAATGGTTCAACCCATGAGCGTGCTAACAACACGTCAAGCGTCTATTACGATGCACTTGTTTTAAATTAGACCTGAATTATTCAATGGCAATTATTAATTCTAAATATCTCGGGGTCCATCCACTCAGTAGTTTCTTCAAAGAATTCGTCCAGTTGCCAGCTAAGAGTTTCAAACGTTGGACGAACCTCAGGTTCCTTTGCCCAACATTTTAACATGATATCTTTGTATAACTTCGCCGGAGCATTCCCAGGTTTCGGCATTCTGTAATCTTCCTCCTCAATTTTCGTGATAACCTATACAAAATATCATTGCATAGATGTGAAATACATGCATGCAGACAGCATACTAACGAACTTTACATGCCTAAGAACATCATATAGTATTCTGCAAAACGTTGTCGTGGTTTGCATCGACTGAACGGTTTAGGAAATATGTCTCAGTCGTGACAGCCTAGCAGCCTACGGTATTCTACAGAAGCTGTCTTGGTATTGGTCTGAACTGTACAAGGTGTAGAAATACTATTATGCTTAATAACAATATGTGCATTAAGTGGTTGTTTTTTTATACACATGCACTGTATATTCAGACTGTATATTTTAAAACAAGGTGAACAGATTCGTTACGCGCAAATGTTTTCGTGTTTACTGATTCGGTCAAATCATCGTCTTTCAGTGACAAGACCTTACCTCATGGTTGGTCATTCCTGGATATGGAACTCGTCCATAGGTTACAAGCTCATATATTAAAATACCAAAAGACCAAACGTCAGATTTTGTTGTAAAAGCGTTCGTCGTGATGGCTTCAGGAGCCGTCCACTTGATTGGAAATTTCGCGCCCTTGTGTGCGACGTATCCATTCCCATGCACAACAGATCGACTCAGACCAAAATCGGCAACTTTTACGTTTAAATTTTTGTCGACCAAAACATTGCGCGTTGCCAAATCACGATGAACGTAGCTGTGTTTCTCCAAAAATGCCATTCCCTGAGCAACCTGCGAGCAAGAAAAAGTTGAGCTGAACTGATTTATATACCAGTTGGACAAGTTGGGTAGCTCTATATCAGTTCAGTAAACTTATTCTTTCTAGAAGTCCAGTAAGGATCATCTCTTATTGATCCAGTGTTACTACAGGAGGAAACCTAAACTAAACTAAACTAACTTTATTTATACTGGATAGCTCTATCAGTTCTAAACTGTTCTTCCTAGAGATCCAGTAAGGATAATTTCTTATTGATCCAGTGTTACTACAGGAGGAAACCTAAACTAAATTAACTTTAGTTATACTGGATAGCTCTATCAGTTCTAAATTGTTCTTCCTAGACCATCTTCTATTTTTAGAATAACGTTAATATTAATACAGAGAGGGTATTAAATCCCACCTGAGTTGCAATGTCTATCAACTTTGGCATCTTCATAAGTTTTCCACCTGGTCCCCTGAGGTATTCTAAAAGACTGCCATTTTCCATCAACTCTGTCACGATAAATATTGGTTCCTCTCGAGAGCACACCGCGTACAGTTGAACCAAACGTGGATGAATCAATTTCTTCATAATTTCGGCCTCTCGCAAGAACTTCGCTGGCTCCATCGTCCCTTCTTTCAGTGTCTTAATTGCAACTTTTGTTGTCTTGTTCCAAAGACCCTCCCACACTTCACCAAAGTTACCTGCACCAAGCCTTGATTTGAAAGTTATCTCTTTTCTATCAATCTCCCATTTGTCGGCCATGTTGTGAGATATACCAATTGTTTGAGACACATCTATCTGCACAAGCGAACATTTTATTGGAAAAATCGCTTGGCAATGTTAAAACTAGAGTATATTTTCGCAATACTGCCTGAACAAACTTACCTTCTTACAAGGAGCGACAAGTCTACAACACAAATCCTTGGGTTTCTGAAGATAGCGCTGGACCGATCTCCGTAGTCTTTGAGAATCACGATTCTGTGATGCAGAATCCAGCTGCGCTATTTTATAATGGTGGACTTCGCTTGTATCCCGAAGGGACAAAACGTAAGTGTTCGGGGAGGACTCGCTCTCTCGGATGAGAAAAGATCCGCGATCATTTACGTCAGCAAGGAGCAACTTCTGTGCCTCCACTCTGCTAATCTTCCCGAAATACCAACTGAAATAATGGATTATTTTTTGACATTATTCAAATAACTTATTAGGATTTTGCCAGTTGGCGAAATATTGAATAACTGAAATATTTTTAACAATCCCAATTACAGATACATTAGGCGTTTGGTAGTTTCCAAAGTTAAACCGTATTTATATGCCTTCCCCAAATAACTCCGGCAGTATAAGATTCTTTGCTAGCAGTAGGGAACCTTTCCAGTTACTAGTTAAATACTTACTCTTCTGCTTCGAGAGTCCCAACCTCAGCAACGTAGTTCCTTGGAATATAACCAGATTTTCCTGTCGAACGAGAAGTTGCCACCCACCAGTCAAGCTCACAGTTCTCCGGTTCAACTTCTAAAAAGTCTCCCTTCTGAAAAGGCAAATCTTCGTCTGTTCTCGCCTCATAATCGTACAGCGCTACAAAAACCTTGCCATCGTTCGTCTCCTGTGTTTCATCTTCCTTCTTCATTGGGGATGGCGGTGGCGTTTTCTGAAGCGCTAAATCCTCTCCATTCCCGTTCGCTTTCTCTTCCCCAACTCCATCTTGTTTTTCATCCTGCTTCGAGCTACAACAACCCATGTTTAAATCAAAATCCTCGTAAATATTTTCTTGTCCAACTGTGCATGTGATATAATTATCCATGCAGTAAAGGCCACACACACATGACACACTGGACACAATTGGCTAACGCGATGCAAATTTTTAACTTTCAGATGCAAATAAATTCAACTGATTCTGCATGAAAGAAAATGTTGAGAGACCGTAAGAACAATCAATTTCAAAAGGAACTAATAATGCTGAACGTGAATACATGATTATTAGCCTCCCCACTTAACGATTTTCCGCCGTCTATGAAATTGACTGAGATATTTTCTCAGACACGCGGCAAGAATACTTACTCTTCGGCTTCCAGAGTCTTAACTGCAACATAGTTCAACGGAATATAGCCAGATTTTCCTGTCGAACGAGACTTTGCGATACACCAGTCAAACTCGCAGTTCTCCGGTTCAACTTCTAAAAAGTCTCCCTTCTGAAACGACAAATCTTCGTTGATTCTCGCCTCATAATCGTACAGCGCTACAAAAACCTTGCCATCGTTCGTCTCCTGTGTTTCATCTTCCTTCTTCATTGGAGATGGCGGTGGCGTTAGTTGAAGCGTTATATTTTGTTCATTCCCATCCGTTTCGTCTTTTTCAACTCCATTTTGTTTTTCATCCTGCTTCGAGCTACAACAAGCCATGCTTAAATCAAAATCCTAGTAAATATTTTCTTGTCCAACTGTGCATGTGATATGAATTATCCATGCGACTAAAGACCCACACGCATGTCACACTGGACACAATTGGCTAACGCGATGCAAATTTTTAACTTTCAGATGCAAATAAATTCAACTGATTCTGCATGAAAAAAAATTTTGAGAGACCGTAAGAACAATCAATTTCAAAAGGAACTAATAATGCTGAACGTGAATACATGAATATTGGCCTCCCCACTTAACGATTTTCTGCCGTCTATGAAATTCACTGAGATATTTTCTCAGACACGCGGCAAGAATACTTACTCTTCTGCCTCCAGAGTCTTAACTGCAACATAGTTCCTCGGAATATAGCCAGATTTTCCTGTCGAACGAGACTTTGCGATACACCAGTCAAACTCACAGTTCTCCGGTTCAACTTCCAAAAAGTCTCCCTTCTGAAACGACAAATCTTCGTTGATTCTCGCCTCATAATCGTACAGCGCTACAAAAACCTTGCCATCGTTCGTCTTCTGCGCTTCCTCCTTTGGAGATGACGGTGGTGTCGTTGTTTGAAGCGTTATAGTTTGCTTATTTCCGGCCGTTTTGTCGGCTTTTTCACCTCCATTTTGTTGATTATCCTGCTTCGAGTTACAAAAAGCCATGTTTAATTCGACCCAGTGGAGGTCTGAAGTGACCAATAGAGATACAATTCCTCGCTTTACATACCGATTGTATATCCGATCTCTCGGATTTTGTATGTTTTGAAAAGCGTAGCGAAATTTGATAAACAAAAAGCCACCACATGCGAGACAAAAGCCGGGTATGCAGAACTTGTGTTCCCGCAGCGTTTTGTTTTGTTATAATCGAGTATGTAAACGATGCCTTCAGATAAAGGCATACTGTTTCGCGGTCACTGGCCGCCTTGACGATATAAAATTTGCGGGATTTTTTATAACGAAATTAAACGACACTGGGGTTTCACTTTCAGAGAAATGGTGGCTCTTTGTCGATAAATGAGAAATTGATGGATAAACGATGGCTTTGATGATAACAATGAACGCAATAAAGCATTGTCATTGAAATTGATTTTCAAAAAAAACGAATCATAAATTAAACACAGTTCACTATTGATTATACGAAAAGCCAATCACAAAAACTCGATCATATTAGACCCCAGAACTTTTTCATGTTGCAGATCATGTTGAAGCAATCATCCTATCATAATTCTGGAGGTAAAACTCGCTTCGACAAGGCAACGGCACTACTTGCTGCTGGTTTCCATTTGGTCGTAGATCGCCGTGACATGTCAAGGTGGCGGATGTGATAGAATATGTGTGTGCAGCAGTGAACTGGTGTGCAGTGAACAAATGAATTATTCGAATACAGAAATAAAGACAAATTCGCATCCGGACTATTTCTCATTGGTGAAAATGACTTGTTCACGACCATGATGCTGAAATGGAGGCCAGGCTTAATAATAATCCTGATTTTAACCGGAGTTCCCCAGGAAACAAGGCACAGTCGTTGTTTCTGCATATATGAATTCTATTATTATATACATTAATAGATTTTATCATTAATCTAATCTTTGGTATAGACTCAAGATATTTTACCACAACAAGCTACTATGCTAATTCTGAGGTCAACTCAACGAGAAAATTTTTAGTATTCTCATTTTCGTCAAAACACAACTCTTCTCTCACAACACCGCAGAAGCCATGCCCTCCATTGCCCTTGGCAGGGGGGTAAAAGCCTCCCATTTATTATCAACAACACTGTAAGCATCAATACTATCCGTTTCTACGTTCATGAACGCCCCCCCAATTGCAAACAGTCTATCTTCGACAACGGCCGCCACCGGGCTCTCCCGACGCACGAGCAGCGGCGGTAATGCAAGCCAGCGGTTCATGCGCATGTCATACGTCTCGACCGAATTATGATCCTCGTCGCAATCACTGCCACCAAGTACAACGATCTGATTACGCAATGCCGCTGCCGCGAAGTACCGCCGTCGGTAAGTCATGGATTCGCACACGGTCCAGTACCCTATCCTGGGGTCGTATTGCTCCACCGTGTTCAAAATCGAGATGCCGTTGTCGCCGCCGATGGCGAATAACAAGCCATCGATTGAAACAGCCTGGAGACCCTCACGTTTCGTAATCATCGGCATGACGTCACACCACGAATCCCTGGAAATGAATAAAACCACTGAGCTATATATAATATCCATATGGCGTCAATCTGACGTCAGCAAAGGCCAAAATCCGCCATGATTTTTGTTTCAAAAACAAAGGAACAAAAAATATAGACAAACCTCTAATCGATGTTCGCAAATTCAATCTTAAAACTGCAGTTTTTAAAACAATTTTAAAAGTAATCTTAACAAGCGACAATTTCATTATCAAATTAACTGGGTTAAACTTTAGTATTCTTGTAGAGTTACTTATTTTTAAATTTGAACTAAATTAGTTTTTTTTGCTTTTTAATTAAGCATCATTACAGAACAGCAGTGGGAATGAAAAACCGCTATCTGGTGAACAGCGCCATCCAGACTTCGCACTGCGTACAACCGGCCCCCTGATCTCTTACCTCACTGGATCATAACGTTCAACGTTATCGTATTCCGTGCGAAAGAAATCGCTCCCCCCGACCGAGTATAACCACCCGCCCATTTCGACCAGGGAAAAGGCGTGGCGATTGAGAGACATCGGTTTAACAAAATTCCAGGAATCTTGGCTTGGATTGTAACATTCCATAGTGTTCAACGCCACTTCGCCGTCACAACCTACGGAAATGAAAAACTGCATTTGTCAAACTAAAAATTCTTAGAATTGTGTTATAGACTTAGAATTCTAAGAAGTCTCGTCACCTGGAGACCTCTCAATATTTTAAGGAATTTGAAAAATTCAAAACTTTAGTTACGAAATATTGTAAAGTGTAAATGTAAATATTGTAAAATACTGCTTTGCGGAGTCAATTTTGTATATTTTTGTATTATGCACCGTTCCACATTTGGGCTGAAAAATTGTAAAAATTCGCACAAAAATTTCAAGGCTATACGGTTTCCACATTCTTCAAACATTTCTCAACCAAACGTTGATATTTTTCTAATTTAGTTTGTTCTTTGCCGCTGAGGTGAAAAACAGCTTTGTAGAAAGGCTAGGATTAGGAAACTCTTTTCTCTATTCAAAACTGTTATATTCAGAAATCTGGGTGAAGTTGCTAGATTCTGGTATATGTTACGTCTATAATACTATCTATTTCAAGAACTGAATAAATGAGTGCTGTTTTCCATTTCCCATATTAAACCTTTCTATTAAAACATGGTATTCTCTTAGGGTGGTCACATTCCCACAACACTTTTGAAACTCTGTCCTCTGCACCCACCCCCTTCCCCACTAAAGGGTCCTCTGCAACAACTCCCTTCCCCTCTACCTCGTTCCCCACTGAAGAAAAACTGCTTCAAAACACTTGCCTCCAGCTGCAAAAATGAGACCACTGTATGTGGTTGCCCCAAGACCATCTCTAGGTTTATTAAGGCAGGCATGTGAAGACCAAACATCGCTCTTAAAATCGTAGCATTCCAGCGTGTTAAATACATAGTTGTGTATTTCCCCGCCAATTATGTACAAGTTTTCTTCGGAACTTCTAATCCTATGTTTCTTCTTGCCGCTCTGTTCCTTCCTTTCCGGCAACAAATGTGAATTCTTTGCCTGGCTGACAGCTTGCAAACAGAAACTGTCCACAGCAATGAGCTCATCTTGTTCAATGCAGTCAACTGGAAAAAATGTAAAAGGCATTAAGATGGAGTAATTGTAGTCAAAATTAGAATGAACAAGTGAATGTCTAAAAAGGAGTAAGATAAACAGGCTGACCATTACTAAAATGGTTGAGGATTTGCAATATCTGTTGCAGAGTATCTTTAACTTGCTACTAACTATAGTTAGAGTAAGTTCAATTACTTACCAAGTACTTTTGGGGGAAGTAGTTCCAACCTGATGTGAGCCAACATTTGCGACAAAAAATTCCTGCGATTCTCTGTATCATGTTTAATCCATGACATTGCAATATCGAAGGCATCCTTTTCTGATGGGACATTCAGAGTATCGCTCGAGAGCAACTGACAAATTTGATCCAATGTTGCCAACTTAAACTCATCGGTTTTGGCCACTTGGCAAAAGTGCTTTGTCGCAAAAGTCAGTGCGGAATCCCGAAGGCTGGTGCATCCGTGCAGCTCGGCGAAGCTGCTGATACCCAGACAGTTTGTTGGATGAAGCTGTGAACTCATATACGCACAACATCCTTTAACTATATTACTGAACTGTAACAAATGTGCTGTCTTTAACAAACTCTCGACATTAGAAGTATTGAAATCAATAACAGACGTGTAACAATAATCAACTAGCAATTTCAAAGCCGCAAAATCAACTTCCTTCAATACAACTTTTCTTGCAGTACTCTCTAGTAAATCCCCCGTAAACATTGTGTAAAAATACGCGCTGTTAGCAGCCAAAACAACCCGATGTGTTTCTATTTCGTTCATGTCTACAACAAGGGTAACGTCACACAACTGTTTCTCTTTGTATATTTTGTACAAACTCTGAAGAAATATACTTGCATGTGTGCTGGTATTTGGCTCCACGGCTTTGAAATCTTCGTTCTTTTCGTCTTCACAGCGATGTGTTGCGTCTGAAAAATTCTCCATGTTTTGTTTATTATTATGGAACTGGTGGTACAATGTCAATGTACTTCATTCTTTTCAATATCGTTCGTGCAATATAAGAACGGAACGCGTAATGACTGCACGCCCACGCAAACATCGCAGCACGCAAAGCTACACATGTACACGAGGGAATCACGCACACTGCGCTCCAAGTGGTCTCAACCAATCACAACGCTGTTACACTAAAATTACACTAAATTACACTAAATGCAACTTACAACTTGCAATGCAATTCTACTCCTGAGGCATCTATTTCAGATACGCTATTTCAGAGGCTATTTCAGATACGTCAGAGCACCTCGTTGCCGCGATCTGTAACTTCCTCTTAGCATTTTGAACCCTCTTTAGTTTACTAATTACATCCCTCCAATAAAAATTAGTATAACAGTGCCTTACCAATGGCAACACACATTGGATGATAAAACACCTTTTAAAATCTTTCAAACTGGCTTACTGACACACTCTTCAGTCTTCGCACTACAGGGTGTCTCAAAAAAAACGCAAACACTTAAATATGCAAGACATTAATACAGCTCTAAAGCGCAATAGATAAGCACATCTGGGAATTGAAAATGGCTCTTAATCCTTCATTTAGAAAGCTAAAAGTCATTTTAGCTGAACTATGGTGCAAAGCAGAACAATATTAATATTCTTGCATATTTACACTTTTGAGACACCCTGTATATGTGAAAGTTTCTCATTTACCGGCTGAAAAATAAAGCTATTCAATTGATATGAATGATGTAAATATAATCGCTCAAACCTGTCAAGCTGACCAACAAAAGTCAAAATTCTGAGGGGGATTTTACGGGGCTTTATTTCAAGTAAATAAGCCAACATTCTTTCTTGAGCATGAAAAAACTCGCTTCACGGAGCGGCATTTTATTAATCACTTGCAACGGATAATGCAAAACATATAAAATGCAAAATATGCAAAACATATTGCCCTGAGACAGCAAAACTTTGTGTGGCTAATTATTCCGAGCAAATTTTTAAACCGGTTTCAAACGTCGTGGGCGCATAAGATTCCTAAGGCTGCCTCATTATCTATTGTTGTTAATGCGTTCAGCTGACTTCGGCACATGAGAAGCATGTCGTTTGAAACAGGCCTTACTGTTGGGTGTCATCAATGCATGAAGTGCATTGTCCGTTGGAATGTATTTTGAGATAATAAAATGAGGTTAAACTCAAGACGAAACCGTCAAACTTTGTAGTTTCGAAGAAGAAGGATCACTTGAAGAAGTCAGAGAAGAGTTGGAAGAGTCTTTGCTCAGGTACATGATCATGTTTGGTTTAAAGATCTCTTGGCTTGATCTTTGGCTTCGCAAATGAGTTCGTCGCTGTGTTGATTTGAAAACCGTTATTTGAATAGCCGAGTCATTGTCATTAGCGACTGGAACTATATATTCTGCCAAATTTCACAGCTATATCTTGTATATTTCGATTGAAATGTAAAATTCAAGTGAGCTGTTAACTTAATATTGTTTTTCCTTGCTTATTTGATTTCAGAACGAACTACGGCGCCGAAAGATGGGGAAGGCGAAACACAAACGCTTTACGCTTGCTTGCAACGAATAATAGGTATTGTTCTATACTAACTTGCATTTGTGACTTGAAATATGTGGGCGAAACTAGAATATAGTTTTATACTGAAATTAAGCGAACTTTTCGGGACTTTATCGCTGAAACTTTCCCGGTTGGCACCTGGCGTCCTTCGGACACGGTTATCGTATTATGAATACTTCTGAAGTCTGTCAGCGCTTCATCTTAGTTTTATTCAAACTTAAATTGAATGCCTATATAAAATATCCGTATTTGTATATGTATGAAGTTATTAGACTTCATGTGTTGAGCTGTATCTTGTCGCTCCTTTGCTTCCCATGAAAATTAGTTCTGCCACAAAACAAGAATACTATTTACCGTGGTTTTTCTTTTTTAGAATGAAAGAATCGTCGGAGTGGAGAGATGTCGGAGCTGCCTCGGGCGACATTAATGCACGCAAATACAAAACACGATTTCGGTGAAAATTTGCATGAGTAAAATATGCATGGATTTGGCTTTTTTCTGAGATATATTGAACACTCTTCTGTTTACCTCCTTGAATTTCAACTTTTCGGATTGCAGTTTGTGCATGTGTCTGGTCGTGTCAAGCGCATGCGGAGTAAATGCAAGTGATTTGGGGCCCCATCACTTGTATTTTCTCCATCTTGAACGACAATAGTCCGGAACAAAAAATATTGCTCACAGAGCGCCTAAAACATAAAAATGCATGAGAAATTGTATTTCTAGAAGGAGATAATAGTCGAGTGTTTTAGTTTTCTCAGGAGCATGAAGAAAACGATGAATATTTTCTACAAAACTTGCATGACATTTTGTATTCGCGTGCGCAATGCGAAGGCCTTGGACGAGTGGCGTAGGAGATGTTGGAGGTCTATAATCGGGTTTTGATCATTTTTATTCTGATGCTTTATACACAAGTGACATTTCTCTTTTGGAAATTAATGATATTGTAATTTCCGTATGCCGTTAATAGACCAGATGATGATGGATCGTCGCAGGATCAGATGATGATGATCGTCGCAGGATCAGATGATGATGGATCGTCGCAGGATCAGATGATAGATGATCGCCGCAGAATCAGATGATGGATGGATCGTCGCAGGATCAGATGATGGAGGATTGTCGCAGAATCAGAGAATGGACGACGAGACGGGTGTACAAGTAGAAGCTGGTTGAGGTATATACTATAGATATACTAATTAGAGTAATGCATGCTTAATGTAAGTGCATGATTTATTTTCGGATCCTCCTGGTGGTCTAACCTAGTATATTCACACATCAAGTGACATTCCACCCTTTTCGACAATGCATGAATAGCATGATAACAGGAAATTTCACACAGCTCTTATGCATGAGGACGTTTTCGAGCTTTCTCGATGAAACATTCCTAGTCTTGTCACTTGCGTGTGAATTTTAAGGACTTACGGTGGTAGTATAAAAAACCACCTTAATGGCTGGGGGAGGCGCATGATGGCTTGAAAGCGATGAAATGAAAGCAGAAAAAAGTAATTAGCATGCGCGACGCGCACGCAGCGAGAAAATATAAACCGAATTCGTATTGGCCTAATTTTAGATTAATACGGAGGTAATTGCGAGTACTTATATGATCATATAAGTTCTCAGTTCGCCGCTTATTACAATGCGACCGCTTCGAAGGACCGTCCGTCAGTGGCATCAAAAATTATACACATTAACACTCTTCTGTTTCAAATTTTCAATTGTTGATTTCAATTTTCCGGATTCCGGTTTAAGCTCTCGAGGAAATAAACGTAATCTAATAATTTTGATTATTTTGACGAAGCTTGTATAAGAAAAATATAGCTTCTAGATTGTACGATACATTGAACTTGTGGTATAATGAAGAAGGGGGCTCATTGCATGATACCTGGACTTGTGGTATAATAGAGGGAGGGTCATTGCACGAAAACTGGACTTATGGTACAATAGAGGGGGGTCTCGTTGCATGATAACTGGACTTACGGTATAATGGAGGGGTCTCATTGCATGATAACTGCATCATTGCATGATAACTCGACTTGGTTTAATGGAGAGGGTATCTAGGGGTAGTACCCACTTGTCTAAAAAGCTGACCCTTCAAAGAAAAGCCTTTGTGTTTTGACACACTTACTATGTTTTTTCATTCCTTACACGCCTCACCGTCGAGATGTTGTTGAAGAAGAAGAAGAATACAAGTGTTTGTAAAGGAGACAAGAAGCAAGTGAAGTTTGGTGCGATGTTTACAGAAGGTAATTATACGGTACAAAAGGTGAGAGACTGAGGGATATTATTGATTAGCCATATTGAGTAAGTTGCATGTTGAGCCCAATTACGTTTATTTCCTCCATTTTACATGTAAACCAGAACATATAAAGAGAAAGATAAAAACGGTGCATGTTTTTAAAAAAAAGAAGAGTGTTGTTGTCTACATCGGTTTGAGATGAAAAAAAAGCATGCAAGTCGTGAATACGAAGCATTTCTTTATTCAAAAAATGAAATATTTGAAAAATTGAAATAATTTTTGTTGCCATTGTCGGACAAAGCGCAGTTGATTTCTAAGAGCCTGGTGTTTTGCAACGACGATATGCGCGCGCTGCGTAAAGTAGACTGGGTTAGACCACCAGCAGGATTGAATTGATGAAGCTCAAGAATTGAGTAGCAATTCCTGGGACTCGGTTCACTGATGCATGAAAAACTAAACTGTAGGTGAAAACTGGACTGTCATAGCGGACGATTTCTAATGAAAATACCAAATTCGGACCGCCGGTCAGGTAACCTGAAATTCAGGTTATCTTTGGAGGGTTTTTCACCGGGCACTCCGGTTTCCCTCCTTTTCGTTTGGCTTTAAAAAACAGTGTCCATGTCTGGGGCCAAATCAAAAACGTGTTCGCTGATAGCAGTGGCGATTCCCAGGGGGGGGGGGCGAAGTGAAGCAAACATTGAGGGGAAATGCCCCCCCCTGGCATTTGATAAAAACGCGCGTTTGGCCTCTGGGTTCGATTCCCAGAACACTGTAACGTAAACGAATTCTAAAAAAACATGGTTGTGGAATGATTACGTATTTAGCTATTAGTAATTGAATTGAATTGATTTATTAATTAAAACTGGAATATGCCGCACATCTGTTGAAATACATCAAAATTTTATTTTTTCGATAATAAACTGATATTGATAAAACAATCATCTAAGTACAATAAAATATGTCTTTACGTTTTAATAATGGCTACAATAGTTCGCCGGTCGAGACCATGGTCGAGTTCGCCGGAAAACGACTAATTCGACCATGGTCGAGTTCGCCGGAAAACGACTAATTCGACCATGGTCGAGTTCGCCGGAAAACGACTAACTCGACCATGGTCGAGTTCGCCGGAAAACGACTAATTCGACCATGGTCGAGTTCGCCGGAAAACGACTAATTCGACCATGGTCGAGTTCGCCGGAGAACGACTAACTCGACCATGGTCGAGTTCGCCGGAAAACGACTAATTCGACCATGG